TCGTTGTAAGTCACATCAGTCGGACGTAGTGGGCACTTTTCCCACTATCGCGGTGGTGCCCATGTACGCCGCCCCACCACTTTGGAGTGTGTTGCAGTGGTGGGCGTATGTCATATCGCGTGCCAGTGGTGCATGCAACCGCCAACAGTCCCGTTTAATTCTCATGTGCATAGTTCATTCAAGTCATAGAAAGCAACGAAACGTGCATCGGCATCCGGCACTGCCTCTAATCAGACTGTGGTGCACTAACAAACTCAATTTAACTGGTGCATTCCACAGTTTGCCACTGACAATTGAGATGGCTGTGAAACACCCTTGCGGTAAATCGCTATTTGGCGTAAATTTGTGATTTCTGCTAGCGGTTTTTATCAAAATCATTCTGCCAGGCAATATTTGCCTCCGTGTACCAATGACTGCTTGATTGAGTCGCGTTTCCATGCGTACAATCCAAGTGCCCCACACTCGTCTTTGTGCGATTGGATGGATGTAACGAAAATGAGCGAGGTAAATACTTGGAAGGCAGGAATAGACGAATGTTTTGGGGGAGCTTCCTTGACTTTCCGATCAAAGCACGTGTACCCCACTTTCAAGTGGTGCCTTCATCCCTTCCAGCTGCAGCACTTGCGGAGTGATCGCTGTGCGGTTAATCAGCCCGATTTGAGGGAGTGAAGTAGAGAATCAATGGAAAGAGGAAGAGTTGTGGAAAATCAGGCATAGACTCAATGCAGTCGACACTGTAGAAATAACTGCCGATTGGCTCTACGATCTGGTATTTGCAATTCGATACCACGTTTGTGCTATTGAATGAAATCAACCAAGTGTAGTGATTTTCCTTAATTTCTGAGTACGCACCAAGCTGGTAAATAACAGCTTGTGCATTTGAACTCACAAGAACACCTTTATTTCTCCGTCTCTCTCAATAGCACGAGACGCTCCTTTAATTGCTCCCTTCAAAGGAGTCCTCGAAGGGAAGCTACTGTTCAAGCCAACAATTTGGTCATAAACTCGTGCTTTTGTAGGCTTCGTACCTGAAAGTCAAAACTCCAAGATGCTGGAAACATTTATGAACTGAAAGACTACTTCGCAGTGATACCACATCGGCATGATACCACACTACGAACAACTGTGAAATGATAAACTTTCACTCATTTCACTGTTTCTTGCACCCTTCCCGTACACCGAGATTGTTGGGATTTGTATTCTTATTTGGAATTGGTCATTCTTGGGAACAATTTTAAAAGGAGACTCCAGTTTCCTCATCCAACTAGTCGCAGCTTTCCATTCGGTTGCTTATCGCTCACTTATCTGCAAATGCGAACTACTCCTTTGGGTTTCAGCACGTCCCGTGTCCATCCAGCCCTTGGTAGATGTCCTGAAAGCAAACCGTTTTAAATAGCATACTGTACCGTAAATTTTAAAATTGTTGCCCCATTTCTTCCTTTGTCCGCCGATTCTCAATGTGATCGCTCTTTTCGTTAGTGCAGAATTCTATCCCTAGGTTTAGGCGTTCAACGGAAATTCAGATGGACTCATGTTGTTAGCCCATTTCAAAGCGAGCGAATTAACATAAACACAAAGCATAAATGTTCTTCACCTATTGTCTTTACCAGGCATTTGAGCAGACTCATTTAAATTCTCATTCATTCTCAATTCTCCAGCAACATGCAAATGATTTTCTATTTCCAAGTCCCCAAATGTGGTGGAAGGTATTTAAATTAGTCTACCTAACTCACTGTTTTGCACTGAATCAAACCGACCTACAGAGATGGGAAATCTGAAAAGATGTCGTACCATCTCCGAATGTTTAGTCAAAACCAGTGAAGTAGGCAACTTCGATTCAGGCACTTTGGATATTGAAGCTGGAAGCCAAGTTTAGAGTGTGATTTGGAGTTGATGGGGTTTTGGTGTCTCGTCTTCGTTCGTCGCCAGTTTCACAGCCACTCGAACGCCGCCACTGTGGTAAAGGCACCGCTGGCGGCAAAGTGGTTTATGGAGGTGTCACAACAATTCCATGTAAAAAGGGCGCAAAATTCCTCATGCAAATTTCACTAATATTCTACAGTAAAATTAGCTTAAAACTCCCCTTAGATGCTATCTATGGACAAAGTAATTGAATACGAGAAGAGGCGTTAGATTTTCGTCATCGGATAAGTGGCGACTAGTATGAGCTTGGTTACATCTTTAACAGAGGCAATGGGTTTCAAATGCAGCATGTATTTTTTGAAGCTTGTTAGGCGGTTAAGTTAGGAATAGTAGCTATTTGTTCCACGTAATAAGGCATAATCGGCTAATAATTAATACTTCTAGAAGAAAGTCTTGGCCATCCTCAAAACCATTTTCGTCGATAAAAGGCCGAGGTACCTGCTTTGAAGTGTTGGGAATGTGCATGTTGTTTCCTAACGTTGCAAAAAGGAGCCAAACTTTTGCTGTTGCTTTGGTGAAACAATTTCAGATGAGCACCACACTCTCTTTAGATGACAAAATGCAGAAATGAATTATTAATGTCTTAGTGTCCAACAGGCATTGTGGAAGCCGGTCTTAACAGATGTGCAGTGGTGCGTTTTCAGGCTCTAACGTCCCTTTTCACGTAAACAACTTTGCCCTTTCAAGCATAAAAATCACTACAGAGAGACGTTTTATTCATTTCACTTCGACGCCCAGATTTTACAGAACAATTAAAACTCAGAGTGTTTGATGGATCGCTTGCAAATCCTATACATTGCTTCTTAACTTTTCCACTTAGATCAAACACGGAACTAGTGGTTTTCTCTGACAAGTGATCTTTGCAGTCAATGTGTGCCCACTTCTTACAGTAAGTCATACCATACTAATTGGATTTCTTCCTGCCGTCTACTTTAGTACAAAACCCATTTAAAAGCCTATTTGTACTACAGAAAAATGCCCGTCCAACCTTGGATCAGCTGCGCAACTTCCTCAGTTTACTGCATGAGATATTTCCATATCTCATAGCTCTTAATCAAATGAATGTTTAAATAATTCACTTGACTATTATACCATTCTAAACGAGAGGGGAGGTGGTCATCGTTACTGCCTCCACGACATCATAATTAGAGGCGCAGAGTAGGAAGAAATACAGCTATCTCCAGAGAATAAATTGTTGCAACTTAGCTGCAAGAAATGAGTGTGTTTGGTTATCTTGTGATAACTCGAAATCGCCCAAACCTTGTATGCACTTGGCATCCGAAATAGGTAAAGGTCCAATAGGTTGGGAAATAATAAATGAGTAGAAGACTTTGCTTCCGCCCTTCCTCATTCAACTCAAAGATCCAGCTTCTGCTCTGATTATTGCTGAGAAGCTGGCATTTTGTATCCGAAGCATAAATTCCTAAGGCATCATACATGGGATGAGATCAGACTTGGTAACTTTGACGACTTATATCTAATAGTCAACAAATTTGTCCAACTTATGAAGATTTGGCCTTTAGTGATTTGGAAAGCTTTGAAATAAAGATTGGTTCATCGCCTAATGAACGGAGACAGCTGGGAAAAGTTAGGGCAGCACCTTACCGCACCATTATCAGTCAATTTCTACCCTCTGCAACGACGTGTTTGTGTGTGTCCGTTTTTTATACTTTTGGCGCCTATGAGGACACGGTGGAATGGCCAAATTGATGCAGATAATGAAAGTTTCAGTTTTTTCGTTCGTTGGTGGCCTAAATAGAAGCATTTGAACGCTCCTTTTGCATGAACAGCTTTTGCGAAATAACTGAAGGGGAGGGGAAAGTCTTTCTACTGCTCCAATTTTTAAACTGAAGCTTACTCCCTACTGAAATACTACTGGGGAGTGTATTTTCGAGAATACTATCTACGTAGAGCGCGCCTGGTGCGTTTGCCATCGCCGAACCCACGCACATGGTGGGTCAGCTGCGACAGCGCAGGACAACGTTCAGCGTGGATCGGAAGTGCTACTAGATCCTGCATCAAAATCTCCATTATCACGTGGTCAGAGCTATTCAGGTAATGTCTGAGTCCTGATACAAGAATCACAGTTAGCAATAAGCATTCTGCAGAAAGCTTTTGCTTTTCAACATTTTCTACACAGTTGGTTCCCTCGTAATTAAGTTCGATTTGATTTATTTATTGTTTGCACCCACTTTGCGATAACTTAGGCTTCACCTCGCAGGAAAATTCACCAAAATTTAACGCAAAATGCTTGATGATTTGAGAATATTTTGCAACATACTCCAGTGATGCCCGTTCCTGTAACTTTGTCTCTATGACCTTCACATAAGAATCTGTAAGTGAGCGCACACGATTTGCGCCCTTCCACGAAGAAGGTAGGTGAGCATTTCACTGCCAGCTGGTTGAATGACTTACTTTAAGAAGCTGGACTGACTGAGCTGTTGAATATCATATGAGAAAAAAAATCACTTTTAGCAATTGGATTTGAACAAAAAAGTGGCAGTAATTAACGCGAACCTACCTAATTGTATTAATGAAAACCAAAAAAATTCCCAGAAGCAGTATTAAACTCGGTAGTCGGTTACGCTGGTATCCGCTGGAAAAACATTTGATAACTTTCCTGGGCACTAGGGCATGGGTATTAACCGTGAGGCAGATTCATCAGTTTCTCAGCCTATGGCACGATACCAAACACCAGAACGCCATGGGATGTGCTAAAGTCTAAAACAGGCGGTCAGTAAAACCTTGTAGCTAATGTGCTCATGTTAGCACATGCACTAGCACCAGGCTCCAAGAGAGGTGACCTTTCAACCGTACTCACACATACGCGTGAGCGCAAGCACAGAATCACACCATAGTAGTGAACCACACACCCGTGTGCACGTCCATGGCTAGGCAATCCAGGCACCTGATTGGCTCGCGTCGACCCCCGGCTGGTGTATTGATTGGTGCACTTGAAGACGGTGCATGTTCTTGCGTGCACTCACTGCTGACCGCGTGCAAGTATACTGGTAGCTGTTGTCTGGCGTCTTTTCAATTGAAAACGCTTTAACTCCCCACCGCACCGACTGCAGACCATGTCCTCCGAATCTGCCCCGATTGAGGCCTCGTCATCAGGTGGGAGCAACTCCTCGTCCCACTACACTGCAAAAGACACCACGTTTACGAAGATTTTTGTCGGAGGTTTACCCTATCACACAACAGATGCTAGTCTGCGGAATTTTTTTGAAAGATTCGGTGAAATCGAAGAGGCGGTGGTGATTACCGACCGACAAACAGGCAAGAGTCGCGGATATGGCTTCGTAAGCGCATTTCTTCCCCTTCTTTGGTTATGATGTGTTCCTTAATTTATTGACATTAGTAGTTTATTTTTAATTCTCTGGACAAAAATTTATTCGGTTTGTCGAATTTGTTCTGCGTCGGTTTTTCTCGCAGATGGCACTGTTTGATGTGTTAGACTTCAACTCAAATACAGGCCTGATATCTTGTCAATAACAATGCTACTTTTTTATTTGAAACGCCTTGATGAGCATTTCCTGGCCAATAACTTCAAAAGTAAGGGAAAATTGAGTTCTTCTTACTATTAGAAAATTGAAGTCAAAGTTAAGATGGTCATAATTTTAACGTAAGAGTTTCATTTCATTTAGGTTGGAGCTCTTTCTTTCAATGTGATAGGTCAGTTACTCTTATTTTACAGGTTTATCAATTTAAACGAATAGAAAAGGGTATCTTTGCCTGATTGACGACTACAATATTTTATAAGATATCCTATTTCAATATCTCAAATTAAAGCTGGATCATTCTCTCAGTACCAACTCGGAGATTAAAGTCACAGAGTTTTTACCATAAATGTTTGTCTATCCAGCCATTCAAGACGTTGTGTCGGGAAACATGCATTGGGTTTTGTCTTTGAATAGTCTATTTATAAGTGTATAGTTCCAATCTGTGAAATGATTCCAGAGTTAATTATCTGCTGTTTTAGTACATTTTAACATGTCGTATTGCGATTTGGTGGATCTCCACATGTATCAATGTTATTAAGATGTTACTGTATAACAAGCCTGAACCGGCACGGTGCACGTTAGGCCTACGGTGGTTGTGCGTCTACCATCTGGGTCAGAAAAGCACGCCGCCGACTGACCTGCATAGCCTAGCCAACGGCTTTTGTTTTTTATTTCAAACTGCGGTCTCATTACCCGCGGAGAGTTAGCGACCGGCCCGTACCGTCTGGGGAAGGGTAAAATGTTATTGCTGTTTTACACAGAACATTCTGACTGTTCAAAGGCGTCCCAACTCTCCTTCACTTATCATTCACATGGCGCCAAAATTTAGTTCCAACTGGTGAAAAACAGTTGAAAGGCTGCGGCCGAAGTTTCTATTGCCACTTTCTTACTTATCCACGGTCCTCGAATTTGTAAAACTCATGCAAAGATTGTGGCAGTACATTTTACCTTGTTGTCGATAGCGTTGTCTCCTTGGAACAGCAGCGCTACGTTGATACGATTGACGGTACTGGCATTTGTACCCACACACTACTTCAGAGTGGATAATTTGATAGCTGAGTTCCTAGTTGGGTCCTTACGAATCTCATGTGCCAGAAAATTTTTAGTCTGAGCGACGAAAAAGTCACTGTTTAATTTTTAAATCCTCTCATGAGATCACCCACAATCACATTTACATCTTTTCCATTAAGTAGAAAAACTTATCATAGTAATTACTTTGGACTTCTTAGTGTTTTGGCGTGCAAATGCGCACTATGCGGCAGCATTGAATTACCACATGAATGGACTTTGAGCTGTGTAAATAGAATTGTTTACACACTGACCTGTGGGTGGCAATCAAATCCCATCATCGAAATCTAATTTATTTGAGTGGTCAGTGGCGAAGAAATATATTCTGAACTTCGTGTACACTTTACTCCTGCTTCTACTTCCAAGGTTACAATGGCAAGGTATGAAGACGCCATCAACGCCATAATGGATCCGAATCCGTGCATAGACGGTCGCAAAGCCAATGTTAATCTGGCTGTTTTGGGTGCCAAACCAAGAACCATTGCTGGAGGTAATTTATGGGCATGCTACTAACCCTCTGCTTTTCGTCAAAAAGGCGTGTGTGTATGCATGTCTATGTGTGTTTTCCCTTTAAACTTCACAATTTCCTTTGCCTGATGTTAGAACGTTCGCCTTTCAGCTGTAGCTAACAGAGCTCACCGGTATGGGGCCTGTTGAGGTAATGGCTCAGTAACGAAGACATTGTGTATGATCGAAAATGGACATATACGAGGCGAGGATATGATTAGGCATATTCTGCAAATAGAGTCTTAATGCTCGTAGCATTTGCAGTTGGTGAATATTATACTAGGCTCACGCTTGTCCCATTTACACGTCCAATACACTGTAGGTCATCAGCTCGTCGCATAAGACGCAGTCAACTTCCATCGATGGTGCCCTCGAGTGCGCCTTGTTGCTGCTGCAAGCGCTGCACTCTACGCGAACTTCACCATCAATGGTGCGAACATGCAGTGTTGCCTTGTGTGCCTTAAATCGAAGGCCAATCCAATCCTTTTGCGAAGCCATACTTCATCTGGTCAGTCTCGAAATAAGTAGATTTTCAATAGCTCGGAAGTTATGGTGGAGCACTCACATTTTCCAATGTTGGTTAAAAGATCAGGCTGTAACTTCCATTTTCGCCCGCGGAACTGTCCGAGTTACATAACTTTAATCAGCATGAGGAATTTGGTGATAATACGCACGATTAAAGCAGTTGTTGCTCGAAGGGGTTAGAAAAGAGCATTGGGCTGTTGTAAAGCTAGCGAAACCTAGCACCGTATCCGGGGTGTAACCGAGCTTATCGCCTGCCGGTATGGATGGTCTCGCAAGGCCGCGTGAGTCATTCGAAGCGACCGGCTTCTGCGGGTGAGTTCGTTGCCAAGGCCTGCAGCTTAGCGCACACTCTGCGGACCACACACCCGCATCTCGGTGCTTCCCCAATGCTTGCAGAGTCGCTTGCGTCCACTTCCACCGTTCTGCTGGTCCTTCAATGCCTTATGCACTGCTCCCCCTGTCCTGTTGCTAGTTTGCCTGTGAAGCCCTCATTGGTGTGCATGACCCTCTCCATCAGCTATCCTTCACTGCTAATCGTTGTCTTCGTTTTTTGCTTTAGTTACGAACACTGCGAATCTTTTGGCATTGGCAGGCGCGTGAGTTTGTTTTTCTTTTGTGTCCTGCACTTCAGAGAAATTGTATTTTCCTATACGTGTCACGAGTCATCACGGAATGGAGTTTTTTGCAAAACCGATTTAGCACTACTCTGGTTAAGCGTGTTAAAAGTAAACGAAATTTGTAATTTTATTCAACAATGAGAGAGACAGAGATAAATTGACCAATCTAACAGCAGGATTCTCTTAATTTGTCAAAACTACTTAATTGGTCTGCTTTTGACGAATGCGATTTGAATCTATTTGAGAAATATGCGCTGCCAGCTATTTTCATCCTTTCATCCAGCATATTGTAGGCGGGTACCTGATTTATTTCTCTGTCGATGACAAGATTATATTAAGGGATGTAAAATTTTCTTAGGTAATCCCTTTGTGACAGCTGGTGAAAATGAAGGTAGTTATTGTGGATTCTGCTTGAAAGTCTTGCAGTGGTTTCTCCCTTGCCTCCCATCTATTCACATAATGTTAAAACCTTTCCGCGCTTTGAAATAACTGCCTTGTTCGTTGTGATGTGTGCATTTGTGTTGGTCATTTTGGCAGTTCGTTGTACTGCTTCTTGCATGATTGGTTTGTTACCATCCCCCCTGCTCCTCATTCCGAACCCTCAATCGTTCCGGTGAAGCATCAAATAATCTTACTGCCTTCCGTTCATTATTTTATTTTGTACCCCCAGCTTCAACACTTCAATGGTAAACCTACAGGGCATACTAATCCATGACTCACACTTTTAATTACACTTATATCAACAAATAATGCAACCTTTGATAAGCATTTCGTTTTCGGCCTAGAACAAATTTGAGGTCTCGCCAATCTTAGTTGAAACAAGGAGAAGTTCTTCCGTGTAGTCATTAAGTTATGGTAGTCGTTATTTTCTAGGTTGTCACATAGTCATAGGAAATATGCCAAAGTAATAATGTTATTTTGCGCTTTATAGAATGCCAAAAGTCGTCGGTTATCATCCGTTGATTACAATGATAATTATTGCAATGCCAGACACGATTCTGATTTCATTGTTTTACTTATTGTCAGGCAAATTGAGAGAATTTAACTGTGTAACCTTTTATGGGGCATTTGTGAAAGGACTACGTACAACTTTGTTTCCCAAGCTGTTCTTCTCGTAGTACATGTTTAGACTACCAAGTTAAAAGGTTCAGAAATAATCATAAAATCAAGATTTATTCGTCATGCAATGCTATTAGTGGCTGTTCTTAATCCTAATTTTTTAAAAGATTTTAGCACCCTTGGACCTCTATCATCAGAGTCCTAGCTATATGAAATACTGTGAAATGAAATCCGGGAGTCATTATTGCTGGAAGTCGATGTTGATGCTTTAAACGCCTTTTGGAATCGAGCATACCCAACTATCAGCAACTACTCTAGCCCCAGAGGAGCAATGAAATAATTGCGTAAACACTATGCGGTGGTGAATATGGCTACATTAGTTTCATTTGAAGTTGTAGAAGCACAAGGTGGTTACACTGTGTCACGACATACTTTAAATTGAGTCAAAAATGTGTGAGAGAGTAATTGCGACAATCATGCCTGTTCAAAGAAATGTGGGGGAAGGGCTCCGGTGGGAGACGCATGCCTTTGCCTCTAGTTTCGCCTACAGCTACCAGTCGGAACCGCTTTGGCTTAAGCCTCTCGGTGATCGCATCGACTGCTTCCTTCCGACTACCTACTCCGAGTTTGTGTTGTTCTCCCTTGTGTACATATGTGTGTGTGTGTATGCACCGCATGAGTGTGGCTATTTAACGTGGCTTTGAGTCCTTAAACGGTGTGTACACTGCCTACAGTTCGTGCCTAGTGGAGTGCTTTGTTTGCTTTTCGCTTCCAGAGTGAAGCTACTAACACAGGGTGAGAATACTTAAGTTTAAATACACGTTTCGCCAGAAAAAAAAGGAGGGATTTTAATTGATGGCTGAATTAGAGCCGGATAATAAAGGCATTGTGCCGATTATGATTCACAATATCTTTCTGCTGTTAGAACTACCGAATTCGTGGGTTCAGTAAACATTTATTCGCGTTCTGGTACGTTGGGACTTTTAAGATCATGCCACAAATCCCTAATGTGGCGATTCCACCTTTGTGCTAAATCAGTTAAGTGTTTTGATGGAACTTTCGACAAACCGCGCTTCAGAGCACCAGTTTCGACCCATCGGCAACTTGACATTATAATTACTATTTTCCAAGTGGAACGAGTGCTTAGTAATGTTGAGTGCTTTTTTCATCCAAATAGGCGTGAGATGTTGAGTGAATTTTCTAAGGAATCTGGACGTTTACAGTTTCTCCAATAAAGGCACCATTTATCAAGCTTTTGATTCATAGGTCTTGAATCTAAACGAGGCTGTTTTAAAAATCCAAATGTTGCATGATTCGTAAATACTAACCCTATTTGGAGATGTTCAGCATTTAGTAGTTCACATTTGGATGATTGTTTATGGTAGAGCACTTTGTCTACACTCAGGGTGTATTTGCTAGTTTTTTTATCAACTTACCTTTTTGAAAATGCGACTGAGCTAAGTTGGCATTTTGAATAAAAGAATCTGTAGTGAAACAGAATTGCGCGCTTGAAAATTTACTTATTTGGCCTCTTGTGGTAGTACAGATGATCAGTGCCTGTTTTAGTTGCTGCAGTAACGTAACCTGGTTTACTCTATTTCTGCTCCCAAGTGATTTAAACTTTCTCGGGCAGTTTGCGACTACCCATGCACCGACGACGGCGGCGTCGCTATTCGGAGCCGGTCAGATGAATCCTGCCCTGCTAACAAATTTTATTGCTCTTAACGGAGCCGCCGCTGCCGCTGCTGCCACTTCTCGTCCACTGTTTCCGACCCCACCGGCGCCATCTAACCCAGGAAGCCAGCTACCCCCGTCTCCGACCGATTTTCCGCGTCACCAGAACCCCTACATTAGCCATCCGGCTTCGATGCTGGGAGCTCCGAATCCGTTTGCGCTCCCACAATTTATGTACAACGCAAATCCCTGGCTTGATGGGAGCCAGCACCACCAACCGTTTAATCCTGCACCGAACCCGCTGACCGTCCCAACTGTTGGCGCCTTCCCTGGGACTTTCCCTACTGAGGTCGATGGTCTGACCCGTGGTGCATTTCAGCAGCAACACCACCAGCAGCAGCAACAACAGCAATCGCAGTCCCAGCAACAGCAGATAGCTGCACAATTGATGGCGGGGGATGCGTTGACGAAGCAGACGTCTGTCGCACCTCCCGTGTGGCCATCTGTCTTTCAACCTCAGGCGACGGCTCCTGTGGCTACCACCAGTGTCATCAGCAACGCGCGGGCATCGCCCGGTTTCGCCATGGTCAGCGGATCCGGGACCAGTGCAATTGGCACTAATGCGCAGGTGTTTGAGAATGTTGGAGATGTCACCGGCACTGCAGCTGCTGCCTCACAGCAGACACAACTTCGCAGCTTCATTTGAAGCATTGCCACCTCATCTACCAATTTTCGTCAACAAAATTAATAAACTATTCAGTCACAGTTTACGAATCCATCTCTAACCCTCTCCCTCATCACCAACTACTAACTTCCTCTCCAATGGATTTTTGCTCACTGAAAAATAAATACAATCTTTTATATTTTCCTGAAGCGCTCTTATCACGTCTTTTTGGTCATGTGGATTCAAAATGCTTAATAAATTTTGGCTTCACTAATCTCCTTTCTCCTTGTGGACAAAGGTGCTCTTGTCTACATACTAGAATCGATTTCAACGCTTTGGATATGATTCCCTTGACGTACCAGAGAGGACTGACATTTTGCATAATCTGCTCTACAGAGCGTTTCTTTTTTGTCCCCATAGCACTAACCGCAATTCCTAAAACACGTTTCCTTTCGGGACTTTTTTTTGCGACTACCTATTGAAAAAGAGAAGTGATCAAATATTCATGGAATATGAGTGCTTATAAACGATTAAAGACGTTGCTGTTGTCGACTAACCCACGCCTGCAAAATTCGTAAATAGTCGGAAGAAGAGGCAGTCTTAGCATTAGCTCACTAAGATGTCACAATTCAAAGTTAGGTTAGTGAAAAAATGGCATTACTGATGGTTAAATGGTGGCGATTTTACGGCAATCTTGTCGAAAAAGGCTGTAAATGTTTGGGAATGTAAAATGAGTACGTTGGCACACATTTTGCGTAAAAATTGATCCGTCACAGATTCTGATGGGTTTTTGAAAGCCAGTGATATCTTTTCAGTGTCAGCGTCATTTTTCTGAACGTAGTTTTGGAAATTTTTACGAGTACGCACCTAGGTACCCAATGTATGATTTACAACAACGATAATGGCTTATTGAAACACTGATTAAATAATACTTGCTAAAGGACCAACTTTTTCTATTTACGGCATCGCCTCAACTGAACGCACTGCTTTAAAAGTGAAACAATTCTTTAATTAACCTTCTCCAGACATTTCTCATCTAAGATTGACCAAACTGTGCACTTTGAGTTGGTTCGAAATTAATTCATTCCAATGGTAAGAAGTTAAAACTTGAGTGTAGACTATGTTGACTTCATATTAATGAAGCTGTTACGATGAGATCCATTCGCCATGTAGAGGTGGACTGATGGACATAGGTGACCATATTTTGGGGGTGAAAAGTGAAGATAACAATGAACTGAGGATACAGGATCATATTGTTAGCACGGACAATGAGGGTTTTAAAGCCAATTAAAAGGATTGCCACTGTGTTTTTCTCTAAGCGGCAAGGAATGGGGCTAAACCACCCACTGATGTAGACATCGTATGATAATCATAATGGACTAAATGATGATTTATTTGACAGAATTCCTGTTTGACAACTGCAGGGTTTGTAAAACCCACATCACTCAGAGCTCAATTTTACGATGGATACGTTTTATTGGATTGAGCATAATTGACTAATAGACTTTGTACAAATCGAATGCCACGGTCACTTTTGACCGATTTTACCGCCCTCAGGTCAATATTTGCCATTTTTAATGTTCTACTTTTTAGCGTTAACATGGGTGCTAATCCATTGACCATCAGTATATCAAATAACAGTTTGTTGAAAGTTCCTTTTAGTGTGTAGCCAAATTTCGATTTATTGGAGGCATCTACAAATGTGCGAATACTAGTTTACACTTTACGTTAGAAAGACAATCAGAAATAAGCTCCAAAGAGGTCAACTGCCACAAAACTACTCACCCTCCTATGTGTAAATTCCAGTACTCCTTTCTGAACGCTAGAATTATTGCTAAGAGACTTTAAAAAATATCATTCTGATGAAAGCTACAGCATTAAATAACTGGTAATTGTAGCATATGGCTCTAATTCTAATGGCCATGAAAGTTGAAGCCATTTGCCCTTAGAAACATTTAAATTTGCCGATCAACCCATAGGAAGCTCTTTGCAGACTAAATTTGAAGTCCATTTCGCACTAATGGACGGCAAATGCCAAAAGATGGTTTAATCCAATAAGATCTGATCAGCGGGTGAACATTTCAGGGTCTAATAAGTATGGAAAACCTATTATTTTTATAGATTAGATCTGGAGGTGCATTTGACAGGGCTAGATAGTTTACGCCTCTCTATGAAAAAGCACACTTTAGCAAAAGCACATTACAGCATTGATGTATCATCCTACGGCTTCAAGAAGCCCACATTTTAAGTGCAATACGTTGGTTGTTCGCTTAACATTCGGTATCAATAAAGGACCTCTTTTGACTTGGCTATTGTTTCGTTGGATGGGCTGGCCTCTGAGTGGTGTCAGTAGCCCTGATATCTTTTGCATATCGGATATATGCATATTCTGCTCGAGTATTGTGTTTTTGTTTGTCTTCAGGGAAGTCTCGCAAAGCTACAAAGGACCTAATTGTTGCAATTATCTAAGCAAAACGTCTGCTCACCAGAGGCACTCACAAAAGCAAAATATTTTTTTAAAGCATCCGTTTGGTTTTAAATTGGTAAAACGAAGTTTAAGACACGTTATTTAGAACCAAAGATATTATTGTGTCAGGATTTATTACGACCTTGACCCAGTTGTAAATTCCCACCACTCTTAACGATCTTCGCTGGGAATCGGTGTTTCACTTTATATATGCTGGCTAAACTCACGTCTGACTTTGATTCCTTCTTTGAAAATGTCTTAAGCACCCTTTATGGGTCTTTGAGTTGTGATCTGGATTTAGTTAAAGCCCACTTCATCAGAGTAAGTCAGTGTTATTGGCTACACTAAAGGTTTCGAAATACAATGTACCCAATGGAAAAAAGGTTCGTGGTCGAATCTGCGTCGCCGCGTTTAAGTGCTTTGCGAAAGGAGAAGCGTCTGATGATTTGCTGAGACTAGTTAATCTTGTCGGCTGGGCTATTGAGCTGGTACTGTTATCCCTTTGTTCGACTTCATAGTTAGGTAGAATCAGCTTTCTTGGTTCTTGATGATCTTATTGATGGTTCATTCATGAGAAGAGGACAGATTTCGTGGGGTCTGCTTCAGCAAAGGGAGGGCCATGGTTTAATCGGAATTAACGATGGACTTCATCTATACATATCTGTTCAGCAGCTTCTCATGGCCGGTTTCCACTCTCGACCCCATCCCAGATGCCTTGAAATTCTAAAGCTCTTTGGTGATTGTGCTAACAGTACCTGCTTTGGACAAGCATTGGATATTCTTAGCAGCGGTCAACTACAATCCACCGATTCGAATGGGATGTTGTCCTGCGAAAAACCGAACTCAAATTATGACTGTCTAAGAGATGCTACTGTCAGTAGATTCGCTTCAATTGCAAAGTGGAAAACAAGTTATTACAGCTTTGTCCTTCCTGTTGCTGCAGGAATGTTGTTAGTAAGTTTTATTTGGTAACATGTTGTTTTCGTGCATAATCTTTGGATCTTTCACACTAGTTTATCCTCGATCGCATGTTTGCACATATACACAAACGTTTCTTATCGGCCTTTCTTCTCTAGGCGGATGTGAAAAGCGATGTCTTATTTTCAAATGCGGAGTCAATCCTTCTCAAAATTGGGGAATATTTTCAAATGCAAGTAAGTTTTCACTTTTAACCTCCTGTTTATAAATATGAGGTCTTGTTACTGTGCTCGCGCATTTTTCACCTTGTACGTATTGCCGAAATTGAGATAAATAAATCAGATGCGTTTCTAATTCTCGACCTCTTTGTTTACATAGGATGATTTTTTGGATGTATACGGAGACGAAAAGGTGACTGGAAAAGTGGGTACCGACATTGAGGAAGGCAAGTGCAGTTGGCTGATTGCCACGGCTTTAGAAAAGACTTCCAGTGAACAGCGAGATGCTCTTAGCGTAAGCTGCATTTTCCATCACTACACCATTACCCAAAACTATGACGTACACGTCTGCCCTCTGCCTGTTTTCGTATTTGCTTTTATTATACTCTCATTATTCTCCAAGCATAGTTATCATTGATCTAGGTTCAAATCGATATCCGTGGTAGACAAGGTTTAATACATTACTCTCGAATTTTCGCAAGCTTTTTTTCTGTTCCTTGATTGATTCAAGCTTTACAGTATTATTCTCTGTAATAATCTCCTACCGTAATAACAAAAATATTTTGATTAGGGTAAAATTGCTTTCATCGTTGATCTCTAGCACAGAAGTATGAGCAATCTTGGAACTGGCATTACTTCCGCGACCGATTTTTGAACATTAAAATACACTTGCCTTGGCATAATGAGGACGTTTCTGCCAGGGAAATGATCATGAACCCTCTGGATAAGGGTCTAGTTGTCCTGCATGTATGAATAAGTAAAAAATCTATGTCTCAAATTGTTGAACGCATTTCATAAGAACCAGTTGGGGAAACATAGTACTTTGAATCCTCACCTGCCGTCACAAATGCTTTGATTCGTTTCACCGAAGTAAATTTGGCTCAGTCGTACTTGAGCTATCATAATTGGTTCACTGTTTATTAACAACTTTTGCCTGGTGCGCATCAAAATCAGTGGCGTCGTTTTATGACTCATCTAATTTTGCATTTGAACAATGGTCTGTTCCAGTGGCACACGGAAGAGACCTTTCGCTGTCATATCAACTGGACGGGTAAAAGCACCGTCGAATCCGTCAGCAAATAAAAAGTAAAAATTCTTCTTACTGAGTTTTTATTAGTAACACCTTAGTCGTGTTCGGACTTTTAATGCGCGTCGAGGTGGGTGATTGGTGTGCACAACGTGTACCGCCCCCATGTGAAAACCGACGTTTTAACCTATTTTTCATGTAAATGAGCCATCTTACATAGGACTCGTAAATGCTCGACTTGCGTCATGAAAAATGCCTGCTGCCATGTTAACATTAGATGATATACCTTATAATAATCAGAAAATTCATTGCCTATCCTTGCCAACGCGTGCATCATAATTTCTGCTTTGTGTGAGTATTACTAATCTACAGAACAAGCATACTTCGAGAAGTCATTTCAACTACGCACACCGAAAGAATTGAATGTGTAGTTCAGGATGAGGCCGTCATTTAAGCACACCATGATCATAATATAGGTGTTTTCCTACATTCAGGCTGCTTTGTAAAGTGTCCATGGTCACAAGTGCCTTCCTTTTTAACGGTCGAACGTATATATATTGTATTCAATTATTTGTCAGAAGTCATGAATCTCCATGGACAATCTCTAATAGTGTAGGCTGTCGCTAGGAGGTGAACGCACCATCATTTCTTACTACTTGAATATAAGATTGTGTGGATTAAATAACTTTTGGCATGGATTATGCGGTTTTATTACTGATAAATTTTCTACCTCACAATACTCATCCTAAGTCCGGTATTAAGTGTTGTTTTCAGGACACTGTGTACTTAAACTTCCACTTTCCTTTTCTATGTTTACCACTTCGCCATGAGCGTTTATGTTCGTGAAGTTCTTAAAAAAATAGTATTTTTCAATTCCTGTAAAGCTCACAGGAACGAGTTTTTATTGAATAACCAAAAAATCCGACACCTTCTCGACAACACTACAATGCATCCACATGGTTTTAATGCCATTGCAGGTTGCTCAACTTTGAGTTCTCACGTTCTGATTTAAACGTTTTTTCCTAGTGACCCTTGAAACGTAAAGGAAGGGGACCTGCCATGGTTCGTTTTTTATAACAGTTTCCAACAGTCCTGAATGTTAACCCCGACCTTTCATCATCTAATAATGCAAGCTCTGTACTCCCGAAGGTGATATGGGAAGGTGCACAGAAAGCCAAACGTTGAGGAGTAACGTTTCTCAATACTTGAATGATGTGATATTTTTTATTTTAAACTCCAAATTTTTTTGGTAAGACAATTCACCGTTCTGATAAGATGTATTACGCCAGTGTTGACTGTGAGATAGTCAAATTTGTTTTGATAGAGTAACTTGCAAGTTTGTCAGCCCCTTTTATGGAACAAACCAAAAATTCCTGTGCTTGAGGCTGGGAAGCGCTGTTTTTCGATTTATTTTCATGTCACCTTCTCTTCATCCCACACATTTGTGTGCTCACAAAGTGTGTGCCTGATTTCTTTTCTGATAATAATTTAGAAGAACTATGGACTGAAAGATCCCGATTGTGTGAGGGCAGTTCGGAAGGTTTTTGATGAGCTCGACTTGCCGAGTCTCTATTCTGCATATGAGGATCAATCCCAAAAACACATTCTCGATCTCATTAAATCGGTGAGCACAGAGAAGGATGAAGACTTCACTGACCCGGTGGCAACCAAGTTACCAAGACAGTTCTTCATAGAAATTCTAAATATATTCCATCGTCGGAAGAAGTGATGTGGAACTAACTTCTTCAAATTGTACTTTACCTTGTGGAAACAAGGTGGAGATTTGTCGTTTTTTTAGCAAATGCTAAAAAAGCGATTATTTATTGTTAATATGAATCATTCGTGTTTTATGTGTAGTTTTCATCAGTTCCACTTGGGCGTAGTGGTTTTGTCAGCGTCGTGTGTAATGATGAGTCGTTTAACTCTCTTATCCACAGGTTTGCATCATTCAAGCTGTGACACTAGTTTTTTCACTACTCGGAAGCTGCAGTTTGGAGTCGTATAGTGAAGAGGGTGGGGATGGGGTAGAGTATCATGACCAGAAATACTACCATCTGGGTGCTTTTCATAAACTTACTATCTACACTTATCTTTATAAAGGTGGCGTGGATTTTACGTCTCCAAACACAATGCCACTAAGAGTATATTCGGTGCCTCCAATGGATTGTGATGACAGTAATTCATTCTCTAAGCTGATAGTACGGAGTGTCTCATCCTCTGAGCTGGTTTGCTCATTGAAGGAGTGCCTCCTGAGCTTCGTCGTTGTCATAGGGCGGGGCTGGGCGCGCGGACAGGTGGTTGGTGCTCGCGCACCTACGCGAGCACTGCCAGACTTGTGCCTTCGGGCGTGGGTGATGGTCACGACGGCCAATCAGGTAGCTCGTGTCCTTCAAAATCGCATCGTCCTTCAAGCCTGAGTTATTTAAAATGTGCACCCAGCGCCTAATCTATCGGCCATACTAGGTGGAAGCATTCGTTCTTTGGTCGGGGTACTCAGCACTATTTCTATGATGGATTGTGTACTAATTGGTTTTTTTTAACATTGTGGTAAGGATTCCCACTTGCATATGCCCTCTGTTTTGTTCCGCTTTGGGATCTCGAATTGATCCTACACGGTACCACACCACAAAGTATTCGTATACATTATGCGTGCAAATGTATCTAATATCTTTATGACCATCCTTTGATGGGAAAGCGCCATCGATGAGCTCATTATTGTTGCTGTTGATGCAAGAATTCGCTTAATTTGTCATCAAAGCAGCTTTCAATAGTTTTACTCTCAAGGTCAAACAGGGTTTCACTTACACGAAGTGTGTATTGTGAAGTCACCTCACAATAAGCATGTGAGGAATCCTTAAATATTCCCAATTTTATTACGCAACCGAGAATAATCTACCTTTCTAAATTGAAGTGTGTGTGTGTGGTGTTTCCTCCCTGATGGTAGATGGGCTGAACAAGTGAAGGACCATTTACACTCCGAATCCTTCGAAGTGTGTGCATCGCGCTTGGACTGGCTTGTTTACGTGTAAACCGCACTGGAACTAGATCGTTTATAAAAATCCGGAATTGGTTCAAGTTCTGCCGGGACCATATGGAAATAACCCGGGTTTCGCCTTCCTCGCTGTTGTTGAATACTTCACCGATTGCACCACAGATATTCTGGATATTTTAGGTCTCGTACTCGTAGTTTAATGCGAAGAAGCCTAGTTTTACTTTAGCTGTCAAGCTAACGAAAGTGTCGAAAACACAACGTACATTAGACAGATTTCTTATTTTCGAGCGATGTCGAAACCTGTTTTATCCTGTGGGTAGGCATGATGTCGGTAACCGATTTCCTTTAAGAGAATAAGCCGTGTAAGTGTCTCCACAGTTATTTGGCTTTGTTACGAAAGATCGAATATAATCACCCAGAATGTGAATTTAGAAGTGGTCAGAAGTTGGGTTGGATGTTCTAACGCATGACAATCTTTCCAATCTCCCACTTAATTTACTTTTTTCTGTAATTTCCGGACACATGCCAACTATCTTGCTATGGATGCGATTAAGTAGTCACATACATAGCTCAGGGAGCGCCATGTTTCAAAAGAATCCCAAATACTGCTTTAGCAACACCTGTACACAACAGCATGCAGTATGCGCCATATGGGGTAACTGCGTTATTGTGATTTTCCGATAGTGGGCATGGTTTCATCCACTAAATTTCCGGTCCGTCATTAGTGCAAACGGCATTTTTAACAAAAATCTGCTGCTCACTAATTTCGCCCATTAGAGTTTTGAGAAAAAGCCATAATTTACTGCCTAGTGGTGTCGGTTGAGAACTTTAATGGATTCCACCGAGTTGAGGGGCGACCGTGATTTCAGAAAAGCCCTGGCTGATGTCGACCCACACCGACTCAATCAGCGGCGGCTTGTAAGCGCCACAGATGGTCGTCCACACTGCTTAAAATCTGCCGGCAAAATTTTATTTGCCCGACCAGAATAATGGTAAAGTGGGGACTATCTGACTTCAAAAATTAGGAAACCTTATGGGAGCACATTTATTTGGATGGGCTTAAATTGTGCAACATTTGGATTAAAACTGTTACACTTAAAATAGTTGCTACACTTCAAAACATTATGAAGTAAGTTGATATTTTGGCCAGGAAAGATACGGGGGAGAACTTCAGCCGTGGTACTGATTGCATGGTAAACGATTTTGAATGCTGATGGTCAAATTTCAAATCACTTATGCAGTGTTCGGATTATTGAGGTCCCACTTAACTGATTGACCAATAGTGCCCTTCACTTTTACTATCTGTGTTCGCAAACGGTATTGTAGTGTTGTTACTACTTTGTTTTGAAATCTTGCAGATGGTAAGGGTTGCCCTTCCAGCTTTGTAGTGATGTGTCGAAATTCCTGCACAGTGCAAGCAGCGGAAATCCCTTCATACCGTAAAATACCCGCCCCTTTTCTACGATGATCGGATTAATCTCCGAAGAAATAAAGCGTTCGGGATGCGGAGAGGGACAGTGCAGTACAATAAGGAAGCCCAAAGTGCGACCATGCTGAGTGCTACCTCTGGCAGCGGAAAAACCTGCGAAAATGGCGTTAACCAGATGAAGGGATGTGCATTTGCAGTGAAGTTGCTCTATATTTTTCCACTAGCGAAGGCTTTTTGTCAAAAACGCAATCAGGGCAGTCTATTTTCCTCAAAACCACAGCTTGCGGTTCTTCATAGAAGAGCATGTCTCAACACCCTGTTTAATTGAATAATGGTGGCTTAACCAATTGCTTTTGAGACCATCAGGCCCATCATCAATTTCATCAAGCAAAAAGAAAAGATGCTGAGTTGAGATTTGCCACTGAACATTAAAGATCGGCATTGTGAACCCTCATGACCCCATTTTGGCTGCATGTGATCACTGTCATTTGCACCACGTCGATTGAAAAATATACGTGAAGTAAAAAATCCTTCGTTTTCCCAAACTCACTGATGACCTTGTGAATACATTTTAATGGATTTAGAAATAGAAAAATGTATTCAGGCTTCAAGCTAACGCACTATTTAAAAATGAGGATGCCTAATTGGTCAAATACCTGACAGATGTGTTGTACGACTTACTTAAAACATGAGCTTTACCTAACTCAACCCGAACGATTTACTCCGAAATTTCATTCCAACTGTTTCTGTGGCTCGAAAGGGCCGATAGGAAATCAAATTCAATTTACGACCATGAATTCAACCAACTTATCACATCCGATTGCCTCGACTTGCGTCTAACATACAGCAACTTCCTGAAGAAAAACGAGCGAAATATGACGCGTGCGCAAGTTCTTGGTCTAAAATTCACTTTTACTTTGAAGTCATTAGTACCTGGCTTTAATTGCAGAGTCCTCCTACTCCAGAATCAAATGAAAAATCTGCTTTAATTATTCCACCCGAATGCACAGCAGCCATAGCAATCAGTGATACAATCCCAGTGACAACACTACAATTGGAAGCTAGAATCCCAACAAAGAACCACTGAAGGCCTCTACAACGCAGAACATTCCGCTACCCCGCACCAAGAGAGAGGCCGACTTATCCGCCAAACTCTGCGCCGAGTTCCACTCCATGCATAGAGTCCGCTTGAAACCCCGATGATTACTCAACGGTCGCTTTGAGCACAAAATGAGCTCCAACTCAGATGTTCACAAGAGAACGAAGAAAAACTACTGTCTTGGTTGTGAGAGATAATTGCTTTAGTGATATAATTAATACAAAGAGTCACCGTGAGAGAAATGTGTATGTACATGACACGAGGAACAGAGATGAGTGCGCTTTCAAAAGGGAGTTGAAGCAGCACAAAATCAACTGAGATAAATATGTACAGCTGAAAGATGAAGAGCGATAAAAAAGGCGAGGTCGGGACTAGATACATCCTCGCAACGACGAAAATAAGATACAGGATGGGCGAAGAATAATTAGGATAAGTCTGACAGATTCGAAGAGGGCGGAAATTTAAAGGAGAGAGGATAATCAACTTTTCGGTGGTACTCTGCCACCGCCAAATGCAAATGCTCGTAGCACGTATCCGCCACATCTTCAAGCTGTCCACTGTTTAGTGGAGAAATCTAAAAAGAATGAAATAACTTTAAATACATTGATGCTTTAGCATGAAACTGCGATACTCTATATCACGTGGTTCAAGTGAACATATAAGTTTATCAGATAATCATCAGATTGATCAAACGACACCGGAGCGGCAAAATTCTAGTTCCACAGAACTTTCTGATGCATAGAAAACCGGAATTCAGGTTACATCAGATTGGTAGCTCATAACTCGTGAGTCAGATCAAAGTCATAAGACAACTTCAACGCAATTGTGCAATGTGGAACTAAGTTAACGCAAAATGCCAAAACCCAGTCTTTCCAAACTTTGATTCTAGGATAATTACATGCTAAAACCCAAGTAAGCAAATTAATAACGCTAATTAAAAACAACATCTGCACTTACTCGGCAGTTACACATAATCTGACTATTTTTGGGAGAATTGGCGACGCGAGGACTGTGCGAGATACCCGAACCTTCAGCTCGTTTCCCAACATCTAATGTTGACGGATAAGAAACTTTTCGCCACAAAGGAACTGGTATTTGCTTCGCACTTTCGAACTTTCTGGGACGATAGTTCGTCTCTTTAAAAGTGTTTAAAGAGAAATCAAAATAGTTCATGCAGTCGTCACTAACTGGTCTGTTATAAAACGATTGTCGGTTCATGGACTGCGAGAGAGTGGAATAACGCCTGGAATCGTAACCATCCTGCGAACTCGTTGATGATACTCCGGATGAACAGGAGGGGAGACCATCTCTGTATCTCGACTGATGAACTTGATGAAGCGCAGGATCCTTCTTAAGTTGTTTAGGATGCTCAGCTCGACGGGTCTGACCTTACCAATGAAGGTTTGAATCAATGGAAGAGTTGAAAATGAGCCATCATAGGAATTTAGAATAGGAACACGTAAGGGCGGTAAGGCTAAAAAATTTTACTTACATTTCAATTTGTCAAGAGTGATGGATTTTTCTGTAATGTTGGAAACCGGGAGCGTCACACCGACCTCGGTTTCTTTATTGAAAGCAGGACAGCAGTAAATGCAACTCATAGCGAACGTTTGTCGGCAGTGGGGATGTGTTATGCAGACGGGTTTGGCGCTGCCTAAACACGGTTCAAATAAATCGAAAAAAAAACAAACCAGGGAATTTGAAATCCACCTGAGAAAAAGAGGACAAGTCATAATAATAATGCCTTGGTTTGTCTGACTTCTCAAAAGGACGAACACGACTTGTCGTTTCCAGATTTCTTTCGATCAAACCGCCTTGTGCAAGAAGTGGAAGGGACTTCCGCCATTTTCTGCAACGGTAACGCAAAGGCTTAAGATTTTTCAAACAATCCATCGCCTTGACCATTTCCGATTGTAGAAGGGACCAATGACAACGCAAAACCGCACGATTCCGGAGCCACCTACACAATAACACACGAGTAAACACAAAGCTTACGTCTCTGATTGCTGAAAACCATCCCGTACTTCGTCATCGTCAGAGCTTGACTCTGTCACATCAGACAAGTTATCAGCGAAGATGCCGCACGGCTGGTTGCGCGACATTGTGTTAAGCTGACCAATATTAGACATGATGCGCAACGCCCGCATCTCAGCTAGATTGCATCGTGAGGCAATTTGATGCAATCTTTTCTCACCGGATTCAACAGATAGAACTGCTTGAGAAGTGCAAGTGGCAAAACGTTGAAAATGAAACGGACTCTGCTTATCCATCACTACTTTCAATAAGGCTGAAGATACGGAGGAATTAAATGCTGATTTTGTGGCCGATAGCGAATTGGTTGTCGTGTATACACTACCAAAGGGAACAGAGACTGTACGGGGAGCCATAGAATCAATCGTATGATCAGATTTTGATTGCGAATATTGCACAAGTGAAGGAGAGCAAGCGTTGTTATTGTAATTTGCAACAGTTACAGTGTCGTCAATATTATAGCCATTGGTGTTAGCGGTTTCCATAAACATGTACGCATTGAAATAAGAACATTTCTAAAACGAGAAGGCGTTAATAAAGCAATATAATTCACTCGATTTGAAAAAAAAGACAATTTATAAAACAACAGACACTAACAGTGCCAAGAAGGAAGATGAAAAGTAAAAAAAGATGGCTAGAAAATAATCGTGGCAAACAACACAAGACTACTCCTGCAAATAAATGACTTTCAGAAAAAGTTAATCGCAAAATCATTGTAACACATAAAAGGTAAGGACTTTCCCATCGAAGAAACCTACCCAAATTCCAGGGATTACTCAATAAACTGTGGAAAATCTGCGACAAACCCACATGGCAGAGATAACCGAGTCCGTTGAAAACCGCGCACGGAGAATGCAGGCTGATTCAAACAAGAATAATGGGCAAAACCCAAAAACTGTAGGTTTGTATGTCTACTGGAAATTGCCGCGACAATATAATAAGCCATGATCCTTGAGAGTTGAAATTTATCGTTGGTTATAAAGGAGAAATCCACAAAAATCCGAGAGATTTAAAAAATAATGATTTCACAGATAATATGTTAACACTTACGATTAGAAGGACGGTCTAGAGATACGGTGGAATTGCTTATACAAATTAGAATTCACCCCCCTAGTACAATTAAAATGGCACAGCTTACTTAAAAAGCTTTTTGCTCTTATCAAAGCATTAGATTTTAATAATTGTTTGCATTCGTGATTTTGCCCTTGTCTGAGGTAACCTTTTAAGCCTCAAGAGATGTCTTCGCTTCGCTCTTTGCACAATCTTAAGCATCTTGTGGTTTTTTCAATCTTACTAAGTGAGGTTACCAAAGCGGGTAAATTTTTTATGATTTAATCGGCTGACAGGGGCTTTGAGTGATAAATCTTGAACAATTATTCTCGTCTCTTGTTTCATAGCACGTGGTGGATGTTGCTTGTTACAAATAGGCAATAGCTTGTGCTACTTAAGACAATTTTTAAGATAACTGCTCTCATTTTTATCTTTGGGTTTAGTCCCTGAACTCGTGTGTCTTATTGCAATTATCATTCTTTATTAAATCCTACTTACTCAGGCCTAATACAGTGCAAGGTTTTGAGCCAGTAAATAACTTTTTAATGCCTTTTTTTAGGAGTGCTGATCAGGACTATTGCCTGTATACACTGTCAGGTTCTTGAAAAATTTTGCTTAATAATCAGCATCTTAGATGTGCCTTTATTTCCCAGACGTCCTTAATAATGGAATGAATGAGGAACTCCATGAACGTCTCACAACAAAGAAAAACTATAGTCCATTTGTGCGACCGGTAAAAACGCACGATTCTGCGGTGCTTTTGTTTATGAACTTAAGCCTTATTCAAATCCTGGATGTGGTACGTCATTCCCATAAATCCAACATTTTAAAGGATGAAAAGCGGCAAATTATAATAACAAACGCATGGGCCAATTTGGTAAACGTTTAACTTTTTTTACAATTATTTCATAACTCAAAAACCCCTTTATCGCACAGATTTGATTCCTGGTTGCTCTTGGATATTGTCGTTCTAGTGTATTACCACTCCTATTTTTATAAACATTTGTTGTTAATATGCTGCTCAGGTTGACTAGTTGTGAATATCTTAGGAATTAAACAACGTCTGATAAATGGTATTTCTAGGACTGGAAAGATCACAATTTTATTTGGGATCCCATGGAGCATGGAAATGTTACGTCGTTGCTTTTGCCTTCAGAAAATATTTGGACTCCTGACCTGGCTCTCTACAATAAGCAAGTTTCCATAGGCGCCTTTTAATTGTTGCTTAGTGCTGGCGGTGACTGGGATCTCGCAAGCTCCTCATCAACTCTAGTTGTTGTTAATTATGATGGGACAGTAGTATGGCGGCCCCCAATCATCTTTAAGAGTCAATGTGAAATCAACGTCGAGTATTTCCCATTTGATATGCAAAACTGTTCTATGAAAATTGGCTGCTGGACACATCACGGTCTTTTGATTGATCTCAGGCATACAAGCCAGAAAGCGAGATCGCAGGCGCCGTTTGATAATTGCAGAAGCCAAATTGATCATGCCATGGACTTATCAATGTTCACTACTGATGTTCAATGGGACTTAATAGGTGTTTCGGCAAGACGAAATATCGAATTCTACCCCTGTTGCACAGAGCCTTACCTCGACATAACGTTTTACATAATCCTCCGCCGCAAACCGCTTTTCTTTGGCGTGAATGTAATCTGTCCCTGTATTTCCATTTCCATTTTAACTATTTTGGTGTTTTATCTTCCAGCAGATAGTAGGGAAAAGATATCCCTTAGCATATCAATACTTATTGCCCTCACAGTGTTCTTTCTCCTGGTCTTTGAAATATCTCCGCCCACTAGCTTGGTGGTGCCATTAATTGTCAAATTCCTGCTCTTTACCATGGTCTTGATCATATTCTCTACGATCGCGACGGTAGTAGTTCTCAACGTACGCACTCGGTCGCCGGACACTCACAAAATATCGCCGTGGATCAGAAGAATTTTTATCGACACTTTTCCGAAAATCCTATTTATCAAGCGGTATGAACACTTCGATACATATGTAAGTTCAAGATTTCCTACCTGTAAAGATAGAGGAAAAGGTAGTGTAAGATCCTGTTCTTCTTTTTAGAGTTTTCGAAAACGACTCAAATCACCTAATAATAATCGAAGGTTTAATTCAATTCAAACGTTTACCAATGGAAATGTTAACATTTTGGCCGGTTTATCGCCAGAACAACTCGAAAGATCGCTTGACAAAGTTCGAGAAACAATCCTCTACTTCCGTCAACAGGAAGAGTGGAACAAGGTGAAGCACTCCGACCGAGTAACAGTGACCCACTTTGAAGATAAGTTGAATTTATAACACACTTGAGACTAAGATCTAAAATTCCCAAGTAGAGTACTCCAGTTGAACAGCCTCTCTCAATAGGGTCACTATAATCTAACCACCTGCCATTTCCACAGATGTTAAGCTTCGACAAATTAAACACATTTTGTTGGAACTAGATTCGCTCGGAGTGGAAGTATGTGGCCTTCGTGATTGATCGCCTGCTCTTATGGATCTTCATCGGCACAACCGCAATTGGCAAGCTCACCTTTCCTTTTTGTTAGCCTAACTTAACATTAAGACGTAGTGAATGCCAATACGTCCGTGAGATAATGCGAATTGACAAAGCATTTCAGTCTTCGCACCTTTATCTACTATTGAGTGAAGTACATTTTTACACCACCTGTAGAATTTTATCCCTTTGGAGTACGGTGTCACTAGCATATGAGTGTTTTAGTGACCATGGCTAGCCTTTTCGGTAGTATAAATTGTAGCTTGCTTATTTCAGGTATAATGTGTACATTTGTACACGCACCTATGCTGTATATCAACGCACGAGCTCTTACAGCATCAACAGCCCATGCTGTGGATGCCATAAACGTTACTCGTCTATCCTGCGAAACCAAACTAACCTAATCGAAGTGTACCAAGTACCAAATAGAGATGCTATTTCATTGCTTTTAAAACCTTCTCCCTGTCATTGATTGGTTAAGTTTTGAGTAATGGGTAGCTCTATCCACCTCCGGGTTTTATTCACCTACTTTTGCAACCACGGAGCGAGGCAATCAACCGAGTAGACGAAAGCAAATTAGGTTTTGACGCTTGACTAATCAGTGTAAGTGGTCTGAAGAGACTTTGTCTGCCCAGTTTTCGCATCCAAATTGTTTCACTGCTTTAGTCTCATCCGAGTTCTAGGGGCAGGTAAATACCAACCGACCGTAAGAATGAGGAAACGAGTTAATTCCAGGTAATTCTATTGAGTACTCTATCTCAACAAGTCCACGGCCAGAGCGCATATGCTTTCATCAAGCCAGCTCGTCAGTTGAAATTGTGCGTAAACATTCCTTATTCACTATACGCAAAGGAAAGTGAAGGATTGAGGTTACTGAATCTACGAAAGACTGAAGTGCATATGATACCGAAGTGGCAAATCACACTTCATTTTTTTGTCATGATAATGAGGAAAAACAGATGCGTAAATTTGCGTTCTGCTTTCAAAGAACCAACCGGGAATAAAAGGAAGATACTGTCAGAGCAATAAAAACTAACTCCAAAATCATTAAAAGTCTGATGGACCTCTATCGCCATAGTGCCATTTCAACATATCGCGCATAATCCTTCTAGTTTTCGAAACACGGACCAGAGGAATCCACTGGTGTCGCAGGTTCCTATTTATCTACTAATAAAATTACCGCTTTCAATTTGCTTTGTAACACGCAACGCAACCAAGGAACAACCCGTTGATAGAGCAATGTGTATATTGAGCCCCTACAGGTACAGAGCAAAATAATCGACGGTGACGATACCAGCTTCAATGTAACATTCCCATCAACTGCAACAAAGCGGAACGTGTACGGCCTAAAACAATGTCGACGGAATAATCCTGGGGATTTGTCACACGCTGAATAAGTAGCAAGATCAAGTCCCATTTTTCAGCCCCATTTAAGAAGTTACAAAGATTGAACAGAATAACTTAATGTTAGAACGCTTTTTGAAGTGATATGCATAAAGAAAATGGACATAAGGGAAGTAGCATGAAGCTCTGCCAAAAGGCCCCTGCAGCTCAAAACCACGACTCACCAGGTCTTATCCATTCCCAAGTAAAATAGTAGGATGAATTTAGCCCAGAAGACCACTACGTGCAAGCAATTGCATTCGGTACTCTATAAAGGCAACAAAAGTAAGCGCAACTAATTATCACTTCCACGACAAAAAGTCCATTCGGAATAGCCAGGAACACCTCTCCAAATGGAAAGTAATTTCCTACCTTTTCTGGCTAAACTAAAGTCTGTGGACAGATACGCCCCTGAATGTTACACTATTGTCATCGGTCGACGCGAAGAAAAACACTGGGCTGAAAGTTATTGCTTGTATATGACTAGTAGGCGATGCACAATAGGATGAAAACAGGTTGGACATTGTAAAGTGCCATCATACTCCCCTATCCATGGCTTGATCATCTTCATCGTTTTGATTCTTGTCCGTGGGGAGGAGAAAAGGCAGGCCACCAACAGCAACGGTGTTTTCAAGTCCTGACAGCATCAATATGTGTTCATGTTCCACATCAAAGCGGAGAGAGAGATGCGAAATACACACTATTGACTTGTCAGCAAGCTGGTATTTTTGATCTGAAAAGAAAATCGTACGTAATGGCAACCAGGGGTGGAAATATAGACAGGATCGATATAACGTACCCTTCAGCACAGGGCTTCCATCTACCAGAACAGGATGTCTGGAAAGATTGGTAAGCCAAAACACACCGTTATCAGCAAGACTGATTTTGCCGTGGTGTCGAGAAATACGCGACGCTTCGCCTTCTCGAGATAAGTCGATGTCTGGAGCAAATTTTTGCACAGCTCGACCGAACGTTACCTGAATAAAGAAAACTCAAGGTACAAGCCAAATATTTCCATTAACAATATGAGACACAAACCCGTAGTACAGAATGCTTATTTGTCATTAACACACCACTAGCAGCCATGTATTTGGTAGGGCATTGGAAATAATGAACTTTCTAGCTCACATTTTTGCACTTGATAAGGAAGCGTGAACGCCTGCCCGTGAGAGTTGCCAGGGTAGGATAAATAGGCTGATGATCTGAGATAACGATTCCATTGGCCACCTTGGACTCCACCAAAGCTGTCCAACGACGCGCCTCTTCTTCCACGCGCGCCTTTTTCGCGTGCAAGCGTCTCCTCGCTCGGTAACGCTCCAATTGAACCTATTGCGAATAAGGCTACCGCCGATGTGTAAGAATGGTCATTTAAATGTGAACAAAGGAAAAACCTATTAACGCTTATAAGATCATCGCATCAGTGGTAAATTTGACAGGATCATCAGGTTTAACAAACAAATGTACAAACTACCAGGACTATGGGAGCTATAAAGATATAGAAATAGAAAAAAAAATACTATACTCGATGCATTGAATTGTTGCTAAGATCGCCCATAAGGTAACCGAATAAATCCCCACAGTTTTGGAGAACAAGGACCAAGTATGCACGGAAAGCGTCTTAGTGTTTCATTCGCCAATAACAAATATAATCTACGCATGTTACTGAACAAGATAAGCTTGCAAATTCCACTCATAAAAGTTCTCCCTAAACATGGCTTTATTTCTAAACTCTCTGTCGCCCACATGACTGTCTAACACAAAGAGAAGCGACAAGCGTCAACTGCAAAAGTATCAGAGGAATGCGGAGCATGGGACAATAAATTGCTCTCAGGGAAAAATGATAATCTAATGGGTATGTCTTACGTCGGCCCGCAAGAATAGGACCGTTTCCGACCGAGTGACTGATCCTAACTGTTTCTCAAAAAGTATTTTTGCACACCCTATCAGACAGATAGGTCACTGCAGTAATTATTCGACCTTCGTCAAGTGGATAAGAGTACGTGCTATACCAGTGCGGAATGGATGGTAAGTGGATCGTTTGGGGATGACCAGTCAGTAACAAGTTCGTTCGTTTAGCGTTTCACTACGAAAGTCACATCCCATCACAGTAACATCACATCATCAGCAATATAAAGCCATTCATTTTCATAAAGTAAAGTGAGGAACAGCAAATTGATGGCCCACAGAGATTGTTGTCGCATATCAATACTGCCCATGTGACTTACGGGCTCAGCTTCGACAACTTCCCCACTTGAATTCTCCAATGTATTGTTTCGTCACTCAAGTTGAACAATGATGAAAGTTCCTAACACGCTAATCACAAATTATTCCAACCAATTGATGCACGTCATTCTTCATAGCCAGGAGCTGAGAGCCTTTCTAAACGTGATACATCTCAGTTATTCAGCACCAGAACCACAATTTTTAAGGCACGTTTTTATACCTTAATCCTACACGAGAAGGTTCTTCAGTTTTGAAACTGGATTGATCGTAATTCGCAAAGCAGACAAGTTTAAACAAAACCAGGGCCGATCGACACTGCATGAAGTTTTAAAGTCACGGTAAATAGTATAGAGCTCGACAAAGAGCACCAGTATAGTGATACACGTCTGTACTATTTGATGCGCGCACACAAACAGCCATATTTTTTTCACAAGTCTCCAGATACCACAGCGAACACATTCCAGAAGTCCTTAAGGCAAGTCATATCGAAAACCGTACCAATTGATAGTAAGCAAATAAAAATTTATGCATTATAATGAGGTGGATGAAAAATATCGAACACACCTCAGATACGAATTCGTCCTGAGCAGAATTTGAGAAATCTGACTGCTCAACAGCAATGGGCTCACTTCTGAATCCAGCCCAACTGGGACTGCGGGGGAGAATTCGATTTGCGCTACCCAGAGATGACGTTGCACAAAACGAGTAGGAGCGTTGATATTTCACGAGAGAGTCTGCCACTGCCTGACTCACACTGGCCTGAAACCCATGATAAGTGACTGCCGATGCAAGCAACCGTTTCCGTCTCGCAATATTTGAGGACTCCATGAGATGAGGCAAGCCTGCCTGCATTACTCTCGCAGTTGTCTCCTGAATAATAAATTCGGTGTCCGAAAAGCTCTCAGGATCACCACCGACATCCGAGGCCTTGTTTAGACCTTCATCAGAAATCAAGTGGCAGCTTCGTAAGCGGTTCCATTGTGAATAAAGGTGGGACGGAGTTCTTGTAGTGTAAAACGCACGCGGATGTTCATTTAGAAGCTTCTCAAAGACGAAATATTTCTCCGCGTTCTTGAATACCTCATTGTAGGAAATTGTCATAAGAAGAGCATCCTCTTCACCAGAAAAGGGAATCTGGGCATCAAGACGACACTTCACAGCTTGAGGCATGTGAAATATAGCCTCACGAGATGTTTTTGAAACCGCTGGATTAAAAAGAAGAAGACGCCACCTCTGTTCAACTTCTGATTCAGTATATGATCGTGTGAAGCGGACGCAGGCACAAACCTCAGCCAAATTACAGGTCTAAAGATAAATTACATAGGGACATATAAACCCAAAATACTATTTGACGTACCACGAAGAGGGAGTGAATAAGTAGGTAATCATCCTCTGGTCTCCATGGCGGATCGATCTGCTTCCATCGATTGTGTATTCCAGGAATGTCACGAGTTCGTTGTTTGCTGCGAGACTGTGACTGAATGAAATTAACGTTAGAAATGTTTATTCATCTTTGGGTACACGCGCTATGAAAAGGAAGAATTTTAAAACAATCAACAGGTTTCTATGTATTTTTAGCAAGGACTATTTAAATAGGGAACTTGTGCTATGTTAGATAATGCACAACACCCTAATCAAGCACAGCAAGATTATAAAAATACAAGCCATAGCAGGATTATATGAACCAAAGTTTCCTTCCCCAAATTAGGTGAAATTTATTCAAAATATTTATTAGTTTGCGTGACCAAAGCGCTTTCATGAATTTGCGCGTGCACCTTAAATTCCTTTTAGTGAGGAAAAAACATTGTAGATCTATCAGTAAGGTCAGCAAGGCGTAACTAATTCTGCGAGAAAGTAGGCTCAAGGCACTGACTTTACGTCCACCCGCAATACCACCAACCATTGACGCTCTGACCGATCCAGCCAATCCGCAATGCGAACATTTTAAATGCGGCGGTGATGGAAAATTCAAAATATATCTAAAATTAAATAAATTTACATTATCATTATGCATAGCACAGAACTGGTTAGGGGACAAAAGCAGATAATAAACAAAGTGCATTGGTTTGAAAGAGCTGCATAACAAAGATTTCTTCATGTATGTAAATTATGGAATAATTATCTACCTGATGAAATGTCTAATGTGGAGAAGATTTGCCTTTAAAAAGGGCACCAACTCTGACTTTTTGTCTAACTGATTGTTAATGTAACCAGTAATTAAAAGTACTGAGCATGGCCTAGGACCATTACTTGCTTTGTATAACTCAAAATATGCCACCTAAATATACAAGTTGACTTTAAGCGAAATAATCCTGCCTTTTATTTTAGTGCATGTTCTGTTCGACTGCCTACTGAGTTACTTGAGTAATTCAGCTTTTGGTAGTTGTGATTTCGCTCTGCACCCCGACATTCCGGTAGTGCTCGTATTATCCTAACTCTCCTGTTGTCAGTAAAATATGTCTTTCCACAGTGTGCTGACATGTTGCAAATTCATGGTAGATTTGGAGGACTGCATTGGTGGCAGCGTCGAGCAATCTTGGCCCATAATGTGTACAATTCTGATCTCTGTGGCTGACTGGAGAAGGGTATCTACAGCGGACATATGAATTTGTGAGGACTTTAAACAAAAGGGCTAAGGGTGACGCTTAATCGTTAGCTATCTCAATCTTCTGCTTCCCAAGGATTTCACTAACAACTGTAGCAACGCCAGACTTGACCCATTTGGGGAAGTCCCGGATAGATGATTGGCCAATACCGAAATGCGAACAGTGCCAGGGAAGTATAGATTTTAAAAGCTGGACTCGTAGAACTATTTTGGATCTAACTTTAGGCCGGTGCTCGTACGAATGGCGATTAGTTTACGCGATACCCTCATCGAGGTGCATATATTGGTAAGCGTAATATGAAATCAGCACGTTTCCTTCAACAACAAATAGTGAGAGATACCGAATACAATCAAAGCGAGGAGCTGCGCCACTGGCCAAGGAATAAAAACGCTTTCTCACGTGCAAAAATTTTGAGTTCGTGACGCTGGCAGTTCAAAAACGAATTTGGGACATAAACTGTCGTTGCGCACCACACACGAGAGTGATCCGCAGCAGCATCGTCAACGCCCAAGCGGGACTCCTCGGTCACTTGGCACCTCCGTTCACTTCAATTCAATCCCCTTATGTTGTACTCCTGTCTCACAGAACGGTCCTCTGCACTTTATGAATATTTATTCCTCTCAGCTTGTCAAGACTTCGAGGAAGAATCGGAGCGTCACGATTGAAGCAACCCCGCACCCTCCCAGTCGTCAATGCCGATCAACAGCCCCGGAACCCAACCTCTTTCCCCGCACGGCATTTCACGGCAAACTTGCGAGCTAATCCCCGCTGAATTCCAGGTCTGCCACCCAGGTACATAACCTTCTAGCAAATTTGAGGAGATCCGTGTGCATGCACTAACAGATTCTAGAAACCTACGACCCGCTTGATACAGAGCAATTCACCAACCCGCACAGCCATCCAAGCACTACGACGGCGGAGGCAAGAGGTGGCAACCAAGTCTTGCAAGTTAGGATCGGCGCGACGTGCCAGCACACCCCTTAGACAACAGCACGTTTAAATTGCAAAACAAACTTCACCGGACAGCGTATTATATTACCAGTCATCTCTCACCAGGCAAAATCAAACATCAAGTGAAAGAGACTTGTTACGAATGTTTCAAGAGCAATTAACAAATTTCCTTCCGGTTTTTCAGCAAATCTGGCCACATCAATCCTACTTTGCAGGAAGGACATAGACCACCAAGAGGAAGAAGTTCCTGCCCATCCTCTGTGAGATGCCGTGCCAGGCAAAGCAGATGCCAAACACCATTTTCACAGTTTGCAGGACATGATAAAAGACAGGAATCACAAGCCGATTCAATCTAAAAACGTCCACTTTAACCACTAGTAAAGTGAAGTATACATTGAAGAAGAAATATTTGAACCTTTGTACGATATCCAAGAGAAGAGAAAAAGAAAACTAACCTCTAACTTGTTTTTACATAGGTGACACGGCTTGCTATTACGAACGCGAGTTTCTATGGTAGGCTCAGCTGATTCGATGGGGCCATAGGCAATAGGCATATGCAGGGGAGGTGATAATTTTGACGGGAATTCTTGAATGTACTCCTGATGGATCCACCTTATAGTCAACCCTAGCCTGCTCCATGGCCGCACACGCAGCATGTGGCAAAGAACCCGAAAGCGGAATTGAAGAGGTGTCTCGCGCTTTGTTTTTGGAGGAATATAGGGAACTCGCCTTGATTGATACGGATTCTGCCACGCCCACTCAAACTGATTTCGATATTATACAAGTATCCTTACCCGAAGGGCAGAAATATCATTAGGGAAACCATGTACCACCAGCACCATAACCCTCTATATAAAGAAGTGTTATAAGCACCATCGTACCAGGGACCTTTACCGCCCGTAGATTTTGCCCCACCGCATTGAGACCCGGAATTATGTTGCTGAATCCTTCTCTTGGGGTTTACAGTATAGCCCACATAAGTTCGACCGTTGCAATGTGGATTGAGAGAAACGAGCAAGTAGCAGCCGTGGAATCCGTCGAGAGCCGAAGCTTCATAAGTCTGGTCCAGCATTTCATCAACAGCACTAAAAGCGTGGTCGGCAAAGATTCGACTGATAGCCTCCAAAGCGATGACAAAAACAGATCGAGTGATGGCGTTAAAAAGAACAGATGCTTACAAAATTAAAAGCAAAGAGGCAGGCAGAGGAAGACCTTTCAAAATAAAAGTCAGCGTTATTGAAAGGAAAAACCTCATACATTCAAACTTCCCAGGACTGCGACTCTACGGGTGACTCCGTGAGCTTTAAATTGTGAATTGTAACAACGCTGGGAAAGTGAGACTATTGCGTAAAACGATCAAACAAGGTCTACAGAAATGTCCTAATTAGTCTATTAATCAGCCTACCTACACCAAAAAATAACGCGAGAATTCAATATTGTTACTTGTGCATACTTCCGTTGCACCGCAACGATGTTCTTTGGAGAATACAAGTGTGAAAAGCATGCACACCAGAAATTATCAATAATTCTATAACCCTTAGAGCATTTACCTCAGCCAATTTTATTTTATTTAATAAAACCAGGTTGAAGTATAAAATTTCTATACTTTTACTTTGCTATGCCTTGTTTCGTTGAGTTAATTCTTTTCGTGCGTGGTCCAAATTTCGGCTGATGGACGTGTTTGATAATTATTGTCCTAGTTCTCAGGCTCTAACATTTTTTGATCCGGACGAAGGTCTAATTGGTGCTGATACCCAAGGACCGGACTTTGACGTGATTGACTTTACTTTACCGACACAGTCGCAAACGCAGTCCTCACATATTGATGTCAAGTCTAGTGTTGACAATGATGATGTAGCTTATCTATTTTTTCCATACCATTTTCTAGTCAATTTCTACAGATCCCAATAAGAATGTTGAACGTCTTGTCGAGGATGTTGATAATCTGAACCTACGTGCTTTGGATGATGATGCAGAAACGATGGTTGAGGAACTTCCAGAACACGCATGTGCCTATTGTGGCATTAGTGACCCAGCGTCGGTCGTTTTATGTACTAACTCCAAAAAATGGTTTTGTAATGGACGAGGAAACACTTCTGGAAGGTAAAGTATGTCATTTTCTCACCACCTCTGTAGCCATATTGTCAACCACCTCGTCCGATCAAGATACAAGGAGGTTTCACTCCACAAAGACAGTCCACTAAAGGACACTATTCTAGAATGCTATGTGTGCGGTTCCCGAAATGTATTTCTTCTTGGTTTTGTGCCGGCAAAGGCAGAATCAGTAGTGGTGTTACTGTGCAGACATCCTTGCGCAAACCAAAATAAGGACATGAATTGGGACCCAACTCAATGGCAACCGCTTATTCAAGATCGACAATTTTTGTCTTGGCTCGTTAAAGTCCCTAGTGATGAAGAACAAGCAAAGGCGCGTCAAATATCTGCTCAACAAATAAATCGTTTGGAGGAGTTGTGGAAGGAAAATCCGGAGGCCGAAGTTATTGATTTGGAAAAACCTGGTATTGAAAAAGAAGTCAATCCTGTCCTGTTAAGGTATTGCAAGTTTTTTTGACAAACGATTTAAGGTATGATGACGCAACCCACTACTGTGAAACACTTGTTCCACTTATTCGCCTCGAAGCTGAGTATGATCGTAAAATCAAAGAATCTATTAAATTGGAAAAGGTTTGTGTTCGTTGGGAAGTGGCATTGAATCGGAAAAGGGTTGCGTATTTCAGAATTCCGGGCGCCAACGAAGGTACACCACAGTAGTGTAAACGAAGAGTCTTTAGGTCCTGAGTTGAGAATTATACATGGAGATGAACTAATACTAATCAAGTCGAGAGGCCTAGAAGAAGAAGCTATGGAAGGTCATGTCACAAAAATACCTGACAGTGAGTTTGGTTATTAACCAGTTTGCTGTGTTGTTGTTTGCGATTTTTAAGTGATGTTTTTTAGACTTCTCAGATGAGGTTGCCTTGGAGATGGAATCTATTCCCGAAATGTTTACCAATGCTCCCTCATATACAGTCGTGTTCAAATGGAAGGGAACTACCTACGACAGGATGATTACTGCCGTCTTTAATGTTAACAAAAATTTGGAAGACTATATAAAGTTAAGGATTCTCGGCCGTGAAATGGAGGACATGGTTTTGAAATGCAATCTCCCGAAGCGTTATTCAGCTCCCGGACTTCCTGAGCTGAATCACAGTCAGGTTTATGCAGTGAAAACTGTTCTTCAGCGTCCTCTCAGTTTGATTCAAGGTCCGCCCGGAACTGGGAAAACGGTTACTTCCGCCACAATCGTGTATCATTTGAGCCAAATACATAAAGGAAAGGTTTTGGTTGTTGCTCCTAGCAACACAGCCGTTGATCAGTTGTGTGAAAAGATTGACCAAACGGGTCTTAAAGTCGTCCGAGTGTGTGCTCGTTCGAGAGAGGCGTTGGTTTCTCCAGTCTCGCGGTTAACTCTCCACGTTCAAGCTCAAAATGTCAATGGACAAACAGAACTGCGAAAGTTGCAACAACTAAAAGATGAAGCTGGTGAATTAAGTAAAGACGATGAAAATCGATATAGAACCTTGAAAAAGGCGTTGGAGGGTATGTGTCCCCCTTTTTATCGTGCGGTTTACAACCAATGTATCTGGTCGGTTAGAATAAACCTTTTTCCCAGCTTACTATTATCCCTTCAAATACGGTTGTAAATGAGCACTTCGGCGAAGCAGTGGTTGAAGTATTTTATTTTAGATGAAATCCTCCATGCTGCGGACGTAGTTTGCTGTACATGCGTGACTGCTGGATCAAAACGATTGTGGATGAGTTTTCATTCCGTACTGATCGATGAATCAACACAAGCAACTGAGCCCGAATGCTTAATTCCTCTGATGGTCGGATGCCGTCAGGTAGTTCTCGTTGGCGACCACTGTCAACTGGGACCGGTTATTACGTGCAAAAAAGCGGCCAAAGCTGGACTTACTCAAAGTCTCTTTGAGCGCCTCGTTCTCCTCGGTATTCGTCCCATCCGCTTGCAGGTTTGTTGCCAAATCTGTGGTGTACTAAATTTAGAATGGTTTGTGTTGGTGTCAAAGTGAATTTCTATTTTCCGTCATGTGTATTTAATTATGCTTACACTGAATTCTATTTCCACGTAAATCGCCAAAGTTGCTGCCTTTTCGCGGCGACTTTTCCTACTGCTTTTTTAACTGCTGCATTTCTAATGGTGCTTCCAATGTTTAGGTCCAATACCGTATGCATCCGGCGTTATCTGCCTTCCCAAGCAACGTGTTTTATGAGGGAAGCTTGCAAAATGGTGTGACCACGGAGGATCGCTGCAAAAAGATTGATTTTCCATGGCCTAATCCTGATAGACCCATGTTTTTCTACTGCACCACAGGTCAAGAGGAGATATCTGGTAACGGGGTCTCTTATCTTAATCGAACGGAAGCTGCGACTGTCGAGAAAATTGTGACTAAGTGAGCTCGTAGAGTCGTGACTCTATTGTGATTGTTTGAGATACCTAAATATTCACGGTTTTGGGACTTCAGTACAAAGGAGCCCAACTTCACATTTGAAACGCTCATTTTATCCATATTCAGTTATTTTCTTACCTAGAATGCTGAAAGTGGGTGTTAATCCTGCTACAATCGGTGTTATTACTCCTTACGAGGGCCAGCGTGCTTACATTGTGCACTACTTCCACCAGTCTGGTTCGCTGAACTCCAAGCTTTACCAGGAGGTTGAAGTTGCTAGTGTGGACGCTTTCCAAGGTCGTGAGAAGGACTACGTAATTCTCTCTTGTGTGCGTGCGAATGAACATCAGGGAATAGGTTTTCTGAACGACCCACGACGTCTTAATGTCGCTCTCACACGCGCTAAGTTTGGCATGATCGTTGTTGGCAATCCCAAGGCTCTTTGCAAAGTATGTTTTCACATACTGTTGTATGCGTTGAAGAAAAAGCTTAACTGCTTATCATTTTTCAGCACAATTTTTCTGACCCTAAATCAGATCAAGGTTACTCCTAATGCGAAAGAAGTTAGAAAGTTGTCTTTTTCACCTCGTCTTAATTGCGCATCGGTAGTAGTGCAATTCAGCTTCCATCATATTGTGCTCCAATTTATATAATTTGTTGCTATTTAATGTTAGTAGGTATCCATAGCTCATTTTCACGGTAAAGTAACTTACTGTGGAAATACACTTTTTTTTTGTATTTTGGCGCAGGGAATAACACCATTCTTAACACATCGCTTTTCCATCATTTAAAATAATCGTTTGATAAACTGGGTTTTAGGTGGAGGTGCTCATACAACTGGCCAAAACCCATACCATTCCATTATTAATAAAGTATAAACTTCAGGAATCACGAGTGAATAAAAGGCATTAATTCGATTTTAATTTGGACTATCACAGCCCATGACGTTGTAATTGGTCCATTAACCTCTTGCATCTACTGTAGCAACCGTTGTGGAACCACTTGTTACACTTCTACAAGGATCAGCATTTGCTTGTCGAAGGTCCACTGAATAACCTAACTGAATACGTACTCAACTTTCCGAAGCCAAAGGTTCCATATAGTTACAAACCGGGAACCCATAGTTTTAATCAGTTGGCAGCGACGCTCGCCCAAGTTGCAGCGGACTCCCGTTCAAAGTTGGCTGCGCACCAAAGTGCCTTGGCTCAGTCCCATGGAGCCGCCTCCTCGAATTTTTCAACTCCAGCGATAAACTTCATGCAAGCAATGGCAGCAGCGGCCGCTTCCTACTTCGGCACCGGTGGAGCTGGGAACCCTAATGTCGTGAATTCAGGGTCTTCAAACAATACGGCCAATCACGCTGCTGCCTATGCGGTTGCAGCAGCCGCTGCTGCCCATCAGGGTGTGGCTTTTCCGAGACCCGATCACCAACCTGGGTTCGGCGCAGTCAATCCATACCTATTCGACCAAATGGGCTACATTAGCCCCAACCAACAGTTTGCTACTGCAAATGCAAATTCCAGTAAGTTCATATTTTTAGGAATCGTTATTTTTTCATGTTTTATCCTTGAACGTTCTGTCGAGGAGTACTACTTTGACCTTAGGCTCCATATTTGGTAAAAATTTATTTTTCTTTATGATTGGAAAGCCATTAATGAGCAAATCCTGGCTGCGGATGTGGAATAATCGGTGAATTATTAATTGAATTTATTTCAGACTTGCCTATACCACTGAGCATGATGTACAATCCAACTGGACGTTCGGGCCGAACACAGGACTCGAACTTCTATGGAGCCATGAGAACGCAGCAAGATGTTGGGATTGGTATAACAAATTCTCGCCCATCTGGGTCCATGGCTCCTCGCTACAACGCCTCTCGCCAGCAGCGCTTAGGAACATCGGCCGCCAACCAGCAAAATACAATGAACACGCAGTCCGTATTACTTTCTCAGGCAGCCGGTGCAAATGTAAATGGAAACGTTGTTGGTATGCTCTCTCAACAAGGGGGTGCTAGCTGGTCCTCCAGCCGCTACGCTGTTGATGGATTTTCGGGTAAAATATCAGAAGGAACGAGTCAACAGGGCGTGGGTCATATGGAACTAACAGGCCTTTCCCAAGTAAGCCTTCGTTATTTCACCTCATCGTTGTTAAATGTTCCCTTTTATGGGAGTATGCCTCATTGCAGTAATGGATGTATTCTAGGTAGTGAAATTGTCTTGGTGGTTAAACACTTGAAAATCTTCAATCTAAAGGTACTGATATCTTTACTTTTTTCCTAGCTTATTTAATTTTAACGATAATTTTGGTAACATATGGCTTAGTAAGTATTTTTTTGATGCAATCAATGTGTCACTTTTTTACAGGACAGTGTGGCGCTCGATTTCACCTCAGGAGCTAGTCAAATAGACAATCTCCTCTTGTCTCAGGATGCCGCATTTCAGGGCCCTGCGGCCGGTGCGTTATCCTCCGACAGGTCGGGCAAGAATCCGCTCGGACTAACCATCGATGGCCTCGGCTTCACTGATGTGCCCGATACTATTAATGGTGCAGCAAATGATGTCTCTGGTCCCTCCGGAGCTCCTTTATCACAGTTTTAGTAGGTGTCTGGTGGCGTTATTGTGTAGACCCGCAGCGCAGTACCTGTTGATCTCGCGCAGCGTCCGGAGGTATGATGTAATTGTGCGCAAGAAGTTGAAGACGACACCCAACTTTGAAGATGACTGTAGACTATTCCTTTTCCCCGTAACTGTGTTGGCTTGTACCTGCTCATGTGGGGGTCGGGTATGGGCTGTCTGGCGTTGCTGTTTCCGTCGTTTGTATGGTTAGTAGAGTCCTTTGGTAAAATAAACGCTTTCGTAAGGCTTATTTTCATTCCATCACTTGCTGGGGTTGGCCTGAGGGTTGTGTCATCTGATGTGGGGGTGCCGTTTCTTGGGGCATACTGGTGAGGCGGTGTGTGGTGCACCTTGCCGTGGTTCCGATTGGCCGGTCTCGCCTGATGATGGTCTAAGGACACCTGTTTGGTTTTGCATTCTGAACTAATAAGACAGACTGTGAATGTTCTGCCAGCTGTTGCAGCACAGCACGACCTTTGTTTGTTTCGGCTTTCCGTGGAAATATGGGATTCTCAAAAAATAAGTGGTTTCTGTTAAGCCTCGGTGGTGTAGCGTCTGAGTCAGCAAATGCAGCAGTGTTTTTCGGTCACAGTCCTATAATATTTTGGTGATGGAATCAGACATTTTGAAAGGGTAGGAGATGCAAGGTTCTGAAGTAAATAAATCTGGGGTGCAAGAATACTTTGAATTAAAAAGCTTCAATGTTAGCATGACCCTTTATATGGCCTTATTTTTTGTGAAAAATATAGCATACATAGTTTAGTACTAAGCAGCTAAAACGAAATCAGCCCGAAGTCTGGTGTATAACTTCATCACTTCATATTGTCGAAGACGCATAAACATCTGTCTTAAAATAGTTGCAATAGTCTGATTATTATTGTTGTGTAGTTTTGCGACAGGTCACTTTGTAAGTATTTAGCCTAGCCGCACATCATTTTCACGTCTGGATTTTCTAATAAGTTTTTGTGAAATCTTGCTGTTTTAATAGATAATATTGGTGTCTGGGTAGTTTCAAGGTCGCCCTTGCGTCCTTGTTTTTGCATCAGCCGTTTTGGCGTTTTGGCGCAGTAGGTGTTCGCTGGAGCACTTTAGTGGCATTGAAGATAAAACATTAGACAAAAACATGCAAAACTCCTCGATACAATCGTGTCAGTACAACGGTTTTTCGGTGCCGGAAAAGTCCTACCTAAATATTTTGTTTGAGACACTATTTAGTAAAAGTGATAAGGTTAGATGGATATCATATGCTATGGGTAAACTAGGTTACGCCCTATTTTTACATAAAACGTCCAGACATAGTTCGTTGTAAACTTAGTCGGATGTTTTCCAACGGGTCCGGTAATCTTCAGGTATTTCGCTTATATCAGGATGTGGTATTGGTTAGGTCATATCCGATTTTGACCGGACGCTGTCCAAATGCTTCAACGATGACGGTCAGGTGAACCCTACTTGTCATGGAATTATGGAATCCGATCCTGAAATAACAAGTGAAGCTCGCAACAAGGTAATCTGCTATTTTCCTGTTATTTGTAGTTGAGCATGCTGAAACAAACCTATGGGTCTCTGGAATTCGACAAGTATATCCCTCACTCACTGAAAAATCCTTATATGTTAGAATGGTGGGACATCGCTCATCGAGTCATTACGTCCTGCAATGTTCATAGAGACACTTTGAAAATGACCCTATATGGTAGCAATTTTCAGCTCAGGTAAGCGTTCTTCGGAATTGCTCCCATTTATTGATCAATTGTACTGTTCTTTTACCTTACTGACCCAAAATTTGGTTTATTTAAGGGATAGGGTCCCTGACTTCATGTCAACTTTAAATAGGCATAATATCCCCATGGTGATCTTCTCGGCTGGCCTTGGGAATATTATCGAATGGATATTAGAAAAGGAAGGTCTTCTCTACGAAAATGTTAAGGTCGCCTCCAACTTCATGAAATTCAATGAAAAGGTAATTTCTGTCTTAATAAGTGCGGTCTGGAAAAGTCATCACGCGGTTTTGCGCTACTTGTAGGGGCTACTCGTCAGTTTCCAATCGCCATGCATTCACACATTTAACAAAACTTTTGGCGGCCTTGCTTTGAGCGATGAGGATCGTAGCGTTTTTTCGAAGAGGCGTTGCATTATGCTTCTGGGTGATTCCCTATTCGATCATCGTATGGCCGACGGATTGATTGAAGAGGATATAAGGGAGGACATTAGTGAAAGTAGCACATCAGTCATCCTTAAAATTGGTTTCCTGAACGAAAAGGTTGGTTTTCAAAGTATGAGAATTTCTGGTATATTGCCTCTACCAGCATTTTCTGCATGAGGCGTGTGCCATGTCTGTTCATTTGTTGTCAGCTTTTCGTATTTAACTTTACATAATAAGTGTTAATAGTTCACTATGGAGAGGTAATAATATGAGGTGTCGGTGGCTTCATAAAGAGAATAAACCATTTTGCTGAAAACCGAAGGCTATCTGCGTTCCGTGGGTAGATAATACCCAGAATTACATAATTTACCAATTCCAGTAGATGGACGAAGTCAATATCGGAACAACTGTTTAGTGCCTTGCGGTAGTATCATAGAGCATCTCTTTCTGCCTCTGGAAATGCCTTATTCATCTCATGTTTGGTATTCTGTTTCTATTCGTAGGTCCGGGGTGCTTATTTTTTTGATAAAGGCTTAACGAGTGGCCATTTATTCTGTAGATAGAAACACTACTGGATGAATATATGAACCTCTATGATATTGTTCTTACAAGCGACGGTGGCTTTGAACTTCCTTTGGAAATTGTCAGCTGCATTATTGAGTCGGAGCAACCGAAGCGAAAGTGAATACTTTGCAAAAGGGTGTATGATGTAATTGAAGCTGATTGAATACCATGCAAGCGCTTTACCCTCTACATCTTTAATTTTATTTCACTTATCTGAATTCAAGTGTAAGCCAGTGGTTCAATTAGAAACAATAAATTAGGGAAATGAACTGTTTTGTTATTTGTTTGCTCTGGGTAGTCGAGTTTGCTCCCTCTTATAGCACGCCTCTCGCGAGTTGTCAGATTTTACGCCCTTCGCTGTGCACAGGTCGGATGCCAAATGGGTGGGAGTTGGTGTGCGTTAGTGATTCCCTGCTACGTGGACCATGATGCTAAGAGCGGGTGCGGTTACCACAGGCTCATTCACCTGCATGCCTTAAAAAGGGAAGTTTAAATGTTAGGATCGGATCTTTTACTGTTGACCGTAAAATTAGCCAATTCTTGTGAGCAAGGCGTAAATAATATTACATGCCCACAACTGCTTCGGTGCAAATTGACAAAACGGAAGCTATCTGTAGGTAATTAACACGTGCAGATTTGTACTGAAAGCGCTCATCTGATGTGGGCGACGTGCAAACAAGTTGCATACATAATTGTGTGGGATAAACTATTCAATGGACTTCATTTATAAAAAGGTTTCTCGACTTCTGATCTTGTCCCTTAGACGTAGACGCCAGTCAGTCGTCCCACAAAGCATTGAGGAAACGAAAGAACAGTACCAACTTAGTGTCAATTGGAGGAGACGTTTTAGAGGTGAGGCTACGACTAGCGTAAATGTGCGTAGGTATTTTAAAAACCAAACTTGGCACAGGTGGGCGGAAATGCATCGTGCCTTTCTTCTTCGTTGGTAAGCGACTTATAAGTCAAAATCACTCACCATGAGCGCTATTGGTAAAAGGAAGTTTGCACAGCATCAAAGAGTGGTGTTACTCTATGCGCAACGGCCCGTAGCGATGTGAAAGAAGTCGTTGCAACACCGTTCAACGCAATAGAAACAATTGCATGACTTTGTAACAATAATATGATTATTTGAATAGAGTCGGCAGCAAGAAATCCGACTTTAAGCATTTTAGTCCGAATAAAAATGCCAGCGGTAAATCAGCATTAAAATTATCCGCATCCTCCATATTCGGCATTCCTCTTTTATAGAGTACCGTGCTAGTTCTTACGCATGTTTATTGAACAGCGCAAATATACGCGAACAAATGTCCTCCAAACCCAAGCGTTGTCATTCGTTGGATAAAGTTTGGCTTTATTTGTTTGCTATTTTTGATTTGTGACGCTTTTGGCGTAAACAGCAGTTAGCTTTGAACTCCCAGCAATGCCACCAAAAGCCTATGCTCAATGTATGCCCGATTTCGCGAGGAGTTTTGGCTGTTGTGGCTCATCATGAAAGCAATCGGGGAGACGCTCAATGATAGCTCTCACAAAATCCTCTCCTTTTCAAATAATCACATAGTTTACCAAGAAGTGTGCGTAAAATGAGCTCAAAGTAAAAAGTTTGACTCCGGACAAACCAACTTTCGAAAAGCCAAGAAGAGTTCCTTAGAATCATGAGAAAACTTTACAAAGTATTGTTTCGGCAACTCAGGGCCGTGCAAACCAATAAATCTCTTGAGTGAGGGTTTTCAAGCTTCCGTTGGATTGCAGGAGGATTCGCTGCAATAGTTTCATCTTGAGGTGTGTAGATGGTAGTGGTTGTTACCATCACCAAACATTTTGGTGTGTTTAAAACAAACTCCCTGTGTTCTAAATTAAATTTTCTTGAATTTCTTAAATTTTTTTAATACCTGTCTTACAGGTATGTGGACAAAGTGTGTGTTCCCGGAGCAGATAGGACGTTGGCTACTGCCTTTCTCTTGAACGGTTTTGCAAGCTGTGATTGCACTAGACAAATAAGCCAAATCCTAATGACAACTAAGTGTGAGATACTTTAAAGGAAGTAAAATTAAAACTTAAACTACTCTGAGGTGTCAGTTTGAAAATGATTCTAAAATTAGCGGTTACTTTATGTCGGGGTTAATATTTTAGCCCCATTAGACTAGTTGCCGTTCCATATAGATGAATTTTGTTCAATTAAACATGAATTTTTTTATTACACAGTTAAGTAAATGCACGATTTGAGCATGAATTGTAGTTGTATGGAGGACTAGTATCTAATCAGTCATCAAGACTGATTACAATGCTTTGTTAGTCTGTCTAACTCTGCGTTTGATTGCACTAGCACTTAAGCTTCTTGAGGTTGTGCTTCTGACCCATGCCAGTTGCCTCCGTCCTTCTGTAAGTCAGTAGCATATTTTCTGCCAACCGATTTATCCGCGACGTTTGCATATTGCAGTGGAACTATCCAAATGTTGCATTTCGAAAAACTATGAGAATTATAATTGCATCAACATTTTATTGGAGCAAACGCACACAATACATGCGCACTCCAGTCAATGTTATACCAAATTTTTTGCTGTGACTTTCAACTCACACTAATATTTCATAGAAGAATAAACACCCAAAGGTTGGAAGAAGTAAGGACTCTGGAACTGAGGATTGCTTGTTTATCTCGCCTAGAATATGAGGCTAGCGTGGGAAAGATGGTCTCAACGGAACGGAGCACGCACTGGTTACTTTGTGGAACGCAAAATCACCTAGTACGAGTTTTCCTTTTGCTTCATTTATATTAGCAGACCCTTGTTGACCGCCACTGACGTCGAGACGCAGCAGTTTTTATATTTCTCAGAGATTTTCGCCTCAATCTGCTCGCGAGTGCATTGGTTTAGGGCTTGTTTAACGCTCTCCAGCGTCACTCGTTTGGCGTCTCCGCAGGATATTGTGTTAATCACTGGATCTGTCCGGCTGAACTGTTTGGCGAGGCTCCAGATCTTTTCTATGCTGCAGTCTCCCTTCATTTCCCCCTTCAAACCAGTTTCTTCCAAAATTTTCTCAATCTATTAATAAAAAGCGTGCTGTTTTATCACAACGCTTCTTGAATAGTAGTATGTGACAGAAATAAGAAAACTGTACTGAAGTCCTCGTTAAGACAAATACTTGAGACATCTACGCATAGAAATAAGAATTCGTCTTGAGAAAGTTTTTTCCCACTCGCCATCCACACGGAAAGGAATCATTTAAAAAGGAAAAAGCAATCCTGACGCCTAAACTGTTGCTGACTTGACATCTATTTTTGATCAAAAAAGTGATATAAAGTTGTGTTAAAATTAGAGGAATTCCGAGTCTCCAGAAAACTTGGCTAAAAACACGGGGAATACTTTCGGAAGGGATTTCGAATGAGCATAAGCATTGGACAACCTGTTAAGTGGATCAGATTTCCTGGCCACTAACTTTCAACACTCTGGGAAAATAAACCCAGTGGTTGAAGAGAGGGCGGATCAATTATTTTAAAGATGATGCATCAAATGCTTTGTCATTTGAACATTCTTTTTGCTTGTTTCGCAAAGTTTTTTAGAAAAAAATTAAGGAGTTACAAGCCCACCAAATCACTCAAATGGAAAACTGTCTGAATGTTTAGAAAAAAAACATTGTCTAGCCTTGAGGTCTCCAACTTATGGCACTTTTCGGTGCTCACTTAGCCAGTCCTCTTCTCCTTGAACACCCATCCTAACTTGTCTCAGTAGTGAATGTTAGTTTAAGAAGGCATCAATGAATCTGTACATAACCAAAAAGGTTTACGTTCATAAAAAAAGCGCGTTCCAGCATAAACATTCCCTTAAAAGAGCGATTGTTTACTGTCAGCGTACCAAAAGACATGCACCAAGTAAAAAATGGATGCAGTTGTGTAGTGAGGTAATCGTAGTAGCAGGAATGGGGTAACGGTTTCATCGGTACAATGCCGATAAGAGGGAAAGGAGTTAAGGGCTTGCGGTGTAGTACAGCCAATTTGAGGTTGTGCAAACTGTACCCCGTTTAACAATGACGTCGCAGAAGTTCCGCTTCTGTATTTGGTAAAGAAGGATTACAAACGGGAGCCTGGTATCTAAATCGTGTCGGTCTCATCAGTACGATCGCTGCGCTTGAGTGCGCCAAAACGACAAATGTAAGGAAGTGATGATGACCACTACCTTTGAATTAATTGAGAACCATAACTAGGTGCTTCTACTGACCGACCCAATATCATCAAACCGACTAAGAAAGGTAGTGCTGTGAAACGCGTTTTTTTTCTTTTGTGACACAATGCTTAGAAGCCCGGTAAAAACATTAAAAGCGAGAACAAGGAGGCAAATTATGGCATTTGTAAACCTATTCATGAGTAAAATGGACAATGATTCATGCAAACGATTGGAAAAAGCTAAAATAGTATAAAACAAAACAATTCCTGATAGACCAAGCAAACTACTTTTCTTCTGAATTCCAACCACGCCATTGCAGTTTTGACAATTTCAATGGTAATCACATGCACTGTAGAGACAGGCGTACTCGAAGCTAAGCAACTTACCTCTTCTTTGGTTCGAAGAACAAACATCCGCCTCTTGCAACTGTCGTATCTTCCTTGAAAGGGCGTGCACACGGAACTCTGGGCAGTGGGAACACAAATTTCTCCATGTCGCCTATTTTTGTACAGCTGAAAACAAAAAGAGCATATCCCAAGATAAATACTCAGAAAACCACAACAAATAACGATGTCTTGCATAAGACTACGGTTTCAGCACTAGCTGTAAAGAGGTTTACATGCTTTGTAAATTGCACGTACTTTGGAATGTGTTTAGTCAAGCATTGAGCATTCCCCTGCATTTACACCCTGTTTACTTTCAGAACGGCGACCGCTTGGCTCTTCGTAAACACTTTGTCAAATGCGCACTTGGCAATTCAAAAAGATTAACAACATGCGAAAAAGCTACCATTATTTTAAATTATGATCGCTTTTATTTCAATTAAACCGGCTACTAAAGAAAAGAACTAAGCTTTGCCATGTCTTTGATCACATAATTGCTTAATAGAAATTCGAATCCGCCATACTGTTTTTCGTTATTTCGAACAACTACACGATTGATTACAACCACTTTCGCGCAGCTTGAAACCATTTCCTTTGACACTGTAATGCTGACAATAAGGCTTTTGAGGCAATAAAGCAACTTTCTCTAAAAAGAGTTTTCAGCATGGCCTGTTTTGAACAGGATTGAAGTGCGGAAATAAAGGAAATCAGTACAATGTCTCGAAAATTACAGCTGTCCGAGCATTGTAACCTCGAATCGAGGTGTAAGTAACTTTCCATTTGACGGTGAAAGATTAAACTCATTAAGTAATAAAACATAAAATAAGATTAAAACTTGCATCGGTCCTCAGATCGATGCAAAGTTCAATTGGTGATACCTTAATCCGGGGTCTAAGCGGAACGCGGAGCAGGGATGAATACCAAGATACATGATCCCCTTTTCGATGCAAAATGAGCCTGACGCTCTAATTACAACTACCATTAGGTGAAAAAAAGGGACTATTCCACAATATGAAGGTCGGAGATAACGAAAGATAAGTGGAATAAAAACAAGCATTTTAAGACGGTAAGTGTACTTTAGTGAGAAAGACACGGCTATGATGGATGTGGCTGACTGCTGTTGCGAAATGTTACCAGAAATATCATTTGAGGGGGATCTAATTTTGCTAATAAAAAATCTGGTAAAACCATTTTTAACCCAGAGAGTAGTCGTGTTTCTACTGGCGCCACTTGGCCATTATAAACACTAACTACCATAGAGGCAAAATATAAATTTGATACAGTTGTGCTTAAACTAGGCCTATCTCAGTAATTTAGTGCCAAACCAACGGAAAACAAATTTATAAAGCTGGCTTGGCAAAAAGAGAATAAGGATCAGACATGAGTTTACAAATTAAAGTAATACAGAGCACGAACACAAAATTTACAAGCTAACATTTCCCCTTGTGTTACTTTGAAAGGTTTCAATGTAAATGTTGAAATTTCATGAAAATATTTGCAAAAAAGTAATGTAAACCTACGAGGTCAATCGGCTCACAGTTTCGGGTTGAAAAGCCGAGAGGCTGCCACAGACTGCTATTTATAAGTCCGTTGCGGTTTCCCTGATAGGCTTGGTTTGTCGTTGAAGGTACCTTACTTCTAGCCTTAATTGCATTAGCTATCCGCAGTCGAGTCTTTTCAGCACCTCAAATGAATGGTGTGCGAATAAAAATTTCACTAATTCAAGGGAAGCAAAGAACAATGCTTGACATTAAAGCGTTGCCTCATTAAATAACAAAATTAACTCAAAATCCTCTTGACTTTGCGATTTATTATATAGACAAGTAAAACAGCAATTGTTATCATGATAATAAGCTAAACAAGTATAAATGAAATAAAGCTACTGCATACATTCCGATGACTGTTGAACACATTGGGTTTCATCGATGTACCCGTGCCCGAAGGGTCTCTCCCAGGGTTGGAAGCGGTTAAAATCAAGTATTTTCGCCATAAGTCTCCAGTTTATAATTTTTGGGTAATTTGTCCCATCCTCTCGAAACTCAACAGTTTCAGACAGTTTCTTATTCACGGCGTTCCTTCCGTTGTCTTCACGGATAATATCGAAAAGCAGCTCACGCAGCTCATTGTCAAGAGGGGGTTCAAATGCCTCGTAGACCTCCTGAGCTACCGCTTCGGTAATGTATTGCTCCTAAGTAAATAAAACCATAAGATTTTACTTATAGAGTGCGAGTAGAACTTATTGCTTCGACTTACACCATTGGCCAGATCGCAAAGAACGGCCGCAAGATCAGGCCCTCGATTGTACCTTTTATCCCTCAGTTGTTTCTTAACCAGCGCTCTAACGATTCTCTCCTGTTCGGCTAAGTCTACGCAGTGATTTCCTGCGTTTCGATTGTTGTGAAATGGGGTGCTATATGGAGCTGTCAGACCAAGAATATTTTTTGGTGTGAAGCCATGCATCAACTCGGCTACATTTCGCTTCCCAATCATGGAGGGTTTTCCAAATGTATGATTTGTATCCCTAAAATTATGTCAAAATGTTGCATTTTCGGTTATTTAGGCAAAACGTACTTAATCTCTAATACCTGTTTATAAAGCGAGATATGTGCTACAGTTGATTAACCGTTAATAACCCCTGTGCCATATTTTAAGGAGTTTGACTTCACGTTATTACGATGTTTAACGTACAAAAACGAGGAAGCTCTGCATCTTTCTATTTATTTAATTAGTGAACTTACAATAGCACAAAAGCACCCATCTTCCCATCCTATTTATGAGACGGAACTATCACAACATTAGACAGAATTTGAGCGCCTTTGGTTTTGGTTACGGAAGAAAAGTGACAAAAAATAAATAAAAAGACACCTCAAAAAACAGGACTTTAAGGTTACATAAAAACATCACATTTCAAGAGGTGATAAGAATATCATGAAAACTAGGACGATTCCATCTGATCGCAAATTTGAAAAAATGGAACAATATGATGTATGAATGTTTTAGGCAAATAATTATCAATCCATTATATAAAATCAGGAAAGCATGGGAGCCTACATTACATTTTTGACCTTATTCAAGCATTCTGAGTCTACAGTCATTTCAGTCTTATCGTTTACCCAGTTCATTAACTGGTGTACGCAGCTACCTTCTTTGTCACTGCATGTTACCACACCAAAACGTTTATCTTCCCTAAAACTAAAAGCAAGAGAACGAGTAAATTAAAAGCATTCAATATACATAACATCATATTTATGTAATTATATAAAGTAGAGAACTTACACAATGCGTAGCTCAGGCAAAAATACCGGCGGAATTAATTATGATCAAACCTTATTTTGATCGGTTTTAAATTTTACTTATCAATGGATTGGTAAATTAGTATTCAATTTACGTAATATTGGAATTATTGTTATTATTCATGCCCCAACTTATTTAGATTTTTTACTTGCAGGAGATAACAACTCTTACGCTTTTGACGCCGATACCTTAGAATATTGGACCTCACTTAAGGCTAAGAATAAACGACTTACTGGCTGTTATAACCACGTTCAGCCTGTTCACCGGGCAGAAGTCTTGCATATGGGCGCAAATAATGCATGCGGTCTTCCAATTCCTGCTTGAGAATCTCAATTCTCCGGATGTCAGGATTCAGTAGATTTGCAATACCGTCTTCGCATTAGAAGATACAGGTCAATAATGATATCTTATCTGTCTTACTTTTAACAATACAGAATAAAGTTATGACCACAAATCGAAACAAAATACTAGGCTTTTTCAAATTTACGGCTGGCTAACAAAAGCCACTTTTCGTTACAGCATCAAATGTCCATTTTATTTAAAGATCGTGAAGTTTTTAATAGGCGAGCAAAGATTTCTTGCAAATGCAGTGGCCATTTCAGCTGGGTAAAATCGTCCACAAGACAGACATTGGAGCAGGACTATATTTATTAAGTACTTTCTTTTAAAATGCATTTTGATAAAAATACGTAAAAATACCAACTGTTTTACACATCCACTTCGAGTAAACTAACCTTTTACTAAGGGTTTCCCAAAGATAGTTTTATTAGGATCAATATGACTCGGCAGATTCGGTTTGGGCGAGGTTTCCACAGGTTTGCGCCTGTTAGTTTCGTATACTTTTTCGTTTTCACTTGTAATTCTTTGTTTCAAAGGGGAAAGGTCTTCTGGTGCTATGCAATCTTTCATTGATACACTAAAGTAATTTTAACAAAATGTTTGGCTGCTACTGACGTAGCCTAAAGTAGAGAGCCCGTATTTTCGAATGCAGTGAGTAAGTTAGTTAAATTAATTCAAAATTCAATACCTATATCCTGCCAAATTATGAGCAATATAGTAAAAGTCAATGACATACATAAACTTATAATCTGTAAGAACCAACTACTTGATGTTCCCTTACGTCTAAAATAATTTCAGGCCATTTTATCTTGACAAAGCCAAAAAAACAATTTTACGACAAAAAAAACAAACAAGTTTGTGATTGTGTATCGAAGAGGTATATGATGGCAGTTAATATATCAGATACCCCTGTTCGGGTCTGGAACCGTGGTTTAGAACCCTTGCAAATTCAAGCTGTGAATCCTTTACCATAGCCCAGAAAATCCTATGATCTGCAAGTTTTGTTTGGTTCCACTTGTGCATAATGCATTGTTTTTCTGGACTTGGAGGCTTTGTCATTCATAATGTAACGAAAATCGTACCCTTTTCGGATGTTGAATGCAACTTTTCATTGCCTTGCTGCCTTTCATTTTATTGCATATTACCTGTTGATTTTAAAAGCTAATCGCACAATACCTGGTAGCTTTTAACATTAGATGAATGGTTTTGCAACGCCATATGATCGGTTACTACAGAAACGCGCCAATAAGTGCAGTTCAAAAGTGCAACAAACCTTCAAGGCAATCACAAACAATGCATGTGCTTCGGAAAACTGCCATATCAAATCGTCTAGTTAGCCAGGAAGGATATGATTTAAAATATAAGTTTGTACAAGCAAACGTCACATGCTAGCTAGTGCCATATCATTAAAGTGTGATTAAATGCCATACCTAATTAATATTCAGCGCATTCCCTGGATTTTTACTGAGTTGTCATGCCCTGGGAACAATGACGATAAGAAAATTGGGTACGGTCTGCCTAAATGTAGGTCACATCTAAAAAAATTTGGATTAATGTGTTCATTATTGATCTAATGAAACGGCATCTGGAGTCCATCAAAACTAGATATTTTCACTGCTCTATCCTTCTGAAAGGCGTATCTCCCTGCTGCCATTTTGAGTAAATTATTAATCATAAAGCATAATTGCAATCAAACTGGCTTTACGCATTACATCGACATTTATAGCTAGAGAGCCTTATTTTTCTAGGGTTAGTTATTCGACTTCTGAAATACGTCTCCGCGACCAACCCACCATCGTAAGACCTGGTTTCGGCATAGCTGAGTTACTTGAGCAACTTGATGCGCCCTCGGCCTCGGTTACAGTTCTTAGGAATGGAAACATCCTCACCAGTAGAACCGGTAACCTAATGTGACATCCGCAGACTCAACCAGGTTCCCAACCGGTCTTTATGTTGTTTTGACCTTGGCAATAAAAGACACAGCATTGAACAAATTTTGTTTACGATCATTGTTAAGCCAGTCAAAACTGACGTAGCCGAAAGTGGAGTTCCGAAATAACAAGCAATCAAGTCGAACGAAAGACAGATACCCCCAAAGGGTAAATAATCTGAGATTTCACAATTGAGAACACATTCCATTACGACTATGGTACACTGCTGTCCATTCTCGTCAAATAAATCTAATTTAAAAGGGTTATTGTGGCAAGATATTCACAAGAAAAAGAAGCTGAGGCTGAAGGTAATTAAACTGTCAACATTATGGTACATTTAGTAAAACACGTCACGAATTAAGGATAAGATTCGCCGACGTCGTGAAGACCTTCATTCTGTACAGGACGTGGTATGTACCAGTATAACTTCGCGCTTTCTCTCAGTCAGAATTGAAAGACACTTCACAGGTAGAGAGGAGGGCTGGACGTCTGAACTAGCATACATCCCCTGCAATGGGTGACCCTAGTAAGAAAGTGCAAAGGATATAAAAACAAACTTTAAAGCTTTTAGATTGTTTTCCCATTCGACGGAATACAATAACTCATCAATCCGTAAGATAAAATGTATATTTTGCCATGAGAACTTTTACGACGGTCGAGTATAGGTCACCAAAGTCACTGGTGTGGGAGTATAGGTTCGCTACAAACGGTGACCTCGCACGGTCAAAAAAAGGTAGAAAAGAGCATTTTTTGCGAGTCAAGTGGATGGAGTGGCCTTTACTAGGTATTCTGCTAGATATCTGCCCCAATCGGTTCTACAACTGCTCTCTAATGCCTAAACCTAGCTAGTAAGGTTATCTCCCACGTGCTGAGCTAACTGGCCTGAAAATGAAAGGCCTGATGAATACGAGTTCACTGGATTATTTGAAATTGAGGATAATTCATCCCGATTATGCGTGACATAGCTTTTAGGACAGGAGCAATTTAGTTGAATGAATTCAAGGAAGTGGTTACCTCTTTTGGGACAGAAATTTTTGTGGATTTTCGTAAGAGGGTCTTTTTAAGTTGCCTTAACTTCATGGAAAATGTAAACTTTAAGTTGCTAATAGAATGCATATATAAATATATGTATTGAAGGCTCATTACATTGGTCAGTAAAATATCTGGATTTAAAAATGAGGAAAATATTTCCACTAGGATAGAAGTTCCTATGAAAAAAGGTTGTGGATTTCCAAGTTTTTATTGGGATTCATTCTTTAGAATAGTTTAAATAGATGGTATTTGAGTTATGGTGTAAATGGAACAGAATTATCTAGTTTTTAATCCGGTGTAATCTTTTTTAGGAACTGTAAAGATTATCAAACAGATAATATTAACTACGCAATTCCTATGGCTGCCGCTTTACCATTGACAGTTATTTTCAGTTTCGAATCAGAACTTCTTGCTTCTTGACGTGTCACTAAAATCCGATGCAGAAATAAGTGTTGATCTACTATAAACATAAGTGATTGAACAAGGACCGGTTCCAAGGTTCATCATTATGAAACAGATCGTGTAAATATTTGGCCAATAAACTTTCCCCTAGTAATTTTGCAGATTGATTTACTATTATTAAATAAGTGTGATCTGGTGGAGTATTGTCCCCTTATCGCAAAACAGCAGCGTATAAGTTCGGGAAAGTTCCACAAGCTCGCTAAGAGCCCAAACTCTTCCCGCTGTCGTAAAAGTAAATTAAAGCAATTTGCAACTTACATGTCATACACATGATTTAATGAGAAAAACACTTTTTTAGTGGATGTGACTTTTTGCGGAGCCGGTAGAAGGTAGAGCTGGCTTGTTGGTGCTGACGGAGTGTGGCGATTCAGTGAGTGGTCCCCGAGGGGGCACTCCTTTGTGTCCCCGCGGATCCTCCACCTGTACACCCTTCTCCCCCGTTTTCTCATCCCCCCAAGGATAGTCTTCACCTCTGTCATCTAAGGAAAAGGCCGGGTTGTCCAGATTGATGTAGGAGAGGCGTAAGCTTCGATACGGCTTAACCAAATTGAAGAGGTGATATTCGAGCAATTCCCTGAAATAAGAAGACATGAGAACGCACTAACCTAGCAACCCCCAAAAGATGATATTTCATATTTAGCATATCAAATAACCTATGAATTTCATAATGAAGGTCTACTTGAATTTAAGAAGACAATAATCCAAAAATTATGTGTGAGCATTTTCCGGAAAAGAGTTTTGACTTTTCTAAACTTTGAATGACAAAGTTGAAATAAGATTGTCATACTTTTAGAAATTATTCATAGATAAGGGAATGACTGTTATCCAAAGGATGTCATCAGTATAAATTAAGACTGGCTTACTTCAACGTTCACAGTTTTTGGACTAAAGAAGGTGGTAAACAATTACTGGATCACTAGAAATCGTACACGCCTTTGTACACATTTTCCAACATAATGAATACGTATTTTAAGACTCATTCAAGTTCTAACTGCTAACTATAACATTTGCCCGTAAATTCGCTTGAATAACATTTAAATACCTTTAATAAGAAGCTCAGAATTCATAAAAGAGAATAAATGGATTCAAAAACTTTATATTAGAATGATTCCAATTATGACAGCACATGTTAATTTGCCAAATTATATTAACCATACGGAATCTTCACAATGTCTACTTGCCATTCATGATGTGGACACCCGTATAGTGATGAGCTCTGCCACACAAATAGCTAAAGGAAGCCTTTTGACTAGAATTCCTGCGCTCAAATTCACTAAACTTGTCTACGCACTGAGGAAAATATTCACGATTGAGAGCTTTTTTGGCGAGGATACAGGCCCGAGCGTGAGATCTACGCTTCGAAGTAGTAGATTGTTTTCATAATGATACATTAAAGAATTGTGTTTTAAAAATCATGCGTATGAGCTCTTCTATTAAATAAAGAGATTAGGGATGACAGGTTCAAAATGATTCAATAAAAAGTAAGCCTTTTACTTGCATAATTTCCCCCAGAAAATTCTACTTCAGTAAGACTTAGCCAATACGGTATTTTAAAGAAATAGCTTTATTTATACACTCTTTTACCAAAGTTGGAACTGGAAGCGAGCTTGCTACATACCATCTGAGACTGATGAGAGCGTAAACCTTGTTTACTCAAAAAAGGTGGTGACACATCGGGCATACCTGGCTTCTATGTTTGAATCCGGTACTTGCAGCATCATGGCTAGAGTGGGGGTGTTCATGTCCGCGTCGAGGGCAATCACGGCGCCGTGCAGCCCCGACTGGTCGAGACTGATGCTCGTATTGGTGATGCCCAGAGAGGACAGCCAACTAGTCACGCGGTCATTCGTCCACACAATCAAGTCTGCTCCAGAGAAGGCAAAATAGCTTAAATCGCATCAAACTGCTACCTTATTTTCTCATTCAGGGGCGACTCCTTGCAGGAATGCAGTTTATTGGTTTGTACCAAATTAGAAAATTAAACAGGCGATAATCGGCGATACGTCCCATTTCGGGATGATATTGATGTTAGATTTAAGTATATTGGCCCGTTCTTCTTTATGTGCAGAGGAATCATGTTTTATAATAAATCAGTATTTCAACAGCATGGGAGTTTTTCATGACCCCCACGGATTTATTCCATACCACGGACAATTGTGGATAAAGAGATTCTCATCTCAATGAGCTAGGATACTTAAGAGCACATAGTACTAATGTAACGAATGATTATTCTAGAATTAAATTAAATGAGTATTAAAGGAAATTCTAAATATTGGGGTTTACGCAATATGAAATCCATTTCTGCAGACTGGGGAAATTCTAAACATGTAATTGTTTTGGGCACACGCGTAGGACGTGATGTGAGAATCATTACCATTGTCCTTGTTCAGACATGCAAGTCGGCGTTCTTCGATGGCATCGAGATCGTAGTTGAAGCGCTTAAGCAAGGCGATGCCACATTGGATGCTGAGGCGATGGAAGCCGTCAATCACCTTGAGGTGCAGTCGCAGGTCGCGTTTAGTCAGATGCTCCAGCATGCGACCATCGACGAGGCACTCCATGAACTGGCGTCGGTACTGGGTCAGACCGAGGCTGGCCAACCACACGTTGCCCACCCACTCGTGGTTCAAACGGGCCTGTCAGGCAACATAAAGCACTTTCAAAGAACTTATCGAAATCTTAATTCGTGACAATGATATATCAAATGGATGTGGTAAGATCAAGTAGAGCTATCACAGAGTTAACAGTACTGCACACGATTAAGGCATTTAAATACGTACAAGACAAAGGGTGTCGACATCTTAGTGCCAATGTGGGGTTACACTAGATCCACGCTGCTGAATGAAGAGTAACTATTGTAAAATTGCTTAAGCAATTTTTTAACACTCCTGCATAAATCAAAAATGTGAAAATAAGTAAAAAAAAACTAGGTTTGATTTCACTGAAAACTTTTACAAAAAACATTTTTCACTAATTACTTCCAGGTCCTCTACCATCATTTTGGCATTAATCATGAGTCTTGGGGAATGAAAATGCTCTCTTTCATGGCAAATCGTGGGAAATCTTTGATCAATTTCCAGCAACAAAGAAGAGTTAAATTTCCATATAAGATTGATTTAATTGTCGGGCCATGCTGAATTCTAATATTGGCAAAAAATTTCACTCCCCGCCTCTTGAGGGTGCCATCGTACTTGATTTACAAATATACTCGTAAACTAGTAGTGACGCTAAGAATTTTAGCAAAAATAATATTTAGAATGAAGTAAGAAATACAGGAATTTACTTTATGGAGACAAACAAAGTACTAGGGCTAACATTTTGGTCAGCATTTTGAAGTAAAACCGAGGATCTAATGCTTTTACCAAATAAAAGGATTAACAAGAATAATTTAGCAATATCAAATTGTAACATTTTTGACAATTCATTAGTAAGATGAAGACAGTTCGTACCTATTTAAAGGCATTGCTATAAAAAAATAGGTGAGGTAGGAGTGTCTTTTGAAACCTTCTACGGTATGCATAAAATAGAGAAGTGCATATCTACACATAAGTGAATATATGTGGAATAATTGTAAATGTGTAGATTCATGTTTGGACTTAAAAAGTCAAATGTGTTCGTCAATACAGTAATCAGTCATTTTAAAATCAAGAATATAAGGTAATGCTAAGAAAAACAATACAAATTTGTCGTTTCACCATTTATAACCAGAATAGATTAGCCGGAAGCCAGAAATTATAAAAAGTACCCAAAATATCACTTTTAAGTGCAAATAGTGCGATTGGGGCGGGAAGCAGATGATACCTGGGGGAGAGGTAGGTCGGTGGGTGGTGTGCCAGTGCTGTGGGTAGGCTCAGAGGGATCGGCGTTGGTAAAGGCGATCATCTCTTGTATGGCAACACGAAGTTTCAGCCGGTGCAGGGGATTGCTTATGCCCAGCTCACGCTGTACCTCCTGATCCGAGAGTGAGGCTATCATTCCGCCGCAGGTGATGTTCGCCCGACACGCCGCCACGTACCACGCTGGCATGCCGACCCAGTGCTAAGTCACGCAGCAAAAGGTGATAGTGCCCCTTTTAGCAAAGTGATGGAAGTCAATTCGATACCGTTTGCGACTAATGACTTGCGTGTGTAACTTAAGGATTACTACAAATAAGTCGTCTATGACTGTCGAGTAACGCCATTCAGGCAAAGCCAGCATCATTACCAGTATAAAAATTCAAAAAATTCTGATTTCTCATTCTTTGAGACTTTTTTAAAGTTCATTGTACTTTTAACGAAAGACGGGTAATGACTCATTTTTATTTTGCTGTTACGATAAGAAGGCTAAATTTTCCCAAAAATACCTTTTTACAGCAAAACACAAATTCCACACACTCTGGCCTTAGTGATTATCTTCTGACTCATTCGCTACTAAGCATTGCATACAAATGTGCGAAAGACATGCAAACGAAGTTTATCGAGATCCAAAAGGAATGTTTACTCAGATTGTATTAATATCTTATTCAGGCAATAGAATTAAAGCTAGTTTATACACACTGTAATCCTTTTTGACACGTCCAAACACTTTGTAGGAAACCTAACATGTTTCATTGCACCCAATGCTATTATTAAACGCAGCACTAAAATGAATATCACAACGGAGCTCAAGTCACTTTCAGGCAGTACACCAATTCAGTAATTTTCCAAAAATCCCCTAAAATTGAAGGGAATTTGCTATGTGGCATAAAATATAATAGTACAAAGAGAAGGTGGTGAAAATATTGGATTAGATGAAATAAACCGATGAAAAATGTGGCAAACTAATACGAATTCCCATCAATCGGATTAGTTTCATTATAAAAAATTGCAACACTTTAGGCTAAAAATGCAGCTCTTATGTCTGCACACAAATTTGTGCCGAATGCCATTGCTAGGGAAAAGCAAAAATATGGGAAAAAGGATTATTGAAATTAAACCGCTTTGTAGATGCCAGTTAGTTACCTCAAGCCATGCAACAACTGTGGCAGCATTCCACATTGCAAAGGGTATTTTCACACTCAGAGCCGTCTCGATCAAATCTTCTCTGTAATGAAAATTTCGGTTTAATTCCAATGCTTTAACTGAACATATATTTCATATAAGGAGCTCCCGTATAAATGGACATTTGGGAATCAACTTGCCCTCTTTGCCACCGTTTCTCTTCCTGTGAAGGGTGTGGAGCATATTGACTACTACTCTGTACAGTATCACGCACCACGTCTCGGGACAGGCTTCTGTCTGTAAAGTAGAAGTTGAAAACCCGTAAACATAGTGCAATAACGACTTGCTTTAAACCCAAAGAAGACTAGTAAATGGATAGTGAGTCCCATTAACGACACATTAATCATCGAATCAGATCCTACTTTCAAGATTTACCAGTTATGAGCCAGATGTAGCAACCTTGCAAGGGACCAATTTATAACTAATACCTAGAAAGTAGTTACAAAACAATTTCCTAACCATTTTCTCGGCTTCGGATGATAAAAATGTATTTTGTTAATGTAAGTCAAATGCGACACTCGTTTTAAACAGTACTTTGAGCAGATGAGATCATTACGCATACTTGGGTCTTCATTACTCCATTGTCTCCTAGGAACTAAGGGTTCGTGCGCGCAGTGGCTAGGGTGAGGTACAAAGGCATTTTCCTCCTGCTCCTTAACCCGATGTCGAGCGCTTGGCTGTCGTTGCCCGCGTGCGTCCGCACCCGCGACCTGAGCCACAGCGTCGGGTGACTTCAGCAGCCTTGTATTTTGATATATTTGAGACTCTGATGGAGACCAGAAAACTTCGTCGGATCGATGGGTTATTCGAGCCTTCTCGTGGGTTCCACGTCTAGAAGTAAGAAAAATTGAACCAAAATCGAAAATTATTTGACAGTTGTAACTGCATGTGCTGTTTATGGTAGTATGCAATGCGCATATTACATGCTCTAAAACCTATTGCCATTTCAAATCATGTGGTCTGATGCATTTCCAAATGGAATAACCCTGCCAATTCATGTCAAATTGGACGGCTAAAAGAGATAGTAGTGACTCTGCGACGCACTTTATTAGCGCTAGGCCAAAATCTGCACATAAAAATAAACCGGTAAATTAAACCACTTTTTGTAAAAAATTCCAATGAATGATGGAAATTTTTTCCTGGATTCTGAAAACGTAATACTTTGCCTGACAAAAGAAAAGAAGGCCGTGTGCGGAACCGTATTCTTTGAAGGCATTTTTGGCTGTATTGCCATAGAAAAGCGCTGGGCTAAATAATAATTTATAAGGCTAAGCACAGCCCAAAAAGCAAGAGGCCTAAAGCTATTATACTTTATTAACATACAAATCCAACATCGTATGCGAGGGGAATTTGAGCATTTTTGTGGAAAGTCCTGAACCGTTTACGTAACTATGTCTAAAAGCAATATTTTACGTATCGTGCTTAATTCATGTCAAGTTTACGCCAATAAGAGATCAAGTAAGTCGTAATTTGAAAAACATTACGTATTTAAGGTTAAAGCGTGATTTCTCACAATTATGGCGATACTTTGTAAGGTAGTCTATACTGTTTTCTCCGAAAACAGATTTCATTGAAATACACTTTGAAGCACCTGGTGTCGCTAGGGGAATACGCGTTGGTGGTCTCCAAGAGGTCGGTTAAATGAGTCGTACCACTGGAAGGAAATCTTGATGTCTGCAACTGCATTGCCGAGTAGTTCCGCTGGTCGGTGTTGCGCACTCGCGAGGGCATCGTTTGCGTGCCGCTCTCATTCGCGCTCCAGCGCGTAGAGCGTGAGGCGCTTTGAGGCATTATAGCGTCATATCCATGCTGTGAAAAGGGAAATCTTGCTAGTGAAATAGCATGTGAGGAGTGTACAGCCAAGAGAGCACTTTGTAGCATTAAAGCTTGAATGTCACTAAACACCTACGTGGAGAACAAATAGAAGCAACGTGGTCACCCAGGTAAGGCACCGTTGCGCGGATCATAACATGCATGGTATGGATCAGATTATACAAAAACTACCCGACAAATCACCCAAGCAATTTGTTTGAGCAATAATTTTTACAATACCAACGAAAAATAATCCATGGAGCTCAGGACTTGACCCACCTTTGAATTTGAAACGGGCTTAAGTTAATGTACGGGTCTACTTAGATCTAATATACTCTTCGGTTAATATTCACTTCATCTATGATGTCGCACGCCGTTTTATTAATAATCAAATAAGTTATATTGTTGTTGAGTAGAGCTGCAAACCCCATATCACACAGCAGTCATGCACAATCAGCATCTTTCAAAATAAACACTTACCAAAAGCTGATGCAAAGTTATCTTTAAATGCAAAATAAGGGGCAGTGAATTATTGCTGGACTGTTGTTCACTAGCCTATACTTTCTCATGCCAAAATATTTATTGCTACTTCCATACAACCATTCATATCCTACCAGAGAAAAAAACCTGAATATAAAGGACTCTGGAGAGTTGTTACAATTGCCAAACAAAATAACCAATGGCTACAAGTAGTAGCTAACCAGCGCTGCAAATGTTTGGCCACGCCTGCATAGGACTAATCGCTGTGGCGTTATGTAAGTTAGACGAGATTAACGCCAATCGATGATAGTTTTTCATTGCATGTATAGCCCCGATCAATTTTTACTTAATATCATAATGATTTCCATGATGAACCGGAATACGTAATAAAATGCATTAAGTGCTCATAAAAGTTTTGGTTTGAATCAATTGCAAATAATTTTTTTTTAAAACTCAAAAGCCTTTTACAATAAACAGATCCACTAATTGTAAGTGCACAATTAAGTATGGAATTTTGGGAATAAAGACAAAAAATCTAAGAGCAGGCTTGCTGATCGATCATATTCAGTCTCGCAAATGGTGTAAAAGGAAGGTACAACGAATACCTTTTTTGGCAGTTGAAAACTGAATGGGTGTGCTCGTCGAGGAATGGCTGGCGGGTGAGCAGCCCCAATGCGTCCTTCGAAGGGGCTAATAGTGTGGCCTCTCTAACAATTAAAGTATACACTAACAACAGTCTTAAAAAGTTCTTAATTGCACACCTTGCCAATGTAGCATGGGATGATAATGTTATCATTATAGTCAAATATGGTCCTAGAGTTATCAGCAATAAATAATGATGGGTTGTTTCATAAAAAATGGGGTTTTGTGCGCTCAATTAAATTTGTAAATAAGTGTACATAGTCACAAATTCAGTCCAAACTCAAAGTTCTGAAGAAGATCATAAAGAGCGCAGTAAAGTTGTGCTTTAGGAAAAACGTTCTGCAAGAAAGGATATAATCGACCAGTAATTCGTGACATACTTAACTAGTGATTAAAACACAGCTAGCAGTAAAATTTCGGTAAAATTTTCTAAATATGTATTTAAAAGACTTTTTGCGCGAGCATAACAGTGAACAACTTCTGCTCACTTGATGTGACCTTAGTTGTGACATGGGTGGAGGGACTACGGCGTCTCCGTCCTCCCTATAGACAACGTCTAAATCCTGGCCCAGAGGTGCCTGCCGAGGTAACGAGCCCGAGGCGTAGGCATTGGACTTGTAGGTAGAGTGCTCCAGGGAAGAGGTGGGCGACCAGCAGCCCATCTGCGCGCCGGCGTCTGCCGTCTCAAAGGGGGTAAAGGCGGAGATGGCAGCGTCCCGGTTACCATGCCTCAAACCGCCACCCACCCGCGAGCGCAGCTCCTTCGCCCGCTGGTCTGTGCTCTTCTTCTCCTCCTGTAAGGGCATTTTCACACCTGCTTCAGTGGTACTTATTTCAGATTCATTAAACCAAGCTAGGTCACAAAGTAAATTAGTGCTGCTAATCATACCAAAAAGTTAATAAAATAATACCTACATTATTCGTACAAACGTCTCTAATTTGTGGCACACATCTTCATATACGATCGCGTCAACTTTATTTACCAGATAAGAGTTACCAAATACCCAAGTTAGCTGTAAGGTTTAGTTTATAAACTTGACGGTCGAAATTCAAGTAAAATCAAAAATAAGTGCATGAATATTCTGAAAAATTTTCTTTTAGTAATTGGTATATCTAAAGGTTCCCCATAAATTCGCGCTACTTGAAAGCTCCATCGAAAGTGGTAATGTGGGAACAGTTGTCAGCCATTGTAAATTCGCTACTACCAGAATTAGAAAAGCTATCAGTCTCCTTGATTCTTTCAATATGTCCTATTTAATGCAGCAACACATTTGCACAAGTTTACTAAAAAATGTTATCAGCAAAGTTGAAAGCATAGTGAGAACCTCCTGTAACAATGGTCCAAATGGACTTAAAGGGATTTCCAAACTCCTAATTAACTTACGGCTGCTGCCAAATAAAAGCAAATTGTAAGCCGATTAACATCAGTTTGTCGTTCAACAAACAGTCAGGCATTCTCGCTAATTTTGACGGTACTATCTAAATGTAGTTTGTTGAATTCTGCGTTTAAATACGCAGGCACCAGATTGTACGTCTGCTCGGCGCCACGGTCTCAGGCCTTCTGTACGCCGGTGAAATATTCTCTGTTATTACCACTGTAACTTCGTACGACCAAGAAGGATTCAAGGCGCTGCATAGGATTGTCAATTGTCACATGCTTTTATCATTTTTCATCAAGTTTTCCCCGCTTTTAGCCCCTAATCTCAAATCATCAGCTCAATTTATGTACACTTTCAACGATACTTAGTTTGTTGATTTTAGTATAATGAACTTGGATATTCAAACGAGAATCTGTGCCGGAAATCCCTCTGCCAAATAAAATATTGGTATCTTTGATATAAAGTGCATAGAGCGTTCCCCCATAGATGAAGTCTGCCTTTGATGATTTTCAAAGTACTAGCCTGTAACTTTGAGCATCAGACGTAACGTCCGTAGGTCATCATAGTTCTCATGGAGATCACAGCAAGGGCAAAGGGCAGCAGTAAAGAGCCAAACATTTCGAGTAAATGCGGACAGCTCTGGTCACGGAGATCCCATCTGCTGGTGGGTCAGTTTAATAATTGGTCCTATTCTGAGTGGCCGAATGGTAGCTGTTACTACCGATCTCCTAATTTGAAATAACAGTGTTCTTACTTTAGCAAGTCAATGAATTTAAGCTTCGCCACGATGTGAAACAATCACCAAATCGTTTTTGTGGAGTCACTTTAGCCATTTCAAATAATGCTTCATAATGGTTTGAATGATTTTTAAAACCAGATGAATTTCTAATTTTGAATTGATCAAAATGATTTCTGAGGAGGTTTCTTTTGACGAACCTACACCTCTACATGAGTCATTTTAGCAACTAATAGAACAAATCCACTCAAATAGGAAGGTCTCTTTAGCCGCACGGACTAAAAGTTAATCAACACGAGAAAATGTTCATCGTGATGGTGATATATTGCATCTCAAAATATAGCCAACGAGAATTAGATGTGGGCATCATTCGCTTAGGTCCTGCTTTTCTGCATATGATGCTCCTGGTATACGGCGGGCATGCAATTCTAGATGTGTGGTGCAGTCGTATTTCAGACGAGGGAAAATTAACCTATTTTTCCGTGAGACTTGAAATGAAAATGCCGATCTGATAATACATGCAAAATTGTTATAATGGAATAAGCGAAACGCGTATTGTTCAATGAAATATTCAATCCAAGGTTGTGCAAATAACAATTTTTAAAATAACCGAGATTTTTCTATTCTGATTTCTATTGTAAATTTTGCGGAGAGAAGAATTTATAGGTGAAAGTGTAAACATATAACAATGATAGACTTGAAATAGGAATGAGACACTCATTGCTATTTGGAAAAGCGAACAACTTTCCGATTTATCCGAATAAATAGCACTAGTCAGTTAGAATCAAGACGTAGGAAGTCACTTTATCACCAAATATCGTTTGACACAAGAGAACTAATAAAATTCTCATTAGTGTATCCGGCAGGAATTGCAGGAAAATCGGTACGTCTGTTTGTCCCAATGTACACAGAAAGATGAGTTTATTACCTGACATAAGTTGCTAAACCATGCTCACCTTCAAGCTCCAACATTAAAGGGGATTGAAAAGCTTGGTATTAAACCTCGCAACTTAAGCTCCTTTACATCCTCCAGACTATCTAATTGGGCTGAAAGTTTACGCTTATGAATTCAACAGAGTAGGCTACGCGCAAATTCTCCCACCTTAGGGCCTTAATAAGCTATAAGCAATAGCAAGGTGGTAGCCCCGCTTGATGCTTGGAATGTCTAAGCGGAATAGCCACAAACAATGCTGTAATCGTTTACGGAGTAAGCGTTTTAAAAAACTCTAGCCGCTTTTTAGGAATTTCTGTGGAAGCATGTGAAAGGTAGTTCCCTACGCTAGTTTTATGTGTGTGGTCCAAATTTACAAGTACAGGCTACGCATTAACAAAAGCAAAATCACTAGTAGTCCGAAATTCTCTCCTTTTAGACAATGCAAGTCATTTTAAAGTGAGATGTCATGCTGTACAGAGCACTAATGGGTCGAGAGTATGAGCACTCTTAGGTGTCATATTCAAATTGTAGGGAAATTAACATCCGATTTTGAAAGACCACATCTTTACCATGGATATCTGTAATCTTGACCGATTTTGAGAGTCAATAGTTAATGAGTATCGCGTAGTTTGAAAACAAGTGAACAAAACTTGTTCCAGAAATATACATCAACAATTCTAAAAGCTGCTTATTTTTTGCTAAATTTGTTCTAAAAATGTGGTAAGCTTAGGGGTAGAATCTACAAAATATTGGTAGTGCGCAGGATGCACAATGCTACTTCATTGAAAGACCAGAACTACAACAGGTGAAACTGGAAAATAAATAGTCGAGGTTCCTAATGCAATTACAACCATGAAAGTCTGATAATTTTTAAATGCATACCTCCCTAGTTTTAGGTGATGTATGAACCAAAATTGGATTTACTATAAAACATGTAGAAGTAAAAGGCAGTTCGAAACCCAGTAATAAACCCAACTTAGGCTCATCCAATGAGCCACATGCCATACAACAATACCCACTACTTCAGGAAAGGACTTAAGTTAACACTTCTGTGATATAATTAGTGCTTTTTAAGGAAAAAAATCTTATCGCAACACTGCCTTTCTCCTCTGTTCCCGGTGGAACAAAGTAAGAGATTTAATTACCATTTCTCAGTAAACTGGAGTAATGTACACGTGACTGTAGCTATATCAGCTTCCCTAATGTATGTAAATAATTAAATCGAAACGCTTACTCAAAAAAAATAGAGAAATGCATAAATACCTCAGAATAGGTAATATAAATTAATCTACGTAATGCTTGTTTCATGACACACAGTAAATGGGAGAACATAACGATCAGAAATGAATAAAAACAAGGATAACTTGGATTAATTAATTTGACTTATCAGTATTTTGTTGGGGAAAAGGGTAGTACTGATGGGAGTAAGCAAAAGGCCTGTAATTTTAACAATAATGTGAAATAATAATCAGAACACTTCAGGATTTCTTTAAAAGTAATGTTGAATAAAAAGGTACAATTACAAAAGGTATAAGTTCAACTGAAATGTCAATTGTACTCATGCTTCCACTACGTTTTTAAAGACAAACATACTTGTATCATTTTTATTTCATCGTTGATCACCTCAAGCTGCTGCTGAATCAGCGTGGCCAAAGCCTGCGGATCTGTCTGCTGAGATTGTTGCTGCTGATTTCCTAGGCCCTTGGAAATAGCGAGCGAGTGGGAAGTATCCATTTCAGGCATTGAGGGCGGTTGAGACTGGCTGTAGTTCTGTGACAGTGAGCCATAGACAACTGACCATGGAATATTGGCGTATTCATTACTCGATTTTCCATTCAGGGGATCCTCTACACAAGCTTCGCTGAATTTTGCAGCAACAGGACCGGGCTAAAGTAGTGATACCAAAAAGGAGTTTAATCCAGAAAAAAATAACCTGATCATAGATTTTGTTCCCTATTTAATTCGTTTTTTTTTTGGTTTGATAAATTTGTCTCGTGCAAGTTACATACAAAACCAGTGTCACGTGTTTTAACGTCAGACCACATTATACTATTGTCAAGAGGTGCTTTGCGTGTGAATGCTGCAATAGTTTAATAAAATATACTGTGAATGAGATATGTTAATAAATATAGATTAAGCGACCTTTTAGCAGACAAGAATAACCGTACTTGATCTGAACTGAGTACACAGTTTGAGATGAATGTCCCTGACTTGGAGGGTGAACTCATTATGCTGGGACGAACCGAATAGACCACAGATGTGGCTGTCGCACTAACCGTGTGGTCGCAAATAAGACCTATGAATAAGGAAGAAATATTAATTATTCTCCTATGTGCAATGATTAGAGGAACAACACTAGCTTGCTGCACAACTACATGCATCGAATGTATATATGCAAGACGCATTAGACCTGGTTGATATGCTGAATGACACGAACTTACGCGCTGCCTTAACTGCTAGTAACAATTAAACCATTTGGGACTTCTTTCCAAAGAACACTTTCTTCCAGACTTGGCGATAGGAGGTCTTTAAAGACTTATGAGACAATACTTACTACCTTTAATATTGGAAGCTTTTATTTAATAATTATATCACAGACATTTATAGCCCAAATCCTTCTCAGATACAATTTTTCATAATTACTTTACTCCTTACCGCTAACAAAGTGTAACTGATCCAAATTGTTAGTTTCCTATAATAGACAGTTTGCAGAGGAAATGAAAACCAGATAATTATTCAATTTCCTTATTCATAACGGTTGCAAGATTAATTATAAGTGGTTCAAAACATTGAGCAACAAAAGAACTTTTTGGTAAGAAATACAGTCATCTATTCACCCGAAGATCATTCAGACAAACTATAACGTGTATTTTATTAAACTGGTATAGTATGCAGAAAGAATCAAGCACTTTGGAGACTTATATATCTTTGAATCATGCAATTTTCCGAGTAGCTTCCACAAGCCCATTTAGAACCCTCATCAAATTGATGCAGTGTTTCCAATTGCTACATTAGCTACGCAGTAGACGCTATGCCTCCTATTGGCAAATCAGTTGCCTACTTTTCCTTACCTTCGTTCATTTACTTCAAATTACAGAAGACTGAACCAAATGCAAAGGGAATGGGTGCGCAATACTGCTGAGGGGAAACACAACGGTGTTTTAAAACACCTTGATGTTCCCAGCCATTCTGAATAACCTCTTCATAGGAAGCAATTAAATGAATGATTTATTTTACCGGTTGACTTCCTATTGACGATTATGACATTTTCATTTGGTACCATTATTTTCCTTTTGCCCCTTTTTTCCACTTTATATTAAATATCAGGGCATTATCCTCTTCATTTCAGGCAGATTCTTGATTACTGACTCGTGGAATTCTATGGCCTGTTTTGAGGGTGCAGGGAAACACCGCTTCTTCACCAGATATGCGTGTGATTCCAGAATACCTGTCGATCTGAATTGAAATGGCATCGTTAAAATGACCCTTAGATTAAAATTACAACAATCAATCATATAACTGCATATATTTTGCGCCAGCACATAGCGGATGGGGAAGACTGCTTAAACATATTGGATTTCATGACCACGTTGATAATAATTTTATACGAGAAACAAAGAAAAGTAAGTAATGGCTTTTTGGGGGCCAATAATATTACACCAACCCACTGAATAGGCTGTTATAAACAGCAATCTCTACAAATCAAGTCGGTAGAATATGTATTTTAGCACAAAAGTCATACGGCAGAAAGTTTAGGTAAGGTGAATGATAGCTTCTTACAAATTCCTTATAATGATTCTTAATGCTTTACTTGTAAGTGCTTAGAGTTAGTTTAAACACTTTAATTGGAATATTGTCTTTCCTTGATACAACTCATGCCAACACAAACACGCATTGCGGACTCACAAAGTGCACAATTATAGGATGATTAACATTTACACCTGTGATGAATGCTTCGGATGCCACTATCGAACGAAAGCCAACATACGTCCGGAAGGATCAACAGCAAGTAGGGCGTCCATGGTGTCGAGGCTGCTTATCCCGTCAGCAGGTGACTTTTGGCGTCCAAGAGGTGAAGAGAGGAGCGTCCCCCCATCGGCAGTCTCGGTCAGTCGGCGGCGCAGATTCGTGGCTTCCTTGGTGAGCGCCTCGCGGTCACTGGTAGCCTCCTCGAGGGCTGAGCGTAGGCGCTCCACTTCGCAGACTAAATCACGCTTCTGCTGCAGCGCCGACATGCGCTCTGAAAGGTGGCTCTGCAGACGCTCGTTGGCCTCCAGCAACAGGGTATCAACCTATTAAAAGTAGTTTTATAAATAGTATTTTACAGTTTTAGGGTAATTTAAATAAATCGGTGCTCCCACTCATTTATTTGTAACCGCCGGGCTCAAAAATGCTGGAAGTCGCCTACATCGTTACATTCAGACCATGCGTATATTTTTAATTGTTATACAAGGAAAAAGTTTTCAGTTTTCACAAATAGATTTGTAATAGGAAACATCATAGATCGGGGATATCAAATCACCTACAAAAAGACTTCTTTGCGTGCTAAATCGGATACAAGGCAAAAAACTGTGTTATGATGAAGCATCAAACTAATTTGACAATACATTGGAGACCATAATAAGGCACGCACTGTTGAGGATAGCCTTTCATTGTGTTCTTCATTTAGCTTCTCCCTTTCGTGAGCTCTGACCAACTCAGAATTGCTATCTTCCAGTTGCTCAGTCAGTTCCTTGATGTGATCCTGTGCGTTGGATAGTTGAAGAGCTAATGTGTTGATTTTGCTCTTCTGATTTATAATTTGCTGTTGGAATTGTGTCACAGAGGGTAAATCGCACTCTTCTTCCTGCTGCTCTAGCTTATTCCCTTCTACGAGGCCTGAGCCTGCCCCGCCTTTTGATTGCTCCATTATTTCAAGGCTCGCCTGCAACCGAGCAACCTTTTCTTCCATCTGAAACAAGGAACTTAGCAATGAAGAAGGTTATTTTACCGGCAGACTACTTAACAACTCTACCAATAATCTGGTTATATAAGCAAATCCATTACTATGGCATTTATTTCTTAGAATAAAAAAACAAAACATAAAACGTAGTAGAAACTTTCCTTTATGCCACCTCGGAAGCAGCCTTATTCAGGTCAAATTTCTTCTATTCAAAATATCAGAAAAGCAGACGCAAAGTACAAAATCGTTTTGAAACTTAATGAATCTCTTTTAAACACATTGTTAAGCTATTGCTGCGAAAAATGGGATTCAAAATTACGTCTGCAATGAGTTAATTATCACCTCTTGAACAGCATTTAATGCCAAAAATTGCTCAGCAATTCCATTATGCTGTTTTACATAGCGTCTGATGGGGCGCTTTAAGGATTTAAGGACACTTTTATCCTATTCAATTGTATAACAATGATGGTTTTGCAAGGGTTCAATCAGATATTTTCAGGACTCTGAACAATTCGATAAAGCAAGGTAAGGCGAACACCGAGAGCCAATCTAATTCTGCATGTGTGTTTCTATTACAAAGTGTGCAATCGTTACAAATTTCGGCATGCGCAACTTTGGCCAAGGAGAGAAGGGTCAATTTGAGGTTGCTTTCAAATCAAGTACTAATAAAAGAGTGCTCTAAAAAGAAATAGATGCACAAAAAACCATCAAAGATCTCTCTTGTTCTAATGAAATAATATTTATCAAGAGGAAAAATACGTAAATTTGCGCGTATTTGTAACACCTGAACATTTCACCTAAGACTTTACTATCATTATTTCACAGAATTAAGCAAAGCCTGACAGCATATTGACCTGCTTTAGTTGCGTAACTTTGCTGGCCAGCTCCGTTCGTAGTTTGTCAGTCTGATTCTGGGCGGCCGCGATCTCGCGTTGCGCACAGAGGCACTTCTGGTCTAGACTAATGATCTTTGCCTCCTGTTGAGTTCGCCTGTTCTCCGACTCAGTGAGCTCTGTGTGCAGTTGGCTTATCTAAGGGCAATATCTTTGACGTTCAGAAACAGGTATAAAATATTGAGGTGTAAAAATACATGACAGACTTTTTGTCGAATTTGGTATTGATATCATCATTCCCAACGCAACAGTCTTCTTTAGCTCGAAATTCCTATTTAATCTTTAGCATTAATTAAATGAGAATAAGTAGTATGTATAAGTCACGAGCACTCATTGCTGAGATGGAGAATTCCATGTACTCATCCACTATTTTGACTAACGATCTCCTATTTTTTGATCTGATCCCCTCCTTTAGTAATTTTCTGTTGTACGAAGCCGCGATATTCCACATAAAAATAAGTTAATAGAGGTTTTTAAAGCAATACTTAATAAACGGATGATAATGGCCGGAACAGATAAATCACCTTAATTAAAAAGGAGTTAAAAGATTCGCAATGTGCTTAGTTGAGTGTAGAATGGTCACGTCTAGACGCTGAAAGAGTAATCTTTAAAAAAGTTTAAATAAACCTGATTATTAGCCCTCGAGAGTTCACGAGAGGAAGAAGTTAACTTCTGCTCGAGTTCATAGCTATGCGCCATGAGTTCTGTGATACGTTGTCCCAGGCTTTCCTAAAAATAATGAAATAAGTAGTGCTACGACTTAGAGCAAGAAAAACTACTAATAATATGGAAAAGGTGATTTAGTAATGTGTTAATTTTTAACTGTGCTTAAAAACGCTTACGAGCCTCGATAGGATTCTTGGAACCAATGCCTAAAGTAGCCATCACGTAGCTGTGGACAATACTTCCACTGTTACATCAAGCTCTCCTGTCTTTGAATATCAATGACCAATAAGCGTTGGTGTCTTGTTTAAACCTTTGTTTACTCCCGCTTTATCCGTAGTAGAGAGATGCATTAATGCTAGGGGAAGAGCAAATATTATACCAAGGACGAAGCCTTTCGTAGACTCAGTCTTCAAACAGCTTCATTGCTGAAAATTTTATTTTGTAAAAACGATTAGTATTTCATTTTTAAAGCGCAGCTTTGAAACAACGTAAATCTTCGCAGGAGGGTTTCTTGATTAAATTTATCAGAGCCTACATTTTGCCCCTTCTCAAAGAATACGAGCAGGAGTATTTTATGTTCACCAGTACAATTTCTTTGCCGTTACAGTCACATCTAGCTGATGTCTGTCCAGCATGATAACTGGACGTCAAAAATGCTTAGTTGAGGTTGGGCAGCTGGGTTTCATCGCCACTTCGGAAGGGTGAGTCATCACCTTAACTAACATAACAGGGCACCTTACGAAGACGAATAGGTGGTCTCGGCCAGGGGCAGAACCTTTGCTTTCACTCACCGAGCCATCCAGAGAACAATCTTGACTTGCTCCTTTAAGAGACGTCTGGCTCAGTAAAGCCATTCCTGAAAAAAGGGGGGAATAAGGAACTTTACAAAGGTGCTAGGTTGAAATGTGTTGTAAGGCAACCATTTTTACATGAAAAGTAAATGCTAGAATAACTTTGTTAAATGAGGACAAAACTTACTTTGATCATATGGCGTATCTGTAATGGTACCAGCGTCCGATTTATCCGTACATTTCTGTGAGACATTGACTGGAGTAGATTTCCCCTCCGTGATGGAATAGTTGGATTTTAACTCCGCAAGTTCCTGCTCAAGTTGCGACGCGCGTGTGATGGCGCTTTTGAGGCGTTCTCGTACCTATGAATTGGAGGAATATGGAGTCTCTACGGTCTTATTAAGAGTACTTATTAGAGACAACAAAATATAACTTGAAAAAATGGAGAATAGGAAGTACATGTAGTAAATTTGTCCTTGTATTCCATCAGCTGCAGGAGTTTTTCTATGTATGGTTGATTCTTTTCAAAAGATGCTCAAGAGATCGCAACAAATAAACATACCAAAATCAAGTGCTACGAGAAAGGGTGATAGTAATAAATTAGTAAATACTAACAAGAAAACATGTTGCTTAGATTCTAAATAAGAGAATATTACTAGGAAAGATATTTAAAGTGCATAATAATGGCCTAAGATTTTTCTTATAAAATTAGACTAAACCCTTGAATACGCTTTGCAACCGCATGTATTTAAGAATGGTCTAATTCTACTGCGAAATGCGGGATTTCAAAAAAATCAGCTGCCAAATAAGTCGAACGAAATGTCATTCTAGTTTTTTTCACTAGTTTGGGAATTCCAGTTAAGTTCTTTGTTACTAATGTTTCATTACGATGATGGAACCTGCGATGTTCGGTATCGTGGTACTCAAAAAAGTGGTAATATTTCATGCGGGATACTAAAGATGACAAGTCAACTTTGTACTACACTTAACAGTCATTTTATAACCAAGATGATAACCATGCTTAAAGTGTTTGGGATTGTTAGTGAAGTGTTGCTATTAATATGCATTTTGGCATTGAAAGGAACTTACATGAGTTGAGGTTAGAGTGAGTAATCTTCTCAAACAATACTGTTAGTGCTTATATATCCGGTACGTTAAAATTAAGTGATTATTGAAGACCAGTCTCCTGAGAAATGCAAATATCAACCAGTTTCTGCCATGCACACATTTAATTGTCTGAGCAGTACAAAAGGTCAATGCTTGGCCTGTTTATCGCCATAACGTAGTCGAGTGTGACAATAAATGACAACTACTGTGTATCCGCATCGTCGGTCTAGTTATTAGTTTCATTAGTTTAAAGAATAAAAGTTTTATAAAATCATTAATTGGCTATCCACGCACCTTCTCATCTAATGCTTTGTGATGCTCAAAGAGGGATTTGAGGGCCTTAAGGACCTCGACTTCCGAGCTGATTCCACTAGAACCGCCAGCTGCATTTCCATTGTAGTCATCACCGCCTGGGATTGTTATAGCAGTGAGGTTGTGCCTCTTAACTACTGTCATCCGCAGAGAGCGCTCGTGGCGGGATACTAAACACTCAAGATGTTCCAAAAGAAGCTGTTTGAAGAGAAAAAGGGTGTACTTTTAAAGATGAATAGCTTTAAGTAAGGTAACAACCTTAATAAAACTAACTCGATTTTCAACGTTATACTGGGTAAGATATAAGTGAACTATTTTCAGTGGTATCTGGGGCCTTTCTACCTACTTTGAGGAAGAATTTTCAGCATTCTAAAAGGTTCTAGTTTTTCCTTTAAGGATAGACGATACTTAAATTCGCGTGCGACGCTATTACCATCTGTAACCTATTTACCTGATAAAATGCAACGACAGTGACTGTCCCATGGGAGGTAACCTACTTCAGACACCTACGGGGCTGGCCATCATCAACTACTTGGACAACCAATTTAGAGGCACAGAACAATTATTTATAATGTAATCAATTGTAACTTGGATTCTCTTGGAGATGTTGATACCCAGACCCTTCATAATCTCATTCAAAATGGGGGCAAAGGATGAAAATACAGTGCCTGAGAAATTAGTATATTAAATTTTACGACTTAGCTTTGTGCGAGAATTATGGAGGAAGTTAAAGTTCCTGTTACAACTACTAATCCCAACCAGGTGATTCGTACCGTTCATTTCGGTTAAAGTAGATGTGAAATGGAATTGAAAGGGTTGCAAGGTATCACTGTAAAACGCATTGTTGCGAACCCAGTGTCACTGTTAATTTCCATTACTACAAGTGTTAGAGCTTTTAGCGTAGTCGTACGTTTACTTTATAAAAATGTTGATCAGGAAGTCTAACTAATACCAAGCTCGTAACTGCGTCAACTTGGGTTACTTTAATTTTTCGGAGGAAAAAAAGCACTTTGCTTAATTCCAGCATGCGCATAACATACTTATCAGAAGATGACAGTAACATTAAATTGTAATATTAATGGTACAGTTCCACAATAAGACCCTTAAATGAAAACCCTCTTATCTGTCATAAGAAATGGCATATAAACTAATGTAGCAGTATGCAGCTCACATAACAAAATTGCCTTCTGCAAAAATGAACAAGAAATCGTTTCTAAACTTCGCCGAAATTGGGAAATAAGGGGTATCATTTGTAATATGCAACGCAAAATTGGTGCAATCATTTACTTCACTTAAATTCTAATTACTGTGAGCTGATGAGTTACTTCGATTACGTCCAATATGGCCCACCATCAACTCGGATTTTACGGATCTTCATAAATACTTGCAGATCAGATGTTCCAGAAGGTAAACACTTTTCTTTCGAAATTTTTTTACGAATTCTGATAACATTAAAGATGAAGTAAGCCATATTTTCGTCTATCGAAATAAGCACAATGCTATTCTATCATCCAGTAGCATCACTATTATCGAAAGGGCTCCTTTTTCCTGCGCTGTTTAGAATTGCATGTACAAAAAGGTCTACCCGTGTATTATTGCGTTCTGCCTTTAGCTCTAGAACCTCCTCTGTACGCTGAGCCAGTTCTTCCTTTGTTGCGTTCAGCTCCCGTGTACAAGCCAAAATATCCTAAAGTTTAAGCGGATAGAGATAGCAGCAAATTTTTTCAAAAAAAGCATTAGACCTAAACGTGCACGACATCGGCTCCGCTTACATTAATGCAACACAGTAATACTACAAAAAACATATTAATAATACAATGCAACAAATTTACTAAATATATATGACTAATGTGAATCAGAAGCAACAATATTAAAACAGTCAAATTCGCACTTGTCCATCAGTTAACAAGATTCAAAGAACGTGTATCCAAAATATTCGGAAAGGAAAGATAAAATTGCAAACGTTTGGTTAGTTAATATCCTGGCTTTACCTTTAAACACTACAGCATGGTTAATTTGAATTTAAAGTTCTTGTAAAGGTGGGTAAAAACAAAATCACGAGTCTAAACGCAGTGACTCAGACGTCTTATCAACTTTTCCCATAATTCAAACTGATTTCAACCACTGCGGTGTCATTTTAACTTAGTACACATTGATAGGAGTGCAAAAAAGTGCTTCAAGTGAGTATTATGGTTTTAGTCTTCTGACAACGGTAGAAAAAGCCCTATTGACCCAATTTACATAAATCGCGACCTAGCAGACCAGCTGCCATCAATATCTGGAAGGCCGTATGAATAGAAGAAAAAGTGAGCATTAAGTCGCAGTTAAATGCATTAAACCGGCCCTCTGCAGCATAACCAAACGTTAACAAGCGTTGTGATATGCTGGCAAGTATGCACGACTCATTTTAATACTGCATATAATGATACTACTCGCATTGAGTTTGCAAATAATTCTGGTCGTTCAAAAGGTAGGGGTATAATATCCTACTTGAGGTATGTGCTTCCATCCAATGTGGCTTTTCTATAGCTGTGAACCTCATAACATGTGAGAAATCCCCTAATAAATTCGGCATTTAAACACATGATTACACCCAATCAAATGGATAGTGTAGGACACCAAAATTTGTTTTTGAAACAGGAACCTAATTTTGTCTTTTATGGATATGAGTTTTGGCACCAAAGCGCAATAAACAACAAAGTTACACGTTATTAAATAAAGTCACCTAAAAGTAGGGTTTTGCATTTTCACGAAGTATTAAACGCGTATGCATTAGAAACACTCTCAACATAATCAACACATTAATTACTCTTAAATGGCTTCTGTCTACGATGCATTGCACGAAAAATTTATTCACTCATGTGCGAGGATGCATATCTGTAAAATTTACCCTGTCAGGCAGCCTCATGGCAGCACGCCTGCTAGTAGTATCAAAGCATTTATTTATATGGGTCATTTAAACCGATTTTCCGTGTAGGCGCAAGTTAGTTTTAAAAAATTGGTTAAAGACAAGAGAGATTAGTCTTTAGGCATGACGGCGTAAAGCGCACGTGCTGTCCCATACGCGTAGTCAATGGGTACTGCTCATTCGACTTCAAGGTCGAATGAGCAGTACGCGCGCAATTCCCAAATCGATGCTCCTGAAATTGAAGTCGCAGCAGAACGAGCCGGAGACAGTTCCGTTTACCCACGGACGCACTCATTGCTCCTTGTTGTGCATAAGTAGCACTGTAAAGAGTCGATATTTTATAGAAATCTTTAAAATTGACTGGGACCTACTCGCAATGAGTGTTTAAGATAGAATCCCAGGGCCAAAATTGAGCATATATACACAAACCATTCCATAGGTGTCAGATTATTAAACTTAGTTTGCCACGTAAAACCCAGTAATTCTAAAAGTTGGGGAACCAAACGCGCATAAAATCTAAGGCGTGAAATTTGTATAAACTGTGCAAGCGTCAGGGGAGGAATAAACTCACAGGGGGAACGACGCTTGACAATTGTTTCTGCAAGCCATCCCTTTCCCTTTCAACGTCTCGCATACGAAGCTGAACAGCTTGCAATTCCTCACGAGCCTCTTTTAATCCTACCATTAATCTGTCCCGCTCATCTAGCATACTAAGAAGCATATCTTCCACATTTCCGCCCTCTCCACTCAACTGAGAATCACGGTCGACCTGTGGGAGTAAGCAGATGAAATTATGCAAAGTATATTAGTCTTATCTTTTTTCCGGACTAGGGAATTAACAGGGGACGTACGCCATCATTTTGAGGTAAAACCAAAGTTTTTGTTACGCAGTTTTTCCGCACCATTAGTCACACAAACGTTGTTTCTTCCACTTATAGCCCAAAAATTTACCAACCAAGACCTTTTGACTTAAGCTCTTTCAATATTGACAATGGGTTGTGAACACCTTGATATTGTCTCTTGAAGCATTCATCAAAATCTAGATGGATCTGCATTGCAAATGGGTGAGCATTTCTGATTTATACCAGATTCCCCTCCTGCATTTTTCAATCAGTTCTCTGTATTATCAATTAGACACATCGTGTCATAAAGGATACACGATTCGTGAGCCTAATTATACCCGTTTCCGCAAATTCGGTTTCACTTTTTAGCTTTCCATGACTTGCAATCTAATAAATTTATTCAGTTGTAGTAAAGTTACGATGCTCGCAACACTTAGTTGAAAACACCATTGACTAGTATTTGATTAAACAGTCGCTAGGTTAAAGAATAGTAACCAAGTTGTTATTGTGTTTTAAGACGTTTACTCATAATAAACACAAAAAATGAAATAATGCCAGTTTTGCTCATATGATGCTCCGTGTATTCAACAAAAAGCTAAATTTCAAAGGAATTTTGGTTTAAAATGAAAAAAATAGCATTTAAATGTTGTAAATAAGAAAATAAAGTAAAAACAGCTGCAGAAGCATAGTAGACGGAGGATAAAATACACGTTCTGACCTAATCGATACAAAATAACGATTTCTTTATATAAATATTAACTACTTCATTAGCCAAGCTGACTCTTCGCACATGCAAACTTACCTGAGTTAGGGCATCCTCCGGAATGGTAGGCATAACGTCACACATTTTATGTTAGGATAAGGTTGGTGTTAGTTCCGATCATTCGATTACATAAACGCATGATATGTCGTAAACCTACAGTTAAAAACCTATCTTAAATAACAGGTGTTTCAAATGATGGGTATTTCCTGGGAATGGAAATGTTAAATGGTAAAAATGACACCAGTATAGTTTCATCAATAGTTAAGTGCAAGAATATCCTTTAAAAAGCCACGGGTTTCAACGAACCCAGTTTTTTGCAAGATTCGTATATATATATATATATGTTACAGATAAAATCCATACCCACAAAATAACAGGACTTCAAAAAATACACTTGATGAATGCATAACAAAAAGGCCAGGTTTAATTCTGAGCAATACCATTTCAATAAAATCTTATTTTTGATAGGCATAAAAACAAAGCTGGTAAGATATTTTTTAACCTTAATTATATTTCTGCACAGTAAATGCCCCATAACTTAGGCCTTTTTAAGAGTAAAATTGCAGGTGACTTTCAACCAAATTCCACTTCTAACGAAAAAGAGCCAAAGTAGTTTTAAGTTATTTGACTTTAAGAAAGTACAGGATGCTTTCTGTCAATGTATAGAAGGGCGTACGGAAATTTTTCACAAAAACGTAAAGCACTCTGACATCCCCATTTTGTGAACTGTGTTTACTAAAACAATTCATAGAACGTATACTTTTGCACAGCCTCTTTAAAAAACATTCTACAATTTTGAAGCAAAAATCCAATAATAAATAGCAAATGTAGGCAGTTTTAAAAACTCCAAGAGTGCATCGCCTAAATGCATTCAAGCACAGCATACAAGATAGACAAAATTGCAAATAGAACACAAGTGCTGGACGCAAAAGCAATTACTATCGTTTAAGTATGCAAAGTGAAACCAGTTAAGGTTTATTTGTATTGCATAAATGGAATAATTACCGAAGGAGAAAACAAAATATGAGTAGGGTGGTGGGAAATGACCTTGGTCGCAGTCTACTTAAATTGCCACACTAAATACATGATGGTTATGGTAATTCTAAACATACAGAAGATTTTCGATCACAATTGAGCAATTTTAAGCAGATGAGGTGCATTTCATGCTAATTTTTAAAGACGAAACCTATCTATTGACATCCGTGTGAGAGATGGTGTAAAAAAGTACTTGGCCGTAAATTTTTGGCAAGTTTCTTATTTTTATGCATATTTGTTGTATGGGATTATTTTGTGCTTTGTATGTAAACGTTTTTTGCATATTTTAGCTCTATGCCTTTTATTAAGCTTGTTAATGACCTGTTTTATATTACGTATTCCCAGGGGGCGTGCCCCTCATTTATCTCCCCCTCTCCGACCTTCAAACTCCCAGAACGAACACGTTGATCTGGCAGGAACGTGTCTATCGGTCAGAGGTAACGGAAACCAGTAAAAGTTTCTGGTAGACTAGAAAATGCAACTGCTTGTTTCGGTGGTGTTGGTGGATGGTTAAGGGCTGAGCAAGTAGTTGTGCGTTGCAGATGGGGTAGTTTGTGAGAGAACGTTCACTACCCGGAGTGGGTCTCTCCTCCATAAGTGATGAAACTTATTATATATTCCAGGTGGTAGAATTGGCCTGTATATTTGTACTAAACCTTATTCTCAGTAGACGCTAGTCTGACTGTGCTCGTCGTAATGTTTCTTCTGCCTGATACGAGACATTTGTAGCGTTCCGAGATTTCCATGAAGACGAAAGGAGCCATAATACTCTGACAGAATATATATATTCAACATAAAAGTGGCATTTGGCCCGAAGGCCATCCCACCCAGCGTGGTACAATGGCCAAGTCAAAAGTGGCTCTTCACCAAAACCGTGCGTTAAACAACCATCGCATTGCACAGTCGTAAGTGTTTACGTGTGATGTTGAAAGATTTTCGTATGCGCTCTTTCGGACGCATTACTAATTCTGGGACATCGCTGTTTGCTACTTCTACATTTGTCATGAATATATCGGAAGGTACTCGCAGTTTACGGCCTGAGAGCATTTTTAATGATAAAACGGTGGTTGATGTATGGACGGTAGTCCTATACGCTGAGATGACGCGTCCTGGGCTTACCTCTTAGACTTACGGTTGTGCATCCTTAATAAAAGCCTTCAGTAGTCCGATCAGAGTGATATTCGTTCTTTGAACCTGTTTACTGCCTCACAGATGCCTAAGTGTCGTGCATGTATTTAATATTGGAAAGGTCTTGAGTAGTTCAGTAAATAACCAGCTTTCGAAATTAGGGCCTGACCGCTATGAACGGAATCGTCAAGCATCAAGCATCTTTCTATCACCCACGTGGCCGAGTTGCCCGTGCAGCTCTTTATTTACCGTTTGTATTAATGAGCCAGGGACTACTAGGTGATTGGGCGACTCGACTTCTTCTTGGTACTGTAAAACCCCATTCTCTAGAGAGAATTACGACCCTCTCACCGCCTAGCTGGCCGACGTCATCACTTCTGCTGTGGGCTCGTAAGAGAATGTCAGGAGCTTCTCATATATCAGAGCCTCGCCGGGATCGGTATTCTGCGTATTTCTCTAATGGAGTTTAGTGTATTTACTCAAAAATATGGTACAATCCACGAGGTCAACTGTTGCTGCCGCGACCAGTCTGCGAGACAGAACGTCCGCATTATTATGAGCATTTTTTTCTGTATTGAACAGAAAAATTATATTGTTGCGGTTTTTTGTACCAGAGTGCAACTGAACGACCGATCCTATTGTTCTTAACCTGGCGGGTGGCTGATGGTTAGTTCTAACAATGAATCTCCTCGCTATCAAGTAATGTCTAAAGTGTCTAACTATTGAGTTGATAGCGAGCGGTTCACATTACGTCGCACTTTTCTGCCTCATTTTTTTGCTGAGCCTAATACTCGCATAGACGACGTGTTCCCTTCCTTCATCCTTTGTCCCTTTGTGAGAGTATATCGCCCACGTCCTTGTCGTTCGCATCCATATCCAGTACAAACGGTGGGGCGCTCGAATCGAAGTTTGGCAATGCTTGAATGGGTGCAGAGTAGAGCATTCGCTTCAGTACTTTAAACGGTTCATCTTGCTTTTTCTCCCACTTGAAATGCTTTATCGCCTGCTTTTCTGTTAATTCATGCAACGGGCTGACGATCTTAGCAAAACCTTTTACAAAACGCATGCTGTCGTTTTCCAAACCTAGGAAACTGCAGAGCTCCGTCAGATTGGTTGGTGCTGGCCATGTCCTCACTTGTTCTGTCTTCAGTGACTGTCATCCTAACTGACGAGACCGTATGTTCCAGGAACTGACCGAGCGCTGCAGAGGTCGGCAGTTCTTCGAGTTGAGGGTTAACTCCGCGTCTCGCAAGCGGTCCAACACAAATTCCAGATTGGCATTACGCTCTTGGATATCCCTACCAAAAAACGAGAATTTAATCGGGACAGATTGTACAATGTTTTGGGCATAAACCAGTTAACGATTTTTGTATCAGGCGTTGAAAGGTGGCCGCTGTCTTAGAGTCCAAAGGACATCGTTTGGAACTCAGGATGTCCGTTCGGCAACATATGAGCTATCTTCTCCCTATCCATTTCTGATATTTTCACCTACCAGCAACCTGATTTTAAGTCCGGGGTGGAGAACCACTTTGACCCATGTGAGGAGTCTAGTGAGTTCTTTCTGTGGGGTAGTGGGGATATGCCCTTCTTAGTCGCTGCGTTTAGCTTCCCACAGTCGATGTACAATCGTAAGCTACCGCTGTTCTTCTTTACCATCGCCATCGGAGAGGCCCATGGCGACTTCGATGGCTTTATAACCCCTCCTCTAATCCTCTTTCCGAAATGACGGGTTACTCTTAGTAGAGGAGGTGGTATGCATCTAGGTGGATGTTAGATGAGTCTACCTTCACAGCTATCAATTGCATGTTTGACGATACTTGTTCGTCCCACCTCAACACCTTGTCATGGGAATATGTTTGCTTGCTTAATCAGTAATTCTTGGGGCTCTTTTCCTTAATTATTAGTAACGTGAGTCAGCTGTGCGCAAAGGTCACCTAGGTTCTCCATGAGTATGGCTGAGGCTTCAAAAAGGGCGTTTCAGATGCCATCCGTGTCATTTTTCGGCAGGGCAAAACAGCGGTGTTGACTTCGGTGCTTTGTTAGCATGGAAAAGGTGCCTTCCACAGAATTCACTGTCCAAGTTTCTTTCCTTTTACTACCATCCCCCTTCCCTCTGCTTAAGTAATCTTGTAAAATGATAAACGGTCCTAATCTTGTTACAATGGGTGGGGAAAGCCTGAAGATTTACCATTGATTTAGCTACTTCTGAGCCAAGAAGGAAACTGCATGGACGTCCTTCTTGTTCACCTAGGCCTAGCATAAATGAATGGGAGCCGTTCGGGAGCAAACGTGATAGGGAAAAGGCTCACCAAATCTTGGAGTATAGCGCGAAGGAGCACGATGTGAGAGTGCTGGGTTTGACCGTCCGTTGAGCGTGTGGTGAAGTGGGGCCGTACCGAGTTTCTGGTGTTTCTCGGTTGCAAACTTGACCAGCTGACTAGGCGTATTGGTCTTTATGCATCAGAGCTTCTCAGCCATGATGAGTGGTCGGACTCCGCGTTTGATCTGGATATTTATCCAGGTGGGGACCCTATTTGGAGGTGAGCCTTTAAAGTCACGTTCCGCTAGAAGTTGAGGATTCCTAGCGTATTCTTCATCACTATCTCCGGCTTTTTGGTAACGAAGGTGGGAGTCTCTGGCGAGGGTCCGCTCTTCTTGATCAGTGACAAGTTAAGTTAGTTGTAGCAGCATTGTTCGATGTCTGTGTCGTGGATGATGCCGACTTCTGTTGTAGCGGCAAACAATCTTGGCGGAAGGCACGGAAGATTGGGGATATTCTTTGGCGTTGAGATTAAAGGTAGAGGTTGTATTTGTGGTTTTAAGCCACTCCCCAATTTTCCTCCTCTTCGGCCTCCAAACCCTTTGAATGAAGAGGTTGATTCAATAGGGACATGTTTATTGGTCGGAATTAAGGGGAACTAGTAGTTTAAGGGGGACTGAGCACTGAACTTCTCTCTACCTCGGGAAATTCTGACTACCCCCATCAGGAGGTCAAAGTTACATGCGCGCTGCTTGCCTAACCAGGTGTATTTAGGCATCATAAGTGTTACACTCAATTCACCAATTTATCGCATCAAATGAAGATTTTAAAAATGGTTTCGTAATACATTGATTGTTTGGTTTGGTCGGATGTATGTGGTCTTCCCGGGCATTATGTCTTCCTTAGTACTACAGTTTATTGTTAGAATTCGATTTTAGAATTTAACATAACTTTTTTTCCTTTTATTGAACTTCCTAGCCACATTAGTTAACCCCTTCTTCTACCCTTTTTTAATGCTAGTGACAATTTTAAACTAGTATGCTAATCTTAGGTTCACCGCTCCAGTCTTGAGCCTGGAATTATATCCTCTAAATTATTTCCTGATTGAGTTTCTGTTGGTGAAAGCTTACTGCCACTGTGCCGTAACTGACTTCATTTTAAATTTTGTGGTTCATGCTTTTTATTGGAAGCTTTTAATTCCCTGATTCCCTCTTGTACCGGGATGTTTTCCAATTTGTATTCATCAAGGGGATTTAAACTTTTGCTATCCAATTGCATTCTCGTTTAAGAAATCGCTCCGATTCTGAGAACTAATCCCGTCAGGCCGCAAAGACTACGATTTTTGGCAAATTCTTTGTCTAAAAGTTAGAAGCCATTGCGTAAACTAAGACCTTTGAAATGAAGGACCTTTATGGCCGTTTTGACTGGGTGGATGAATACTAGATTCCAGAATTTGCTTCAGAAGTGGTGTATAGGATTAAGTATTTCTACCACCTTAAAAGGAACTTGTTTTTGGTGGCATTCCAAAAGTCTAGGGGGCGACGAAGTCTATTAACAGCTTTCATAAAATGGAATTTGCGATTATGATGGTAGGAATGAGTGATTCAATGTCTGGAAAAGTGTCTAATTTTGCTTATATAGGGCGTGATCAATGGTTCATACCCGTTCTCCCATGTTTTCAGTGACGCTGTTTGTGAGTCGTGTAATCAGTCCTTGGCCGGGGAGTCTCTCCTTTCTAGTCCCCGTGATTACAGTAGGCATCTACGTGCTGTGATAGATCTAACCTAGCAGATTCCAAAGAGCATTGATGGACAGCGTCGATTGGTGGAACGTAACTTACCTGTCCCTGTGCGTTCTTATTTCAGTTCTGAACTGATTAGGTACACTGTTTAGCTTTGATCTGTCTTACTGATTGGCTAAAAGGAAGAATTTATTGTGATTTACTGCGGCTAATAGTGCATCAATATAAGGAAATGGTCCGTTTACACGACTCACTTTCAGTTAAATTACCCAAATCATCGCTTTACACTCCACTGATGTCCCGAGTTGATCACGCAACTCCAGTGGTTTTATAAAAAAAACTGCCTCGTGGCGATGGATCATAGGTCTTTATACAAAGAACAAAATTTGTAATCCTATTAGCAACGGCAATCAATTACAAAGTCCAAAATAGGTAAAGCCAAAGTGTCGCGGCTATCGCCTCCCAAACTTGATAATTGAACCTATCCTATAATTTACAATAGCCCGCTGTAGTCTCTCGATATGCTAAATAAACCCATATAGATTGTGATCTTTGACACACTCTTTTTCGCCTCTATTTGAATATTATGCGATTTCAAAGTTCCTTATTCGCATACATCTTTGAAAACATTTCGACCTAAGGGGTTGGATTGTTCTTCTCTCGGAGGCAATTTTACAGTTGTCTGCGTCTTAAATATAAAGTAGTTGATGCTTTTTAAATTAAGTTGATAAGAGCATTATTAATTAGTGCATTCCTCCATTTAGATCATATTTATGCAACCGTCACTTTTTTGACATCCTTCTATCAATGCCACCTCTTATCAACGCACACACGATGGCAGTCGTGTGTGCTTGGTCTACACTAAGGAAGCCTGCAGGTAGCCCCACTCAGGCACACTTTCCGTTAGGCAGCGGCATCACAAATGTTTCTGGGACCTTCCTTAAGCTAAGTAAATATTAATCGTCTAGGTACTTCAATGAAACTTCATTATACAGTAAAACTAGTGTGGACCAAGAGAAGCTTGTGATATTCTAAGTACTTAAAGTCACATAATCTTGTTTTTATCTAGCCACTGGCAATTACTGCTATGAGTGTATTTTAGTAAAAAGTTTTGGATGAAGGAGCCGAGATCTCTTACTGACAATAGGTGATTTCATTACAGCACTTCGTAGGAGAAAATTGGGGCGCCTATTCACCAAATGCAATCACAAATCCTCCTTTTTTTATTGGAGGCAGCGTCTTATCAAGAGACACAAGCAGAACCCAAGAAGTTACTACAAATCGAATTCAAAATTAAAGCGCGGTTTTTTTAGACAATGGTAACAGAAACCAAATTCTCTGTGATAAGATGGACAAAAGGCCATAGGAAATGTAGTGAGAATTTTCAACCTGTTAATTGCATTATTTTTACCTCACTTTTATTTATTAGTCCTGACTAAAATCCAAGCTAATCTAAATTGAAGTATCGTCACAGGAGACGCAGTTTTGGCGAAATACGTATCTCATTTTATTACACTCTGATTCCCATGGAATTTTTATAAAGTTAGTTTACCGTGTTGGAAGTAATAAATAAGGGGGTTTATCGCATAATACACTGCCTGCGATAGAGGTTTGCACGTTTCCACGTTTCCTCAGTACTGTGAGTGTCTGATAGTCTCCGATTGGGAATGATTTCAAGAGTGAAACTGTAAAATGTCAATGTCTGGTCAGACAAACCTCTGCCACGATTTATCAGCAAACGTGTAATGCATCGTCCTACTGTGGGCCATAGTACTTTTTATTGATGTCTTAGCGTTTTACAAACATCAGTTGTAATATTTAAAGTTGAGAGCAATTTCGTAACTGATCTCTTGTAATTTTATGGTTTCACCGGAGGATTTGGAGGCACTGGGCATTATTTCGAGATCAACTTTTCTGGTCCACATGTGAATAAAGCCAAGATTTTGCCACTTTTACGATGGTTTCGTTTTTATCAGAATTAGTTATTTTCTTATCGTCTTTTCAACTTACTTAGTGTCTAAGTGGCATACTTTGTAATACATGTTTGTTTGAACACATCTTTTACATGAGAACACGAATTTTCTAATGGAATAGTTAGGGATACGTATACTCTGAACGTGTGTTCCTTTGATCACTGTACCCTGCATAGTCAGTCTACTCGTTCCAAGGGAATGAAGGCCAGGGAGGAAGAGATGAACACAGAATCTATCACACCCACATATTTGCTATGCTTACCATAAAAATCTGTAATGAATATTTGTGATGTAATAAGCTGGTTGTTTGATTCTCGGTGTTAGTAAAGGGGACACTTAGGTGCTTCACCATTGTACCTTTGTCGGGCCAACTGGCCTCCAGGGCATGCCAGTAGCCCTAATCTCTTCTGTGTGTCGAAAACTTATTCCGTCTGAGCATCATGTCTTCTTTCGTCTTCGGGAGAGTCTCAGGGCGCATCAATAACATACTCCTGAATAAAATCTTTCGAAATTTCCTAAAACATTTTTGCCCTAGCGAAAATATGCAAATTAGGATGCTAGGAGACGAGTCGGAACAAATCACTGGTGGAAGACGCTAGTTATCAAGAAAGGCAGCTCTGCTAACAAAGCCACGAATTTTGGCTCAAAACAATGGTTTAGAAAGCAAGCCATTTAATTTTAATAAGCAGTTTCGGGAGAGCCTTCTAAAAAAACAACTGAAAAAGCGTATTCTGGACAAATTGTAGATGGCAATGCAGATTACCAATTTTGTCTCGACAAAACACCTTTACTACCATGTTAATGGCTATCAGAAGGCTAAAAGCATCGCTATAATAAAACATTGGAGAAAAATGTGTCAAATTAAGTTATTTATTTGACACCAAAATTAATAACAAAATGCGAATAAATTAGTGGATTTCGGTACTCACGTATTTCACACCAGGTAACATGTAAGCACGAAATTCAAAGTTATGATATTCATTAAATTCGATTTTCAAGACATTAACTAATTCTTAAGTTAATGCAATCGATCGTACTCATAAAATAGAGTTTGGGAGATTTTAATGATATTCAGAGGAATAATAAACTATAGTCAAGTCAAAAATAACTCTGAAAACAGCGGAAGTTTATCATTTTACAATAGTTAATAACTCTAATGTACACAAGATTGTAGCGAAAAGAAAATATCAAGGTAAAGAATGCAAGATTGTATTAGTAGAAAGAGGGTCCCTGGTTAATGTGTAAAAAGACTCCACTTCACCTCGCAAGTGGTTAAGTATGAATGTCTAGAGACCAATTCGACCGAACTCTGCCTCCTCCAGGTCTCTGGCCTCGAAGTAGTCCAAATGCTGCCCTTTCCACAGTTCCCTGTAGTCTGCCTGATGTAGCAGACAAACGCGAGCTGGAAATTGAATTTCACCGGTTTGCGAGGAAAACCTTTGCCGGCGCAGCCATCGCACACACATCCGTGCAGAATCCATAGGCTGTATCACGAGGCCCTGCTCACGTCTTTCCTTGAACCACGCTCGCGCCTTCGGATCCCCTTGCTCCTTCTCCAACTGATCATACATTGCAGTCAAAAGGGGACCCGGAGAATAGATAAAAGCAGAGATAGAGGGCCGATCAATGACCAAACACTTGAGATGCATATCCCGTGCAGCTTTGCTACAACAGTAGGTAAGCATGTGTGAAAGTGGTTTCACCGCAGCGAGGCTAGAGATGGTGAGAATGGTGGTAGGTGGGTGGGAGGTCTTTTCCACCATTGGGGCGACATGATGGAGGAAGACATTGGTGAGGATAATCTGGGAGAAGAGATTGACGCGAAAGTACGACTCCAGATCGACCGTGGAAAGATGTTCATCAGCGCGGATCTTTATGTTGCCCAGAGTGCCGGCATTGTTGACCAAGAGGTTCCACTGGGGCTGATTGCCACTGGCACACTTCGCCATTGCGTCGTAGATTGGCTGCAGTGTGTTTGAAAGGGTCACAGCATCTGCTGTATTCATGTCCAGATGCTCACCACCGTCGAAGTAGACAGCAACGCTTGTTGTACCATTTTCTGGTATCGATGCAATTATCTAAGAAAAAAAGTGGAAAAATATGTCAATGATTGTAAACACTCTATGAGGTAAAAGAGGCATGGGAAAGGATGGAAAGGAGTGTCCACCTCGCTTTCTGTTTCACAGAGGGCATTCATGTCACGACCGAGGAGAAAGAAGGTGAGGGAGACGGCAGGGGGGCAGTGGCAGAAGCGCGGCTCGGCCACTTCCCTCAATAGCTGAATGCAAAAGGCCCTACCAAAACCGCGGCTGGCCCCCGTCACCACGACAAAGCAGTTTGCATTCGACCAGGGTGCCGCCTCCCTAAATGACTGGCCACACGTGCACTTGGGTTCCTTTACATCTAAAAGATTACGAAGCACGTCAAGTTAAGAAGTAATGTCTCAGGGACCCACACATGCAGCAGGACATTTGTTAAGTCTGTCCTATATTGACAATAAGTTTGGGCTTGTTGTGGGAAAAAGGATACACGTATAAGTGACCTTGCCCCTTTTCACAGTCTTTATTTGTTATATACATGAGCAAAATATTATAGTCGAACACTGCCTTAAAACCAAAAGGCATATGGATGATTTGGAGAGGACATCGTTAGGGTGATAATGTGGTCATAGTTGTGAAACGCAATAGAAAGTCAAAAACTTTTCGGTATTTCACTCGTACTTAATAAATTATGGACCCTAGAAATGATAGCTTGTTTTAAACAATTCAGTAATATAAATAGGTGTTCCTAAAATGTTTGGCTAGTAATTCCTCATGTAATAAGTTTCAAGCAGAAAAACTGGTTTCAAATATGTTAAACATAACTTCACATGCCTTTAAGAATATTCCAATTAGGGACCAAAGCAGTGGTCACGTGCCAACAGAGACTAAGCAATTCATGTGATTTTAAGGGTATAAGTTTATGCGCCCCGTAAAAAAACTCCATATTTGTCCCAAGTCTAACAATAGCCAGATTCACCGCAATGCAGAAACGAATATTTTGAAATAATCTACAAATAAACGACCGAATTTCACCCATTCAAGGGAGGAATAAAGATAAATGAGATCACCACAAGAATATAGCAACATGATCAGCATAAGATCTGTTTGTGGGTGTACGACCAAAAGGATCGTTATCAGCGTAGGTGAACGGGTCAATAGGGTGAAAAAATGTATAAGTGGTGCAACACCCATTTTATTCATAGGCGAGGTATTCCAGCACATTGAGGTAACATTCTATAGCATTACAGAATACATGAAATAGCAACCAATGGTATGGTATGCGTTCAATTCTAAAGAATAATTTTGATTCAAGCATTCCAAATAATTAAACACCTGTCACTAATCAAGTAAGCACGGCGGTACATTAGGGTCCATCGTTTATCAGGTAAAAATGCGTACTTCATTTTTGCAAAAACTGAATATCTCGCTTTATGACAATGGCCTTCTTACCCATTGACTTGATACCCAGCTACACGTAGGCTAGTAGAATGCGGGCTAAGGATTAATAAAATAGGCTGATCTCAAGGTTGACACAATAGTTGTTTTTGTTGACTTAATATAACAATATTTCGAAAATACAAAGTACAAAAGTAATTATTTGCGTTTGTGATTTTAATGTATGGTTTTAAATGCCTTGGCTGTTGTGGTAACAGCCATTATGTGGATCCCACGACTAAAATTTCTCGAATGAGATTATGAAGCACTAACGAGTAATGTTTGTGGATTTGTCAAAGTGGTACTAGTTGGATACAATCTAAGTGTGTTTTGCACGGTACATCGCACTGACCAGCAACTTTCAACTCACTTTATTTTAACTAATTGTTAATGCTTATTCAGATGTTTAGCTTGATAATTGGATTCAGTCCATCTCGTTTACCATTTAATTTCATTATTAAGTAATTCTTTAAATTATTTTTAATTTTGCATGAAGAATTTGTCTTGAGGAGAGCACAAAACATGTCTGGATAGAACGGCTGTGTAGCGTCCCAAGACTCCCTGAAGACGAAAGAAGACACAATACTCAAGCAGAATATATATTCAGCGCAGCGAGGGCATCTGGGCTATTGGCATGGCCCAGAAGGCCAGCCCACCCAGTGAGGTACAAGGGGGCTAATTCAAATTACAAAAGTGGGGCCTCACCAGAACCGAAGGATAAACCACTATCGTATTGCAGCTGTGGTCAAAAAGACATAAGACGAAGGTGAAAGGATCTACGTATTCGAATTACAGTTAAAATTGTCATTGTTCCGATGTGAGCATTAACAGTTAATGGTGAAAATTGGCATCCCCCTACCCATAATATCCTGCTAAATCACTACTTTATTCTGCTGATCCATAATTCTAATAAATGTTTTGGTCACATAGTACCATCAACATCTTGAGTATTGTTTCGATGTTCCTAAATCTATTGTTTCAAAGAATTTTCCTGCAGCTAAGACATGCTTGAAGTATGGTCAACTGAGTTAACATAATTCTGCATGATTAAGGGTGATTTTTCATGGATAGTTTATGGAATTTAACCGCGCAAAGCTTATGTTCGAGATATTGATCTTTCTTGAGTGGTTGATTATTCCATAAGCTCTCCTGAATATGTTGTGGACATAGGGTTTTCTTCATCGTAATGCTTTAATAATTTATTTAACTTTGCGTTTGTTTCCTCAGTCACTTACAACTCCGAAGTTTTGATTCTCACTCAGCATTGTGGCCGCCGGGCTATTCCTGCATGTAATTACGGCATTTTCTGCCGTACTACTGTGAATTACGACTTCAGGAAAGACTCGGAAGTGCTACATGCATAAAAGACTCAGTTACTGCAAAAGATGAGATTGTATTTTTAAAAATTCTGTCCCTGATTTAAAAGTATCTGATAAACTTTGTCTTAGATTAAGTCAAACTAATGTTTCCCTTCTCATTGCCAAATACAGTGCTGTAATTTGGCATTTTCAAAAGTAGCTATTCTATAGTCTTGAATAAAATAAAAATGACTAGCTAGTGAATGGAGAGCGGTGAAGTCTTCGGCGGTTTATAGAAGCATTAGAGTCGGTGAATACTTTTAGATTCAGCTCGTGTTCAACGTATTTGCATTCACTGGGGGTGGACCCGGGTTATGCGTCTCACAATGCTTCACCCTCAACGGCGGCTTTAAGCGCGGCACATAACATCGGTGGTGCCTTCTCCTTCAACTTCCTCGTTCATCCAATTTATCCATCCTCTCATTTTTATCGTCGAGATGATATATGACCTTAATGTTAAGATACTCTCCGCAGCGGATTAGGGATCTACATTGAGCTTATTACACGATTTCACATTTCGAAGAAATTTTTGTCCAAAAGTGTAGCTACTTGATAAAGCATTCAATTTGAATTAGCTTCACAGGGATAATATTCAACACTCAGCTCGCCTTGTCAACTCTTCATTTTATTATCATCGGGCCGCTTGCCTGGGTTTCGTCCAATTACTAGGATCGTAGGAACGATTTCGTTTCATTATAACAAATTATCCAGCTTCCTGATTGACCCCTTCGAATCGATCACTTCAGTTGCTAGCTATCACAACGCGAAATTAAGGTTATTACTTGGGTAAACTTTCTGTGATGAGGCTTAGCAGGATAAGCTTTGATATGCATCTTGGCATCATGATAAGGGAATTGGGATTGTTTTTGTCTCAACTGAATTTGCTTACTGCTGTCAACAATGAAGTACTCGAGGCCCTCCTGACGATGCTATACGATACATGAGTAGGATAAAAATTTTATCGCTATTGCACAGAGGCGCTGCTGGGCTGTTGACAGAAATTACTCGGCCGCAGCGCCATGCTAACAAAGTGGTAGCCTGAATTTACAGAGGCTGGGGTATCAGCGCTCTAAAACGCTATATTAGATGTTTCAACAAGTCTTGATAAGCTTTAGCATTTCGAAAAAGCTAATTAGTACTTGATAATTGCATCCAAATATTTGTATTTCAGCAGTACAATGAAAGCATTCCTATTCTATAAATGTGTTAACACCACCTGCAAAATTTTTGCAATTAACTTTTTCATTGATGCAATGAAATTGAAAAGCTTCTTGGTTCTTGTTATTCACGAAACTTAACAACAGCTCAGTTGATTATTATTGTAGATTAACTGGAGAACAATTGCGGATTAGTTTCATTTAATGTTATTCTAAGCGCTCGAATAGAATTTCAATGCGAACATGTTAAAGCTTCAATTAATGATATCTTAATATAGAAGTGGTGAGTCGGTCACAATATGCATTTTTTGCAGTCTTTTACCTCTGAATTTAAGTGCCGTAGAAAAGTGGAAATGTTTTGTACAAAAGTGACACTTTATTTTTAAAAATCTTTAATTAAATAGGAAAAAAGTTCAGAAATCATCATGATAATATGGGAAATCCCTGTGTGGGTTACCAGCTGTCTGACAGTTATCTAGGATGTATCCACTCGTTGTCAGTTGTTCTTGTGAATGCACATGCTGCCCGGTCGTAGTACCAACTGCCAGTGTTGGATCGGAATAGGCTTGATGATAAACGTAGCTGTAGCTTCCATACTCACCTGACTGGAACGCCTGTACAACATCCTGCCTTTCGCATTCCACATGCCCAGATGTGTACGTTGGATCAGAATGTGGAGGCGGGACGTCTGTCGAAATGTCCCTATCATTTGGTGAAAACCTATTCACTGTGCTATTCCCACTGTCCGTCTCCTCATAATTACCCAACACGGAGGGTGATGTGGTAGACTGACTTTCATTAACTCCTCCTGTTTGGACCTTAGGAATTTGCTGCTTATGATAACTGTCTGTCCGGGGCCAGTTGTGCTCATCTGACCTATGGGAAATGCTGGGATTACAGTGCCAATAAGCAGCGGGATTTGAAACGTATGACTCGATGTTGACCTCTTTGACATGGGGAGTCTGCTGCCAGGTCATTTGGCTGCTACTGTGTTGGTTGGTGGTGTTGCTGCTGCCAGCGGACTGCGAGTCGGCAGTGGTGCTGCTGCCCGAAACCATGACGGAGAGAGATGCCAGACGCGTGCGAGCCTCATAGTCTCGCCTGTATATACAAGCGTGAAGGTGGGAAAGCAACTTCTTGCGAAACACCTCGTCCATCGTACTCACGACTGGCAGCGCACTCAGGAAACGCGTCACCTCAGCAAAGCACTCCTGGAATCCAAGAAGCCGATTCTCCAATAATCGTAGTTCTGTGTTTAGGATGGTGCCTTCAATGACCAAGAAATCAATTTTATTTGCAATGGTTGGAGCTGTTACATATCATGTGTGTCTCCAAAGACAACTTCAAGGGAGTTACACATGTAACGTTTCCGAAAGTGGTGTAAATTCCACTGCTCACTTTTTCAAAAACAATTTTTTTTAATGAGGCACCTCCATTTTCACAGATAAGAGTGGCTAAATTTTCAACAACCATTTCCATAAATTTACCAAACTAATCTAAGTTAAATGGGAATTGTTTCATTGACTAAGGCTGATGAGTAAGGTTATTTATTACCAAGTCCCCTAAGGATTCAAGTGTTAAATTTTTTGCGCATACTTAAATGGGACCTGAGAAAATGTTTCTGTTGAAAATCCGAAATGGATGACAAATTAATAAGTAATTTGGTTAAGATGCGGTTATTATTCCTTCTAAACGTTTGCTTACCATCTCTGTGAATGCGATGAAGAAATTCGACTGTCATTTGCAAGATTTCCGCCTTTTCGAGCTTGGTTGAAGTCTGGTAAATAATCAAAAAAGGATGGCAAAAGACCCACGGAGTTACTATTCAGGTGTCACCTTAACAACCGTGCTGACAAGTCTACTAGCTTACGGTGGTAAAAGACATTAAATTTATTGAGAATATGAAAACCGGTAACATGGCGGTGGCTTGTGATTTCCCGGCCAAATATTAACCGCTGAGTTGTTTACAAACCTTATGAATGAGCGATAAATGCAACAAGCAACACAGCCCCGAATTGTACAGTAATTGACTCAACCATTCATGTAAATTCCTGCCTCCTCCCAACGTTTGTCTTGTCCAATTTTACGCGAACCGTTCCTCTTCTCACCACCCTCATCCAGCCCCCTCTACTGGCTTCCCTTTCGTCACCTTTCCGCCCGGTATCCGGCGTCACCAGGTGGCGATCTGTGTAGCCAGCTGGCCAAAGCAATTAATCAGGACCTGAGTCCCCACGGGAAAGTATTATTATCGATGCCCTCGGTGAGCCTTGCAGACTAGCCGACACTACCGACTCAATTGTAGTTTTGATGCCAATGAGTGAGGGCAAGCTTACTCCTCATAGAAGGCATTAGGCAAGATTGTAAATATAGTAACTTTGTTTTACTTTTTGTAAAATGGTTAATCCTAATAATAATTTAACGGAGTCTTGTTGCATAGTCGACTGACTCTAATATTGGTATTTAGCAAAAATGAATAATAAATTCTTTGCGGCTCAAAGGAAATCCGTTGATTTGTTAAAAAGAAAATTTGTATAGCTGATCAATAATCAAAATTAGGAATCGAAAAATGTAACGAAATCAAATTTATGCACAAAGGTGGCATCAAAGTGAACCAGGGATTGTTATAATGCAAATATAAAGAAGTCACTTATGACATCGTAGCTCTTGCTCACAACTTGCTCATTTTCAATCTCTTTTACTTAAAGGGAAAAGGATTGGAAACACCTTGCTCCGCCGCCTCCTCCTCTGCCGCACACAGACGAGCATTACTCACAGGAGAGTTCGAGTTGCCAAGACGAGCGACTGGTCACTGGCCCCATCCGTCCCATCAACCTTTTTCCCCCTCCTTCTCGTTGTGTGCGAATGCTTAGGCGAGCATCTGCGGCCTCTCACAGTTGAAGTAGACACTTAAATGCCTCCCTCCCTCAGCGTGTGGAGACAGGAGCAGGAAAATTATTCACTCTTTGTGTAGGGGTAAAACTAGTTTATCAAGTCGCTTACGGCCTGTTAAAGTCGTATTTATTTTGTCTTATCAAGTAACTATTTCAAAGGTGTAAATCCATTCATTAAAAATCTCCCAAGTGAAGTAAACTAGCACCCAAATATTCCAACAATAGGATGGTCGTACGATTGTGTGGTATTGAACTGGGCTACCATTACCCAATGGCTAGGTGTTTATTTGCCCTGAAGTCTGGTATTGGCACCTCATGTGTCGTCAGGTTGCCGTGTCAGCGTGGTTGATGACCACTTTACTCCCCCTTCCCCAGTTACATCAAACCATTACGGCGAAGAGGGGAGAGAAGTGCCTTGAAGTGGTAAAGTTTTGGACTTCAGGCTTACCGATAAATGGATTGGTATCACAACGAAAGAGACTACGACAAATGACTGGGTCGGAAGTGTGTAAATAAGTGATTGCAGTGAGATTCGTTAACGTAATCTAAATGGAAATAAAACTAATGTAATAGAACACTTTTGTAAATGTAGCAATACGTTGCAGTTACGATATCTCTGAACTGCTAATTTACAAGTCTGTAGAATAGCCCTGTATTCAAACCTAGACTTTTTTAAATTAAGTCAAAGGCAAGCAACAGTTGCAATGCATCAAGGGCACCGTTTGACACTGTTTAATATGGGATGAATAAATGTCTAGAGGTTGATTTTGCAAATAAATGTGCGCATCGAATGATAGTCTTAAAAACACCTACTTAATAGAGTGGTGGAAACCGAATTGTGAGACGATTACGAAAGTGATGAGCATGCTAGCAGTCAATTCAATGTACTTGATGAGACAATGCTCTTCGAGTTTTGGCCCAAAAACTAAATAACCTTAATTGATCTTGCTGGCAGAACTCTTTCGCAGGGTAGTCCTCAAATAGATGTTTACTACAGTTCTTGTTTAATGAAATGCGACTCTTCTTGTAAAGTCAGATATAGGCATTACTGGACCCCGGGGATTGATCTGTCCAATCTCAGAGCGGGTTACTACACTTTTCTAGCTTGGGAGAGCACGCTTGTTGCCATGGTAGTTGATCGCTTTTTAAAATCTTACTTTATAGAGGGAAATCGAGGTGGTTACAAAGTACTTTGAATGTATGAATATGCACAAAGATCGGAGAGCTAACCTGCTTCTGTGCTGCGTCCGGTACAAGTCGGCGAAGCTCACTGAGGTTGAAGTTTATCCTATCTCGACGGCGCTTCTCAATGATCTGCAATGAATGCGAAAAAGCAGGAAAATAATGCATTTGTATTAAACCACGATGCTATGCACTTTAAAGGTAAATATGGCGAGAACTCAATAACTTACGCCTCGTCTTCTTTTTCTATCCAGACCGGTGTACCCTCCAGAGGAGCTAAAGGAGAAAAGACCAAATTGCACGAGCAAATAATTTTCCTATTTTCCCTTTAAAATGTTTTAACTTTATTGGGATTTGGATTAACGCGAAATTCTGTTACTAGTAAGCCAAATCATCATAAAAGCACTTGTAACTGATCATACCAATATTCCCATATTTGGGTGCCTATTTCAACCTTGGGCTATGGTTGTATATCGATTTCGTGTCAAAGAAAGAGGCTAAAGAAATACGTTTGCTTATCTTGGAGCCCTGAACGAATCAACTGCATTCTTATAAGATAATATTTCACAGTAAGTAGTTTGCACAAGCCTACTCACTAAATTATTTAGTACCCAACTATGTGATAAGCAAATTGGTGCAAAACCAATGTTGGGCTAAGTTTTGCCTTTAAAAATAGCAAAAAGACCAAATTCTCTAAGTCGGTAGAATTTACGTCAAAAGCCGTTCAACCTAGTAACATGACGTTTTTCGAATAATGACAATCGATAGTTAAAAACAAATTATTATGTAGATTTTTTCACATTGTTTGCACCTGTTAACATTGTCAAAAAATCTAGAGCTAATGACCACATAGTCCGGTGTTAAAACAGCAGGAAAACTTGACAGACAACAGGTAGTTCAAGTAATTAAAGGCTTAATACCGCTTTGACAAAGTCAGCGCCAAAAATAAGAAATTAATTGAATAAAAAGGATAATCTGGGATCGTACTTATGATGGCTTTAAAAATTTTGAAAAAACCTATGAAGTAAATAATGCCTATACGGAACAATTCATTGGAACAATCGCACCCAATATCGTCGTCCTCAATATCATCATCAGGCGAAACACAACGTTTTTCATGAGCTCGCATTTGAACAGACAGGGATCACACGTTCCAGATCCGAAAGAGTATTTTGGAGCATTGGAAAGTAGAATGGCCCTTTGGTAGGCCGACTGGTTTGCGCATCCTCGGGCACCATCGTGATTGGTCGGTAAACCGAATCGTCAACCAATGAAAAACGGAATAGACCCATTTTGCGGTCGTAATGTTTCCAAAAGGAGGCAAACGATGTTCGTATTTCATTGAGATATTCATGCTTAAAAATGCCACAAGTTTTCCAGCATCATAAAGGCTGCAATCTATGTAAAACTACTTGCACCTTAATTCAAAAGTATCGGCGAATAAAATTCTGCCACATGGTCAGCTGTAAGTAGTGTGAAAATGAAGATATTACAGTATTTTCTCAAATATTTTTACTTATTATAATGTGTTAAAAATTGCTTTATTGAAAATAAGCAAAACCTACTGCAGATTTATATTGTGACCATTAGATGAGTCGATTCTCATTGCCCTAAATTAAAGCAAAAGTTGGTTTGATCATAGTAAAGTTGTAAATAATTCCTTTTGTACTGTGTGAAAAAACCCGTAAGGCAGATGCCCATTTTAAAGCTCGTTGAGAAATGAGCAGCAAATGCAGGCTCAAATAAGATACGCTATTCTTACTTGTGCTGGAAAATTAGGGAAAAATATTTGTACTATTTAAAAAAGAGACCGGTGTATTTGCATCTATAGTATTTTTAAAAGTTAGGAAAATAATTAGGAACAAGAGGGAAAAAAATATATGGAATTGGAAAAAGTAGCTCAAAAGTGAATACAAACACTACTCTTAACTAAAGAATGCTTCACAAGACTTCTAATGGGATTTCTTCATGTTAAAAGTTTTAGCTAGATCCTCTGATTTGCCCAAAAGTTTCTGCCTTAGTTCCACATAAATCCAACAATTTTGGCCGGAAATGCATCAAGCCCGTATCTCATTTGAAGCCGTGAGTGCTCCTGCGTCTCATATATGAAATGCAGAAAAAATGTAATGTAAAGCTCAATTAACTAAAACCATACTTTAACTGTGTTTGGGTAAAACCATAGTGCAAGCAATTCTTAATGAATATTGGATGAGTGCCGCTACTACAGCAAGTGCTTACCCCACAATTATGCCCTCCATCAACAATCGACTCTCCCTTAAAACGCCAGTCGGTAGAGGTTACGAGCGAGGGCTGCACATATAACGACAGTAATGAAACATACTTTTTCACAATTAGGTGACCTCTACTAAGCGCAAACTAATGACCCTAGAAATGTTTATTCCAGAAGTTACTACTTCCAGCCATGCCTTTGCACCCAAGAAGGTGGGTTAATTTTGGTTACCTTAAGGTGGCGTTGACACGTGCCAGGGTAAAATTGATGATCATCATTTTGGTATCTTTGCCCCTAGTGATTAACAAGAAGCATTGCACCAGCTGCCATCTTGCAGCTTAGAGCACTCACTAAACGTCAGCTAACAGAGTATTTTCCTTTTTGAAATGCAAATTTACTTCAGCGTCTAACAGAGACAGAAGTTAGCATTAACGGTAAGGAAGGAGTACAATGAAATTATGAGTATGTTTACTAACGCATTTGAATGATTATAAATAGGCTTGAGCAGAATACCTTTTTACTCCTACTTTAAGTGGATTCAGTGATCTATTTTACTTACTCATATTAAAAGTTCATTTTACCACCGTGATGACGTTATCTGAAGTGCAGATTCGAAAATTTTTTAATGGGGAAGCTCACCCACTTTGTAATGAGTGTAAGGGAAAGTTGAAAAGAAGTCCATATTGTTACAAACATACAGCGCCATTCGTATAAAACATTGGAAAGAGAGGATTCATTCATACATCCTTATCAGGTATTGCCAATAATACTATCATTAGAGCCTTGTCTCGATAGTAAGTTGTTCTATCAACCGTCAATTGAAAACGTCGAAAACTGGAGAAAATAACTAAAAGCAATGATCTAAAATGCTTACCTTCCGATTCCGCTTAGAGGAATTTGCGAAAAATTAAACAGACTATCAAATTCAGCGGGACTAAATCTGATTCAAATAGAATGAGGGTTGTGGATTGTACACTGAATTTTTGTCCCGTTTTTTCCCCTACGATTTTTTACTAAAGAGCTGAAATCCAATACAAAGGTACGTTCAGTGGCCTAAAGAATTAACTAAACTTTAATTCTCATCCATATTTGAGTAAACAATACTAGGGATTACCAGTGCCGTCATTCTTCGCACGTTTACTGAAGGAACCAATCTGATAGCAGTGCTAAGTTTGAATGGAAATGCTGCTTCTCAATTTTTGTATTACTGTGATGTTTGTTCAATTAAAAACTTGAAGAAATTACAAACGATTAAGCGTTGTTTCGATTTAAACTGCGTATGCGCCTGAATTTATCAACTGGTGTGAGTTAGGTAGTGACGGGATGGCATAAATATTTGACATTTAATGCGCCTATTCCCGTGATCCTGCGCAACAAGCATAAACAAGCCTTTACGTTTATCACAGCCAGGTTCAGCAGTGATCACGACTTGGGAATGGGGAATTACCCTCTCTTTACCTTCCCAGCACCCCCTCTCCCCTCATGGAAAAGGGCAATTAAGGCTTAATAAAATTTGCAATGACCCGAGGGGGGCGGGGTGAGACAAGGAAGGTGGGAAGGTGACGGATAGTTAACTCTCGGGGGAATCGTTCTAGCGGAACCGCTTAAACTTAACCTGACGTTTATTACAGATTGTAATACTGCTATTTGAATGAAATTTTAATGTCAACGCTTGCATTTTAAAATAAAAATGAGATTACTGTCGTCTTTACAAGGGAGTTTAAAGGGCGAGCATAATGAATTGAACTCATAATAGTGGAAGGGTGAGGTGATTTATTTTAGTTGATACGTGTTGAGGATGTGGGTTTAAATACTTAATTACAATAGAACTCTGTTTTAAAGTTCCTATATGCTCAAATTTATCTTCTATGATTTTCTGTATATCAAAATAGAGTGCACAATTCTAAATTAACATACTTTGGCTTCAACTTCACCGGGAACGAAAGCAGCGTCAGAAAAAAAACTGGGGTTATTCTCTCACCTGAAAATCATCATAGGTAATTAAGTAACTCGATAGATAAAATTAGACTCCTGGCAAATGTTCTTATCCTCAGATTAAGGACAGTCTGCATCTCTCTTCTCAATTTAAATCCAACCAAACTGTTTACTCCACGATTTGGTACAATCAATTGGCATGAAGTGAAGAAACATGTGATAGTGGTGGCAGTTGTGTTAAGGAGGTGATTGTAAAACGCTTATTTATTAAACGTGCGTAGTTTCGAAAGCGATACCATTGTGTAATAATGTGTGTTTGAACATACCTCGTGGGTGAAAAGTGGTCAGTACGCCAACCACATGACGAAACTGACGCCTTTTGCCCCTGAAAAAGAAACGAACTTCAGTCTTCTTTAAACACTGCCAACTTGTAAACCCTAGATTACTGCTCAACTAAAAGATGTCATCATTTACACACTTTTCGCATTCCAAGGGTGCAAAACCAGAAATGAAAACGGGAAGTCTAGAATCTGTTACGCTGGTGGCAGCACCAGCATACCATCCTTTTTTCAGGGCTGGCATGGGTTTTGGAAAATGGTTTGGAAATGCTAGATTTAAACTATGCCTTTACTTTAGCGTTACAGGACGCCACAGATCTTATGCACTCCATTTCAGAACCTATTCTCGAGCCGTAAAGGTCTGGACAACCTCAGATACTGAGTTTACAGAAGGCTTCGATATTTTAGTTTAACTCGTCATCGCCCAAGAAGAATAGATACCAGTCAGAGGGTTCTGCCGTCGAAACCGAAATGTGGGGGACGATGATTAGGAGTAAGAGGAGTACGCAAAGAACCTAGAGGAATTGGCTGAAGTAGCTTTTCGCGGCTCACTTCCAACTAGAGTTGAGGATGGACAACCATCGGATTTGGACACGGGGTTCCCAAAACGGTGATTGACGGTCAAGGCACTAACATTGAAATCCAACTTTTTACCAAACTATGCAATCCTTCGGAATCTCCCAGAAACGTACCACATCTGAACGTCCTCAAGGTAATGGGCAGATTGGAAAGATCGAATTACACTCTAGTTGGACTGCTAAAGGCTTTCACTAAAAATGTTCAGTCAAAAGATTGGAATTTGTGCCTTGGACAGTGCCTTCTTGCGTATAGGGCTACAATGCACTACGCATCAACAGGCATTCCACCGTTCAAAATGCTCACAGACCGAGAAATAAGAATGTTAACCGTTAGTTTTCTATCAAATGCGGATGTAGCAACCCACAATGTACCAGTGCGTACTGCGACTACAATAACTTATTAGGCAAATTTCCAACGTCACATGAGAACACCTACGGCTGTCGCATATCAGACAAAAGATACATTATGACAAACAAAGCCAGTTCAACGTTTACCGAAAAGGCGATATCGCAAGTTCCATTATCCTTGCCGCAAAGATGTATTTCGTGCAATAAAGATCGTCTAACCGATAAACTACCTCATCTGCAATACACAACTCCGTACTCATCCAATCACAGCCCACGAGAAATATGATATGTTAATCCTGACCACGTGAATGGGCGGACATCTTTAATCTCTAGGGTTGAAACGAACTCTGAATCACTTCGGTAGCTTACATACCCCCACCAATGTTAAAATATAGGATACCATCATCTACGAATCCATCTCGTTCCATGAATGCTAAACCAGGAGTGGCAGAATCATTTGCAATTAATTCACTGCTAATTATCATCTTAAAAGTAATAGGTTTTGGTAATATTCTATTTTTTAGTTTTGAGCAGCAGCTGAGAGAATAAAAATGGATGCCATATAATTGCATATTATAATGTAAGCAAACAAACTGACGCAATGCAGAACAATAAACATTTTTTGGACTGCTGTCACTGCACTGACCCAAGATTAGGTCTGTAGTGCCAGTTACTAGTACATTCACGTAACTATGACAGCGAGCGACAAATGTTGAGGGCGAGGTTATAATAATGTACATTATGGCCCTTGCCACCAACACAATTTGTAGTACTGGAAAACTGAAAGGGCTATAAAAGACTATTTCCGGTGGTACTTAATAACGTGATCTTTCAAACAATAAAACATAGTATCAGGAAATGCAATGTGTTGCAGATGAATGGGACACTAGCAAACCATCCGGCTGGAAAAAGTCAAGCATACTAGAGATTCGCTGTACCAAGAACTTAAGTGATTCCTGAGGTGAAACAAATGCTGATCGACTTTGAACCTTCATTAACTGTAAGCTCCTATCATGCTTCACGAATAAGTTGTGTTCCTTTTACCCAAACTTCAAGGGTGTGAATCCAGAGGTAAAAGAAACGAGAAATACCTTAAATATAATTAACTGATGATAGGTAAACAAGTGGATGAGCATGAAATAGAAAAAAATCGGAGTTGGGGACTGACTGGATAACATGAATTCAAGCAATCAAGGCAAAACAATGTAAATGCTCAAAGTAGTGATAGTTTCTTGCGGAAAGCTTTTAGGTAACACCAAAAAACCGACAGCACATTCTGCAATTTTTAAGAGGAAAACAAATAAAGCTACTGTTCGCATTTTGCCATTTTAGCTTATTGATTTAATTAAAACACAGTTTTCCAGTAAACTAATGCAACATCCACTTACACAAAACGAAAACCGAAACATAATTTTATCTTGAAACAGCATTGTTGGTCATTGGGATATAATTGTTGTTATTAAATCAATAATTCTAGGTAATTATTGCCCCGTATTTAGTACTTTACAAACCAACTAAAAACGCCAAGTTGTTTTAAGTGGCGCCTTTTGCATGTTGTCTCTGAGTATTTCGAATTGGTGGCTCGGGTCTTCTTGAGATGTACGTTCTTCGTACTTTGTGTCTTATTTATTTGATTAGGCCAAGGAATAATCGTTATGATGATTACTGTGACAGGCAACTGAAATTTACAACTGATCGATCTTGTATAGGGGGTCTTATAAGGATTATTATGACTATGACGACCTTCCGAGGCATTCCGGTCACTCAAACTCATCCCACAAATCAAAAACTTCCACTCATCGTCACAGGGATTACGAAGAAACGCATCTTTCAAAACGACGGACTCATAAGCGGCGATCTTCTGAGGAATGGAATGATGACCTCGCTCACTATGAGGAAGACTCACCCAAAAGGTAATTAGGCCTGGATTAATCATTTGGCGTAGGTCCAGGAAAAATCGCTCCAAGAACGGTCATCATGGTCGAAAGGATGGCTATTCTCGTGATAGATCCCCGGATTGTACTGACATAAGTACTTATAAGTTCCAGGCTAGCATTATGTCGGAGCTGACGAAACACCCAAACTTCAAAGAACGGCATAGCAAAACTCGACAGACCCAGAAGTCATCCAAGGATGAGGAGAGCGAACGGCTTAATGGGTCATCTTCACCTAGGAAGCATGAAGAACACGTCCCATTAGAACAAATACAATTACCCCCTGAACCAAAACACAAGCATGAAACTGACAGTCAGGACCCTGGCTCTTATGCGGTTAGCCCTAAGCGTACTGAATATGTTTCAACGACTTTGGTTCCTCGCTCTCATTCAAGTAAACAGGCCGTCCAGCAGGTTTCATATCACAAGTAGGCATTATATAATCTATGGTGACTTGCAGATCAAGAGAGTCTGTGAGACGGCAAACGCTAGTTGATTTACCGCTTCCTCCGGGGTTCAGTGCGTCCAGTGTGACTGATCTTTCGCGGACGCCTCTAGCAAACGCACAAGTACCTGCGACGAAGCAATCCCTCAGACATTCCATATCACACAGACCAAAGTAAGCCCTGAAATCCTCATTTTGAAATTGCAGAATATTTAACATTGATCTTTATTTTTAAGAATCGCATTTGAGGGATTTAGTGTGAGCAAAAACGTGTCACTGAGGAGTCGATTAGCAGAAATTCACACAACAGGAAATTCTACAAATTGTTTGCTTCGATACTGGTAGTTCGTAAATTAAAAAATTGCAATTATAACAACTGATCAACCAGTAGACATATGGTCTAAGGTACTCTCAAGCAACCTTATGGAGGTTGATCTGCTGATTAGTTCCATAATGTGGTTTGGCGGTTAGAGACAAAAAGGGTGACATTTTGTCTCCTGCCCTCTAAATCTTTCTATTTAGGCAGAATCGTGTTGTGTTTTCGTGGTGTGCGACAGGGAGCTTGTTAATTAACGTTAACCGCTTGTTTAACATTGGTCAAACCTCAATATCTCGGAACTTGATAGTCTTACGCGCAGTTCTTTATCTTGTTTTTGGTAGATGCTAGTCAATCTACTTGCTTTTGTAGTGTTTTTTTTTTCAAGAAGGTAGTTTGCATCTAGTAAACCACGTATTTCATTCCAACATCTAGAATGCTTTTATGCAAGTACTTTTCCATTCTGATATGCTGTATTTTATGCGATCAAGCATGCTGTCACGATGGTAACATGTACAGTATGCCACCACTACTCATTGTTTGCACCTTTCAGGATCTGCGAACTCCGCAGTAAAACACGAAACAATCTGACTTGGGGAGAACGCTCAGTTAGTGCTTTTGAGACCTTGGAGCAAGTCGGTGAGGGGACTTACGGTCATGTCTATCGCGCCCGTGATTGCTTAACTGGTGAGATTAAAGCGTTGAAAAAAGTTCGTCTTGAGAACGAGCGTGAAGGATTTCCGATAACGGCTGTGCGGGAAATCAAAATACTTCGTCAACTAAGGCATGAAAATATTGTCAACCTCTGCGAAATAGTCACCGACAAGGACAATCCGACAGACTTCAAAAAGGACAAAGGTATGCTAGTCGAGATCTTACCGATTTCCTCAGGTGCCTTTTTCCTCGTTTTCGACTACATGGATCATGATCTGTACGGTCTCCTGGCTTCGGGGGTGGTAACTTTTTCCGAAGTGCAGGTGGCGTCATTGATGAAGCAGTTAATGCTCGGTATTAACTACTGCCACAGCAAGAATTTCCTTCATCGCGATATAAAGTGTTCCAATATTTTGATTAATAACAAGTATGGATGCTTTTGTTTTGCTAATACTTATCAGAGGGCAACTGAAGTTAGCCGACTTCGGATTAGCCCGCCTTTACTTTGCTGATGATAAGGAGCGACCATACACGAATAAGGTTATCACACTCTGGTATCGGCCACCAGAATTACTCCTAGGGGAAGAACGCTACGGTCCTGCTGTTGATATCTGGTCATGTGGGTGAGTCAAGCATTGGTTAAAACAGCAGTAGCTTAGCCGATTGCGTTAGTAGAGCTGTTCTTAACTTTGCACGAAACCTTTGATTAGGGAGTGGTCTGTTGAAATTTGACGAAGCAAGATGTGCGCTTTCTTTCAGTTGCATTCTGGGTGAGTTATTTACACTCAAACCCATGTTTGCTGCCAATGAGGAGATGGAGCAGCTTCAAATCATTTCACGCACTTGTGGATGTCCCGATCCTCAGACTTGGCACGGTGTAGAGCGCCTTCCCATGTTTGCTACGTTTCGACCAAAATATCCATACAAGCGTCGCATAAGGCAGGATTATTCTTAGTAAGTTAGATTTTAATGATTAAGCTTTTTTAGCCTTCCCCCGATGGCACTTGATTTACTTGATTCAATGTTGAGTCTTGATCCACGGAAGCGCTGTAGCGCTAGAGAAGCTCTTGAATCGCCCTGGCTGAAAAATATTGAGCCATCGAAGATCCCTCCTCCAAAGTAAGGCTCCTTCTTTAGTTTTCAGTCGTAGGGTACCCGAAAAGCTTCATTGTCATGAAATGTGGAGCAAAAAGCGCAGAAAGGATATGCTGCAACATAGGCAAGAAATGAAGGCCCGAAAACTCGGTATTGAATCCAGAGAGTCCGGCCAGTCTCAGCAACTACAATCATCTACTGCTGGATCGACACTGCAAAGCACTGAGTTGCCTTCGAAGAACTCAACCTCTATACATTCATCCTCAACAGGAACTGTGGAAGTGATTACAGATGCGGCCTCCTCGGACAAACCACCACTATCAAGCACAGAGCTACTCGAGGATTTGGCTTCTGCACTCAAAACAAGCACCCCCGAAAAACTACTATCAGATGCACTCAAATTGGATCCAAGCATTATGGAAGTATTTCAATCCCTCCTTGGAACCGTTGAGTCTGGAGAAAACACCTCTGCTGAGACCACGTCCACTATCCTTTCACTCTTGACTGAGTTTGCCTCAAACGCTGGCTCGATGCAGGATAGCAATGACGCATCTATCCAAACCACACTCCCGCTTGAACAACCTCCATCGGATAGTCACAGTGGTAAGACCCTTTAGTTGTGATGGCAACAGTCTGCGTCGGCATCGGAAATAGCGCTTATGTAATTCAACGACTAATCCATCTGTATAGCACTGTGTATTGATGTTTTTGATTAGTTGCTGTATTATAGTCACCTTTCACCCTCTTGTAAATATTCACTCTGAACGCGTAAATGCCAATGTCTTTCTTTCGCCAAGAATCTTTTACACAAACATTGTTTCGTTTGGTTTTATGTGAGGTAACTCGGTTTGGAGCCACAATGGTTGCCTTGAAATAGGGAGTATAACGAATGCCTATTTTTGATCCTGGTTTCAGTCGAGGAATGCTAAAGTGGAATTTACGATATCGGTGCTACTACGTATAGGTAACCCGTCGATTTTGCAAGTCTGGCCCTCGCTTTGTGTGGGCTGACAGGATCGGCGAATTGTACGTAGAAGGGGTCGGGGAAATCGCGATTGCCTTTGAGTTTCAAAGAAAGGGCATTCTACGGAACTTATTATTGTACCAAAGACTCACTGGAGATATGTCAAGTTCACAGTCTTCCATTCTAGTGCCCGGAGGCAACTGTATGATGTACTCGTATGCGTTTGGACGCTTTCGTATTCGATTGAGTTGCCAGTGCGGCTGTGGTTTAATTTCCTCTATCAGTTTATTACCCTGGTTGTTTTCAACATTGGATAGAAAGACAGGTGGGTGAGCGCAGATTTTGCCTTTCGTCACAGTTGGTGGATAAATGGCAAAGTCTGCTGAAGAAAATTCTTTGTATTTGAGGGATTCGAGCATCATAGCATCGCCTCCACGTGGTTGGTTAGACCATTCAGTAGTAAATTTCGGTAGGCTCCCACGCTCTTCTATTCTGTCGCCTTCTTGAGTTAGGATATTTTTCTCGCGCTGTAGATAAAGTATTATTAGTGCAATAAGTTGGTCCACATCTAGGGACTGATCCGCAGTGTTGAAATTATCATTTGTAAAATTATACTGCTCAAAGACGGATGGGTGCATTGCAATGGATACTGTTTCCTCTAAAATGGAACACGCAATCTAAGCTCGTCAGTTAAAACTAGCACCTGTATCGACCGTATATACACCCCCACAATAAAAAGGGATAGGATCTATGCTTGATTTAGGAGCATCAATTAAGTTCCATTCACATATATTTATAAAAATTGGTCGACCTTCCTAAACATATGCTTGGTAAGCAAAAATACTTTTAAAGTGCATTTTTGGAAACCTCGACACCGAGGTCTACTGAGGGGTGAAGGCCTCAATTTCATTTGCTCTGACACAAACTTCTGGTAGCCACTAGGATCGGAAAGGGCCATTTCATCCAGCATCTTCCAGATATTATCGGCACAAGCCAAATACGACATTTTAAGACGTGCGAACGCGCAGAGTTTGAGTCGTTTGGTTAATTAAAAAGCATTATTGAATGTTACTCAGTAAATAATCGTATTAATACCTTTTAGCATATATTCCTGTATGGTAGCAAAAATTATGCGTTTATTTTTGCCTTTAAAAAGCCAGATAATTTTTTAGGCAGCTAAATATACAAAGATAACGCCACAGGTTTTCCTTTTAGTCGTACAGCAACATGGCAAATGTGTATTTCCGGGTACGGAAAGACCAAAGCGACTTTAAAATATTCTGATAGTAAGGATGCTAAAAGAATTTTCAATCTCTTGAGGAGCCGATTCCTATATGGTCATTCGCGGAGCAGAACAAGCTATCAGTGCACTGCACAAAATTTTCGAAACAATATGCTTATTAGTTACTGCAAACGAACGGCGTAAAAGTATTGCAAGTTTAATGATGTTGTTAAGATCAGCGTGTTTAGAATCAATGTACTATCAAAGTGGCACATCATCATTTTAATAGGTTAAAAATACCAAGTAATAAATCTTTTCTCTGTATATTCGATACAAACTTATGTATTAATTAAGTTTTTGGGAGCCGACCTCTAAATAGTTACTGCAAGAAAATTTTGACTATGGAAGCGTAGTTTTTTAAAGAAATTTTTTTGAACATAGGGTGTATAAGTTGTTTATATCGACTACATTTGCCCACAATATGACAATTTCTTTGGGCTGTTTGGATATGCGATTTGCGGGGGCGCATGAACTCTTCGTTTAATTATTTATAGGAAAATCAAGTAAGCTTTGTACGTTGTCGAAACTTTCAGCGCTGCAGTTTAACGTCAGCGTATTCTGTCTTTTTTACATTTATTTTGTTGCTTTAGTTCTCAAGCGAATTACTCCCAATTTCTATGTTGTTCCCTTTCTATATTATTTCCATTTCCCTGCCATTATACGCATGCCATTTATGCTCTGATGTCAGCCCTGACAGTTTAAAATGCGAATTCAATTCCACTTGTCGTTATGGGCGAGCCGTTAACGTCATGTGTCGGAGTGTGTCGAATGCCTCCGACTCCATCCATTTTTGCAAGACCATCTGCCGTTACTGCCACCAATTGACAGAAAAGTCGGATTTCTCTTGCAAACCACCTTCCAGTGAGTGTACACAACCGGGTGTTGCACGCAGTTATTACGTCGCCCAGTGTCATGCTAGTCCCACAGTTGTCTGCATGGGTCATCGAGAATTCCTGCGGATGCTTCCGTGTGTCCAAGAATCGGGCAAGAGTTATGGCATTACAGTTATATTGAGTCTGTTTTTGGGAGGTCTCGGTGCAGATCGTTTCTATCTGGGTATGTGGAGAGAGGGCCTTGGAAAGTTGTTTACCTTTGGTGGACTTGGAGTGTGGAGCGTTATTGACTTCATTCTTGTCGTTGTCGGATATATCTGTCCACCTGACGACATAACTTATTGGAGTAATGCACTGCCTATGTAATTGGTAAATCTACTTTTTACATGACTATTGTATGCATTTTGATGATTTTATCTACGGGAATGGAATGATAATGCGTCAATGCATTTATTACTTATTCTCTGGAATATATGTACAGTATTGCACTATGATACCGAAAGGATATAATCGTTTCTGCAAAGGAATAGACGGCCCCACGGAACTCCACCCCCTCAGATCGCTCAAAAATCCCAGAATTGGTTTTTTATTTCGCGTTACGATGCTGAAAGTTGTAGCACTTTTGCCCTTGAGCTACCTTTCGCAGGTCTAAGAGCCTATAGCGACACAGGAATTTGACTCATCATGAGAACGCGTAACATTCTTTAGATTCCTTAATGGATTTCCGTTCCGGTACGTCGGTGACGAAGCCAAGCCAAAATTACTGCAACATGCAGCATTCACATCACCCTCAGATTAACACGGATTGCCCTGAAAGGCTGATTGGTAAGCCCAATGAGGGATGCTTCCTCACTTTACTAGCAACATATCTTGCTATCGTTGTCTGTGAGTGATTATGGAGGATAAGCAATTTCCTCAGTAGGTGCAACATTGTATTTTTTTAAGACGATATTAATTGTGGTATTGGGACTTGAGTTTGCCATGTTCATATAGTGGTACTTCTTAGACTCGACCCACAATATTTATAACATACTGTTAAGCGTAAAGAGGAAACGGGACATAAACGGACTCATCCACTTCCACTATATCAAAAGATGTTTCAATAGTTTAAGAATATTATTTCACTACCTAGCCAATAGACCAGGAAAGACCCTCAGGGTATTTTCATAGGCTGCGTAGGCTAAGTCGTCCGGCAACTGCCCTCTGGCACCCGCCACCACTTCCAGCACCTGCACGATGTTGGCTGGCTCGTTTCGTCCGGCAACCATGCGTCCAGATTCCCACTTATTGGGCTTATTCTTAGCAAACTTTGTTACCACGTGCTGGAAACCTGCGTGTGTGGGTCGAATTTCGCACCAGGGTGCATCTGTCTCCAACAGAATCTTCTCAGAAGGAACCGATGCGACGACCTACGGTCAGAGATTGCAAACCGTGGTAAGAGTAATGAGCCTTTGCAACAGACTGGTTTGCTTGGATTTAGAGGTGTACCTCCAAGTTACGTTCAGTTTTCAAACTACAGCCATTGAATCCAATGTGGAATCCAAGCTCAATTATAGCCTTTGCTTGTTCTTCAGTTCCATCAAAGGTGTGCACCACCCCATGGATAGGGCCGCATTGCTCTATGTGTTTTTGAATGCCACTGATCAGATCCTCAAAAGCATTGCGACAATGTAGAAATAAAGGAAGTTTGGTTTCAGAGGCAAGATTCAGCTGTTTTCGAAAGCATGGTAACTGAATGTCTTTGGGACAAAAGTGCACTCTATAAATGAATTTGAAGTTAGGCGAAAGCTACCTGTCGTAGTCCAGACCGCATTCGCCAATAGCGACCACACGAGACCCGGCTTCAAAAACACGGTTTTTAAGTTCTTGATAGTATTGGTCAAAATCTGCGGCGAATTCCTGACATCTTGTTGGGTGGCAACCAACCGTGTAGTAGAGGCGTGGATCAGTGCAACAGAGTGCCTTGGCGCCTACAATATCTCCTCTGCATCCTGCTTATTTAAACAATAAAGAGCAACGCTAACCGGCCGTCACTATTATCTTCTCCATCCCAAGGCTGAACGCACGCGACAGCACCTGATCAAGGTCCGGCGCGTGTTTTTGCGATCCGTTGTAAATCCCCGAGAACATACTATCCGTAAGATTTGCTCCAATATCAATGAATTTTCTCATCGACAATTATGAGATCTGAACAGAGCACAAACTATCTCCGAGTATTGGCATGAACTAGATTTGCACCTCTCGAACATGACCCAAAGATCCTAATGCAGACCAGAATGTGAGGCAATGAAGCCCTATGCTGCATAATATGATGTGAAGCCTGTCCTTTTCCGAGCACAATTTAGAATGATTCGACGAGGCACCCGAAGTTGCTTATCGTAATCGCCTGTGCACAATTTCGAGAGATAGATGCACCTAGCCCGTTGGCCATTATCTGTTAAAATGCAAGTGTGTCGCACTCACCCACAACGAAAATCTTACGATAGTTCGAATTGACGCACTGCCCTCAACGAAGATAAAATACACATAGGGATGGGTATCGACGATGAGCACACCATCGAGTTTTGCCGTCGAAAGGGACGTCTCGTTAAGGAAAGATGAGAGATTGCTATGGCAGTCATTTCAACTAGTAACATTTTGAGAGGTTTCCACAATCATATTTGTTTTAAGAGCAGCACGAAGCTTGTACTAAAATAAATCTACCTCGGGTATCAAACTGAGCAGGATAAAAATTTACTAGAATGGTGAGTGCAACTTAATAGTCCACAGCAAGAAAGTAGTAGGCTCAGATAAATGCGCGCAGTAGATAAAAGTAGCGCATAGTGGAGCAGGGTAATACCACCATGAAGGTGAGAATGGAATAAGCGGTCCACGCGATGAATACGGGTAAAGGTAACGATTATCGTAGTTTATCACGGAATGCAGGTGCAAGTTGGAACAGTTTCATTGATAGAGTGCACCATGAAGCATGGGTATAAGTAACTAGAATAGGCTACAAAGGTTTGTCGAGAACATTCCTGAGAGACGTTGAAAAACACTGGAATGGCGAACGGGACAGTTAAAATTATAACATTAGGCTACAGTCCAGCAAAGTGCTCGAGTTATCAATACCTATAATCGGCAAATTTTACTGCAATAGGCATCTGCTTGGATCGAGTGATCGCAGTTCAAAATGCCCGAAATAATGACTGAGGGAGGAACAAGGTGCACGTATAAACCTGCTAAGAAGCATGACAATGGAATGAAAAAGGAAAAAATACACCGTATAAAGAGCAATCAGCAACAGGACAGCTGTGATTCTATTACGCAATTTTTAACTCTACATGCAGCCAATCTCAGCGTACTAGACGAGATGGGTTATCAGGAGGCTTTATTTCAAAAAACAACCACACGAACAAATTTGCGGAAAGAAAGGGTTGGAGCTTTCATTGTCATCATGGTTTTCATGGGCGGGACGTAAGTTTCGTACTAAAGCATGAAAATAATTATAAGCACACGAATTTCACAATTTCGGGATTTGTTAAAATGTACTCAAGGCAGAAACCAAGAATGAGAACCAGCACACTACTAAGCATTTTCCAATAGCACCATGGTAAATGAAGTGACAAACACCCAGACGGATGAGATACGGCGTTGGCATGCTGGGGCCTGTCGATTCGGTTGTAGTATTGACAAAACCAGTTTCCGTTCCTTTAGGCCTTTCGCTACTCAACATTTAATGTAAACCCATTACAGTCGATTACTATGTATTGCCCCCTCCAGTAGATTTGTGCAGCTGAAATCCTGCCAGCCCGAGGGTTCCCTAGACCAATAGACACGTTTTATTCTTCCGGAATATCACGCCTAAACTTTTAATCCTATTTAGGAACACACATTCATTTCGGATACCAACACTGTTATTCCCCCTTGGTGAACAAATGAATGCGTACAAATGGCATTAAACCAAGTTCTGTTGCAGAGAGCAGCTAAGATTCCAAACTGTTTTCGGCAAGGAGAACGCGGCATCGTGCTCTGTGGCAGGCAATTTAAGCTAAAGTTAAAACTTAGGCACCCACCGATGCACGCCATAAATTTCCTCCGAGTGAAATCATTTCAATTGATAGGTCCACATCAAAATGGAACTGGTATAGATTCTTCGCAAGAACCTATTGCACCGAAATCAAAGACATGTAAATAGATGAAGGAGCATTGCAGATGGAAACCAAACCCACTCGATAATTCTCCTTTTCTGATACGGAACGCTTGACATCCCTCAGTCGAAACCGATGTACCTCAGAGAAGAGACCGCAGCTTTTCTTTTGAAGCCCACAGATACGTCTGCCATGTATTCAAGAGTCAAATGGAGATTGTAAGAGAAAACTACTACTCAGATGAGATTAGCGGTGCCATTTGTCATGGTTAAGTCATCTCCAAATTCAACCCACTACAAAACAGACTTACAGTACCGTTTGGGATATGCTGCGCGGTAAATACCAAAAATACTAATGTCCATTTGATCGAGATCGGGGACCGAAGACGTAAATGCCGTTCACACAACTGACAACAATGACAGCCGTGTGAGCCGAACCACGCATTACCAACTAGTTCTGCGTTGGCTAATTTGTAACCTTTGCCGTTAAAATTAAGCGTTAAAACACTTTAGGCAAGATGACATTAGGCGATTTCTTAAAGGAGATTTTTCTCTTCTGATACAAATAAGGGGCAAATCTTTGTGATAGATGCGCAACTCAACGCAAAGTTAAGGGCATTATAAGGAGTAACAAAGAACCTTATTAAACTACGCATTTGCAAATCCGATGAGATGATTTTGTGCTAATGTGCAAAATATGAACAAACAAATAGGCATTGGAATTTTTGCCTGATGCGACGAAATTCCGTCTTGACTACTTGGCTGTAGTAAAGACATATGAAATTTTTTCCGAAGTTACCCTTAGTGCCTAACATTTGCCTCACATCTTGTCACACTAGAATAGGGTCTCCTAACAGCACAATTTCCATTGATTCTCTCTTCTACACCCAACTTTACGCCCATGGATAGAGGATGAGTAGGGGGCCCATCTTACGGTTGTGTGGTACAAAGGAGCTTAGCAGATTATTAAAGTTTAGGAAAGAGTTCAACTCCTCCCTAGGGGTCAACGGCATCCGCTCAACCGCAAGGCTAATGAAAACTTGACCCCTTTCTACCAAAAATGTATTTTCAAGTAAACATATACTACAGGATAGTATAATCCACGCGTAAGATTTGTGCTTAAATAGCAAATTCATTAAATTAAATTGTGAGTTTTGCCACCGAATCAATACACTTTTCAGACTTTCCGTTGCGAAATCTGTTTTTATCCTTTACAATTGGTTTTGTCACCTTCCAAACAACGGCAGAGACAAATTTTGTGCCCATTTCACCGTGGGCGCAACACTTTCCTTCAATTACTTTCTAATTAAAATATTTAATCAATTTTAGAAATAACTACTCGAGAAAATGAGGGTGGGACAACCAAAAGCTCTCAATTCTACGGGTGCTTTTGCAGCGCATTAATTATTCATTTAAAACTCAATTTTATTAACGGGTCGCTTAGTGGTTCCGCTATTGTACCGTCTACGAGCGGCCTGACCTTCGGGTCGTGCCAGCTGTTTCAGTCCCTCCCGTATGCCGATAATACATATTCTGCCCGGGTATCATGTTTTATTTCGTCTTCGGTGAGGGCTCTGGGTGGCACGCTTACCCCTTTAGTTTTTATTATGCAGTCATCGCTAAAATCGCAATCAGCCAAAACAGTCCAGCAGGGCATGAGCAAAAGCCTACAGAAGGCCCCGCAGGCCACTAATATGTCCCGAAGACCACGTCACGCAGTGGAAGTACAACCTGCAGGGACTTGCGTACTTGCGCAACTAAAAGACAGTTAAATAAAACAATTCAGCAATCGAACATCAAACCGGATGTACTAATGCTTTTCACTTTACACTGAATGAATTCCAATGACAGTAGATTTCTCCTGTGAATTTTTAGCTTTAGCTTTATTCACAATGATTTCCGTAGAAGTTTTGGTAAACGTTTTCGCTAATAACTAACCACAAATCTGTAATAATTATACCTTCCGAGAATCATTTATGGGGAGTTTCGCCTTATAGCCCAATACTCATTTACAAAAAAACAAACTCATCACTAGCTTAGACTTTGCTGGCATGATAGTACCTGTCAATTTTGCCCTAGTTATTAACTTGTAGTTTCCTTACATAAGCCTTGATTTGATAATTTCGTCTAGGCACGATCAAAATTCACACCTTTACTGAACAAATTGGTGTCCGCCAGAGGGTCATTCCAGGCCTCCAACATTTCCGTACTTCATTAGGGCAGCATGCTCAACCATGTGTCTTTCTGATTGAAGTGATTTTCCATTGTTCTTACAAGTTGAAATTGAAAGATCAAAATGCAGATTTGGGCTTTTAATGTAAATAAATGGTCAACTCTTCGCCACACCTTTTTAAATCCAACTAAGTGCTGATAAGTGTTCCAAACTAAGTGTTAAGCAATCGCCCACAACATTATTACCCCCCATTCGAATAAAGTGAGAATTTGGTCACTTTAGAACCGGAGCGACTAAATATCCCGCGCACAGTGGCAGTAGATTTTCTCATGCTACAATACGGGAAATTCCAATTAGTCTTACCTAATGATTTTGAACGAATTTATGCAAGTCAAACTTGAAATCGAATTGCCATCTAACCCACTAAATGGATGAATGTCAACTAACTTCCCTCAACTTGTTACACTCAACTAATGCGGAGCCAAACGAGTCGATAGAAATGCTGCATTTGGCAAATTATTTATTGTGGTCACGAATTGAGAATGCCTTATATAAAATACAATGCGTGAGAATACGTTCTGTTGTATGTATAAAGCAGAAATGACGGAGACAACAGGCATCTCATACCCCCATCACTACCCCCAATAATTTTCAAACTCATTTGTCCTTAAGGGAAAAAACTGATCTCGGAATCATTCGTTTAGAATTATTAATCAGGTGCATCTGTTTCATTTCTTTTGCGTAATTCCGTTATTCCGCAAATTTTATCATTTTCTTGCATTTCAGCATACATCTGACCAACACATTTAATTCGTTCCAAAAATACGCAAGTGTAGTATATTATATTTAAAAACCACTCAAGGCGCTTCATCTGCTAACTCAAGGTTAATCCTTTCATGATCATCAGAAAGGAAGAATTTCGTAAGCTATGCGGGTACAATGGCTTTCCTGCATTTACCAGGAAGAACCATTCCACCAAAGGTAAAGTGGATTAGTTCTGGTTAAACAATATCATCAGTTTTTTTCGTTTTTTTTCCCATAACCTTCAATGAGCCGGTCTTTTCAAAGCATCTTACAGCCAAAAACATTCAGGCTTGGCTGCAGTGTAGCGTCATACAAGTCACGTAAACAAGGAATGCACTTCCGAAGTAATATCTAAGGTACTAAAAGAACCACCTGTAAAAAGATGGATTCACTATATTTTGTTTTCATAGGACTAAAGAAATTGCGCATTTGGCAACAAGAACAAGGATGTTTGGTGAAGCAAATTAAGCGCGAAAATACTGCCTTCATATGAAGTGATTTAAGCAAATTTTGCATTCGGTGAACCAGCCACAATACCATAAGAGATCCTACTCATCCTGTCTTGCCTTCTTGACCATTAACTCTCAGCTTCACAATGGAATTCAAAGGTGGATTTCTGGCAAAAACAAGATTAGTTAACTTGGTTTACTATTGATGTAGCAGTACCAAGGAGTGGGGGGACTTAAACTCAGAACTTGACAACAGAAACAGTAGTAAGACGTTAGCGTAAAAAGGGAACCAACTCTGGCTTGCATTTGTCCACCAAAGTGGCCGTAAATTCGACTGAGAGTAGGTGAAAGCATTCAAACATCATGTCAATAGGCATTCAGGAATTACAATCGGAGCTGCAGACTTCTTTAACCAAAATGGGTTGCCCCTGACATAAGATGGGCAGTAAATTTAAGATCACTGTTTGGCAGTACGGCGGGGATGTAGTGAGGTTTGTTTTGAAATGAATTAGCATACATTTTCCTAAAATAAATTGAATGCGATGGCGAACTGGAAGTTTAGAAGTAAAGCAGGAAATTAAACTATAAAATCAAATTAATGAAGAAAGCGTTGCAATTATCTCACGGTTAGTCTACTGTAATGTTCATCAATATGACGAAAGGGGACTCGAATCTTGGTGCTACATATTAGATGTTGGGAGTTGCAGAGGTCGTTGATAAGAAATTTTGTTTTTGAAATTCCAAAACCAATTCGCTATAACCTTACTTTTTCATAAAAATCGGTGGCAAAGTCGGATGATACAATTCACAGCACTTTAACCACTAAAGATGCGTACAAAGAGGAATTTTCTCATTTGACCGGAAATTTTTCAGGGTAAAAGTGTGTCGCGGTGCTTTGGGTTTACGTTTTCTCCTTTACTCTGTGGTGCCAAATAATCTGCATCCGGCTGATGGCATAGACGGAATGTCGCAAAATTACTCCGAAAATAGGGGGTGTTTGCAATCTAAAGCGGAGAACTTGTGAAAAGATAATCACTGCTTAATTTAAAAATTTGGTAATGTTTGCACTGAAAGTGCATGTAGCTGTGATTAACTCACTATTTCACAAATTCACTACGGTTGAACTGCTTTTATGGTGTTCAAAAATCACCCTTTTTAAAGAATGTCATTTGCAAAATTTGTTACATCTCGTTGATTTATGAATATTTTAATCAGTACGCAAGCAGAGTTTTGTGTTTCTTTGTATTATCACTAAATATAGATTAACAGACTTGCTTGTGGGGATTCTGGTGAACAGTGAATGGGCGCAGTACTGACTGCCAAACCTTTGTTAACTGCAGATTTATGTGTAAAGTGGTCATATAAGTTTTGGTAAATGTTAAACAGACAAACCGAGTGTATTTCTATCAAGACTGCCATTTATCCAATTTTAAGAAATCTAGCCGTGAAAATGCAGAAACGCCCTGAATAAAACAACCACTATTTTAGTTTAAAAACAGTCCTCAAAACTAATAGCCCATAAGTATTAACTACCTGTTTTAGAAGTGATACGGTTAAATTTAAATGGCTTAATTTTACCCATTAAGGATACTACGACTTTAAATCGACACCTTTTGATTTGAAAGTAGTAGTCACGTTTGAAAAATTGTTTTTCAATAGATCCAGATGATATATTGGCAGTATTTCTAAGTCGATAGTTCTTTTATACGATTTAATATTATAAAACCAAACATGAAACCCTCCTTGATGAGTTTACAGCCGAATATTCAAATATCATACCCAAAGTTATGCAGTGCTACTACTCACTTCTGAATGAGTTAGTCTGTCTTTAAGCTCCATTGCATGATGAAGCTTAAAAAGTTCTTTGTGATTTATGTATCAGCCGTTAACTTCACTAGTATTGTTTCGAATTCGGCTATTGAGAATGCTATACTAAA